TTTTGTTCCTAAGAACAATTTTGTGACATTTGCAATGGTCTCACCCGTAAACTTGCATTCAATGCAGGAAAACTCTCCGCGCCATGAACGTTCAATTCAAAACTCAGTGCGCCGACATCAGGAAAGCTCTTCAGCCTACGGAGCAAGCCGAACCAACTCCTCCCGAACCTGAGAAGCGTGGTAAAGTTTACTACAGCCCGTTTCACGCTGTCACCAGCCAGAGCCGCCATGATGGTGGACCAAGCTGAGCACCAAGCGACCAGGGGCTTTTCGCGTTATGCCAGCTTGGTACAGTACAGCTTGTCCTAGAAAAGGATTAGCTTTCTTTTCACCGCAAAAGTAAACGACGCATCGCCGAACGCTCAGTTTGGTGCCCAAATGTAGCACTAGCAGTGCGGACTAGGTGCCGAAGTTCGAGAACTAACCACTATTTAAAAGTAAGCGATTTTCGGAAAATTTCAACGACAAAATGAGGACCGTTCCCGAAAGCCTGCACCATTCATCTCTATGTATCCGTGGGGTTCGTCGGCTGCCCTTTACTCATTTAAAATTTCCGAAAATCACTCAATAACATTTGAGTCGTTGAATGGCAAGCTCGGAATCTTTGGCGTCTGGTTTTGAACCGCTAGCGTTACATTTGAACCCTGACTGAGCATTCAGCGATGCCTAGTTTATTTTTGTGGTGAATAAAACGTTGTACACCACCCCGTATTCGCAACTTTCACCCCCTATGCGGAGCGTAAGTTTGTCTGCTTCTCCTGCAGGGGTTGCGATGATATGTCAGACTGCCAAGATCTTATTCACTGATCAAAAAAAAATAGTGGGTAGACGTCGAGGCATCTTGCATTGAGGTCTTCCCACTATCCTTTCAATGAAAGCCAATCGGGACTCGGCATCATTCTGACGTCGCTGCAACTCGTGCGCAAGAAGCAGACGACTTGCTCCCCGCATAAGGGGCGTGCTAGTTCCTATCAAAGTGGCTGTTATCCGGATGATCGTCGTAGTACAGCAGTACGAGGTTGGGCCTGCAACGTGTATGTAACTATAGTTTTGTGAAATACGAGCGACATAAGAGCTGTACCTGATACTTCCACGTCAGAAGTGGTAAGCAAGCACCTTCATTTGGCAGACGATCATCCAGCAGCTAAGGAGAGCAATTCTCACACAGCAGTACCACCATTGCTGAAAGTTGCGAATAAATCGTGGCAGTTCAATATTGAAGATTGCTCAGCAAGGAGTACACAGTGCCCAGATGAACCATCCCGCACAAGATTTTTCTAGCGTCGATGTCACCAGAGGCATCACTAGGGTCAGTGGCACCCGGGGCGGTGGCCCGCCATGACACCTCCCCCCCTCCCTTTCACTGCCCATCCACCCAATGAGCGCTGTACCCGAGGCGGTCTACTCCCCCCGCCGCACCCCTTAGTGACGCCACTGGATGTCACATCAGCAACCATTGTGGTGGTCTTGCTGCTGAGCTTTACACACGTGCCAGGTTACAGCCGTCATTGCTGACCTTCTCTTGTCTTACCGAGATACCGAGCCACTGAAACAGGCATTGACGAGCCTTCATAAAGGCCAAAGCTGAGGAGAAGGACACAGTATAATCTAAAATGGCAATAACCTGGCCTGCAATGGTAATGATGAGGTGAAGTAAACTAGTAAAAAGAAGTCTAAAACTGAAGGTCGGTTATGGCAGTGCCTATGCACAGCTGCTGTAAAGCATCTATACATGCACCACCGAATTTGTTTTTCTTGGCAAGAGCAAGTAGCAATGACCGCCAGCATGGTGCAGTGGCGTCGCATGCAAACCATGTTTTTTATTATTAATTTTGTTTATTACATTAATAATAACACATAATAATGATTATTATTATTATTATTATTATTATTTGTAATAATGAGTAGGGTCAGTAGGGTTCCGTGTTTTCCGAGTTTATTTTTTGCCAAACGTTTGGGGCGAATCAATTTGTGTATTTTAAAGGATACCCTATTCTCCAAAGCTTGAAATTAATTTTGCCATGCTTCCAAGTTTCCAAAATTAGATTATTTAAACAGGCTTTTCTCTGATCCCTTGTTTAGTTGCATCGGAGAAGGGGGGTGTTGTATGGAAGCTTTTGCACCTAACCTAGACTTCAAAATGAAATAAATAATATCCGGGCATAAACATACCCAACATGCATAAGAACTCACCAGTATCAATTATATTTCTTCATCTGGGCTTGGCATTGGCATCTTCACCATTGACAATACTAACTGTCCTATGACTTCACTTGCAAACAAGTGTTGCTTTGATAGACTGCTATCACTGATCTCTTAATTGATTGAGGAAATTATCTCAGACTTGAAGCATCTAGAAACCATGGAATGGATAGATTGTATTGGTGGCCAAGTCAACCCTAGTCAAGTACCTCGGATAACTCCAAGAGAACGGAAAAGAAATGGAAGTAGGGTGTCAGGCTGTCAGCAGAAACCTTAAGTGGACCAGATGGCGTACCAATGAGACTAGCTAAACTTCTAGGCAAAACAACTAAATTTAAGCCCCGACAAGTGTGGAAAGAATTGTTGAGGGGAAGGTACCCTCAGGGGCGGATTTAGAGGGAGGGTCTGGATGTCCTGACCCCCCTCTTGATTTCTGCATGTGTAAAATAGGGCGTGAAACGAGGGAGAGGGGGAGGGGGTTCCTATACATATGATATGCTGACCAACACCTGCCCCCCCCCCCCCCCCTCAGGAAATTCCTGCATCCGCCCCTGGGCACCCTAGACTTGGCAACAAAGAAGGATAGGGTTACTGTTCAAAGGTAAAGGCATCTGCTCATCGAATTCTACCGCCCCATAAAGGTAACTTCTGTCCTATACAGACTAGCTATGCAGGTGGCAAAGGGCAGAGTAGAAGAATGGACAGGAACAGAAGAAATGTTGGGAGAGTTCCAGTATAACGTTTGTAAAGGTGGAAGACCAGAAGGTGATTTGTATGCTGTCACACAGCGTATCGAAATAGCGCAGGCAAGTGAATGATTGTTATGGATGGCATTTTTAGACATACAAGGAGTGTATGACAATGTAAATCGAGAAATTCTGTGTACACAGCTAAAAGATTCAGGTTTATGTATGGAATTCGTGAGGTCTCTTACAAAAGAGTATACTTTAACATGGGAGCCTGAAACCACAGTGCCAGCAGCAAATGTAACTCGTTGCCACTCCTGTCAAAGTTCTAATCAGGACTGACAGTATGTCAAATAAAATAATAGCCCCCTGTCACCTTTACTTTTCACAATATATTTGAGAGGAATGGAGATACAGATGAAATGTGCACGATATGTAAAAAGGAAAGGGAGGAACATGTGATCCTAAACTGTAAAGAGCTTAGTACCCCCCTCCCAGAAGAGGTCCGTAGCGTTTCGTCATGGACATCTTTTCATGAACAGATGTTTCATTGACACTGTGACATTTCGTGGACGCATGCTCCTGCAACATTTTGTCGACAAGGTGTATTTTAATAAGTGTGTATTCAAATCTGAAAGCTGCTAAAGGCTGGCATGTGATTCACTGAAGCATGTTTACTTAAGCCTCGGTGCCCCTTTCTCTCTTCCCCCATAAAACCAGGCACAACGCAAAAAGTTTGTTGCAAAAACAGCAGGGTTGTGTTCGACAAAGCGTAACAAGGTGTGTCGGTGAAACAAACGCAAGAAGCTTTTTGATGAAACAAACTGTCGATAAAATGTCGCATGTCTATGAAATTACCTGTTGAAGAAGTGCTGGATGAACAGATTGACATTGCGAAGGGGCAACAGACGTACCTGGGGTCCTGGATTTCGCCAAGAGAAGATGGAAGGGTGCATTTTAGTTAGAAGTTCGTGTTTTTGGAGTTTCTTTCTCGTGAAATTCGGAGGGTGTTTTTTTTTTTTTTTAGTTTAATTTTTGCCAAAAATTTGGAGTTTATCGTAAACTATTTTTGTTAGATTCTCTTTTCTCTTTTTAAACCGGAGAGGATGGACGAAGTACGGAATTTATTTTTGCTATTTTTCCGAATTTTCAAAAGTGAACATAAAAATATATATTAACCGGCAGGTGGAATAAACCTACCCCAGATTTATAAGAATGCATGTGTACCATATAACATTGGCGCCCTTGCCATTAGTAATACTGACTGTCCCACGACAAAACTTGAAAAGGACGCTTTAAAATAACTGAACTTGATGTTGTCGTTGGAAAGCTGTTCTTTTCATCCTATGCTAGTGCTTGTTCCCGCGGCTGCATGAAGAGGGGAGGTGAGACGGAAGCCTCAGCTGTCCCTCTTGTGAAATCACGGTTATCAACCCTAGCTTCTTTTTAAATAAAAACAAAGCATGTTAATAAGTTTCTCTCTTGTATAGTTGAAACGTGGCATGTTCTGTGCTTCGTCCTATTTGTTCATTCTTTTGTGTCTAAAAAATTTACTTTGCTCTAAGAAGTTCAATCTAGAAACCAAAAGAGTGCATGGTTTGTGCCGTGACCCAGAATCACAATGACCCATTGTCCTGAACGAATTCTGACTGGATAAACAATGAACCAATTCTTGGGTCAGTACTAGGAGATTTTGAAAGAATCTGGGGAGGCCTCTCCTGATGACCGCTGAACCTGTACTCTGGCCAAACTTGTTTGAAGAAAACTGCTTTCTTTGATTTTTTATTTTTTTTGCCATATTATGATTTCCAAATTCTGAGCTTTTCGGATAGAATCGAATTGAAGAAAATTTTAGGATTTGTTAGAAGACACGGAACCCTAATTATTAGTAGAGTACAACAAAGAGGAGGTTAGTGGGGGTGGAAATTAATTGAAAGAATAACCACAGGACAACCACTTTCTTGTCCTCTGTGTTTTATTCTTTCAATTTTATGTATTCATGTTCAACCCGCTAGCCTTCGTCAGTCCAGAAAATTGAATGAAGTAGTACTTTTAAGACAATGAACCAACTGGCCCAAATAACCACCTTGCTGCAGAACAGGTGGGACAGAGGAGACTTAAGACTCCCTCCCACGTGGCTCCGGCCCAGTCTCAATATCACAATCCCGTCTCCCAGTGGGTTTGGTGTTGGGGGTAACGCCGACATGGCTTGAACAGGGGAAAATTAGCGCCTCCCTCGCCGTGGGTGCGCGTTTTTGTATTAGAGAATCTCTAGCTTTCAGGCTAGGTGGCAGAAGTCACCGCCCGTTCTGAAGGGCACAGTCGTTAATATCCATCCACCTATGCCGGCCACCATGTTGAAGGAAACCTACGCAGCGTCAGCACCGCGTCCGTCGCTCTCGCCGCATGCCTTTGCGAAAACACGCGTTGTTTCCGCGATGCCGACGTACTGCTGCGTACCCCTCTGCAAGCAGAGTGGCTATTTGGACACGTCCGGTGCTAAGGTACGTACTCGTAGATATTTTCGTTGTCTGACGACAAACCGCGGAGACGATTGATAGCGCGGCCAACAAGTGCGAAAGCCAGCGTTGCCCCTGGGCTTTCGGCCGCTTGCGTTCGCTATTCTTAAGTTTGCAGTTTTCATAGCCCGAGTTGCTAGTTTCAGCTCCGTAGAAGGCCGCAAAGTATGACTGACGGATGCTGTACAGTGAGCTTCGTGAGCACGTAGCTTCGCTGCGCGCCAGGTTTCAAAGATGCGCATGTCAGCGATTTAGTACACACGAAAGCCCCGTGCTTTTGAACGCGCCTCTTGTGCGCACTTTAGTGCGCACAAGCCCGCGCAACCCGCTCCCGCTTGTAACGATCGGCTTCGCAAAGTATGTACGATCTCTATGCTTCGCAAGAAGACATGGTGCTAGGGGAGTCTTCTTTTCGCAAATATGTTTCATCATAGCTTGCGTTATTTTTTCATGTTCTAAGTGCATTGCACATATATATATATATATATATAAAAAATAAAAATAAAACAGAACATAGCAGGAGTGCAGGAGAACTCTTTTTTTTTAAATACTGTAAACAGCTTATTTTTCGCGGGCTCAATATTTCGCGATTTTTGAATTGTTCGCGGGACGATCGCGAATCGGAGGCGATTAGCGAAATTCGCGAAAATTAAGTCGTTTACAGTATTTAAAAAAAAGAGTTCTCCTGCACTCCTGCAATGTTCTATTTTTTTTTTTTTTTTTTTGCAAAAAACTGTTTTTTGGGGCGTCGCTTTCGCGTTAAAAACTTGGGTGTGCTACTTTGCAAAAAAAATCATGATGGCAAGCGACGTCACAATTTGAAGAACCGTGCTCACAAACATATGGCTCATATTTATTCTGGGTCGCCGCGATGTCTTCAAATGTGAATTTGTCTAACTTCGCGACCATATTCAGTCCTTATTTTTTTTATACACAAATTATGAAGACATGGCTATCAGTTCCAGGAGATAGCCTGCCACACGACATTCGAAACAGTAATGTTTCGGTGACTCTAACGTCACATAAAAAAAACGATGCAGTGTGAACCACCTTTCTAGCCTTAGCTATTTCTATGAAATTTACGGGGCATATTTGTAGCTCTGAAAGAGGGTGCCATGCAAGTTTCAAGTATATAAATTAGTCCTTCGAAGCGTTATATAAAACTACATAAAATCAACACTCAGGAAAATTGTCGTTTAGAAGCAGTAATGATAGTGGCCAGTTCAAGTCAAAGGTACAGCAACTTTTCATAACAAGTGCATTAAAATGCAGGAAGGCAGTTAACAGTTGCAATCCTTACAAAATTTCAGTATAGAAACCCCACAAACTGGCTCTGCTCATTGACTCATTATCATGGATAGTGTTCCTGACCTTAGCTTTGATGGCAAAAGTTAAAAATGAATGTTTAAAACTTTTCGCTTTTTAAACTTTCCGATAGCATACATTGTTAAAAATGTGTTCTTAAAAAAATATTTTAGGTAGTTTTTTTTTTTTTTTTTCAAATGTAACTTACATGAGCATACTTGCACAATGTTGATCCAACATTAATGTAGGTCTTGCGCAAAATCTATGATGGCTGTGTGCTAGCAAGGGCTCATGCGGGTCTATGTATTTGAGCACGACACACGCTGGTAAACATACTTCCCGCTAAATGCAAACATCTAATTGGCTTCTTTTCTTCTTTTTATTTATGTGAGATAATTAAGCGTGTTAAAGTGCCCCAGCTCTGAGCACATGGAGCGAAAGCTCGCACTGCAGAACCCTGCTCGTTTCGGTCTAGACTAGCATCACATCGGCTTGCGGTTGTGCATCACTACAGCGTGATGCGCGCTGAAGACCCCAGGCTAGCAGTAGAACTGCACTGGCTAAATTTTTCATCTACAGCGGAGAAGCCAGGCGCCCACTGGGGCCGACTAAGGGCCAACTCTCGCAGACAGCACAGCACTGACTTGAGCACTAATGCAATGCTGTATCACTAATACACCACGAAGTCAGTGCTACATCAGAACGGTCAGCACTATTCCCAGCACTGACTAATAGCGCCGAGGTAGCGCTGCGCTGTACATTTGAACTGGCCTTAAGTTCCCGCTGTCTAAACATACAACACAATGTTGCCAACATTCTTTTGTTTTGTTCTTGTGCAAGGGATTTATTTGTATATTTTAACAAAATTTGATCTGCATTTGCAGGTATCGTTTCATAGGTTCCCACGAAACGAAGACACCCGCAAGAGATGGATAGTCGCCATAAAGCGCGACGAAGGGCCGTCCTTCCAGGTGTCAATGGCCACCAAAGTGTGCTCGAAGCACTTTGTGACCGAAGATTTTGTTCCCAACGTGGCCAGTGGACAGAGGATGCTGCGCGACGATGCCGTGCCGTCTGTATTTAGCTTCAAGAAGCCAAAGCGCGTCCGCACTGCACCACGAGCAAGGTTGCCACCGCCTGTGCCACGGCCCGCGCCTTTGCCGCCACAGCCGGCTCTTTCGCCGCAGCACGTTCCTTTGTTCCCGTCCACTCCCACGGCACATCACCTCGTGGGAAGCGGTCAGAAGCTCCTTTTCTTATTCCATTCCACCATTGGGGGTGATTGGTGGTTGAGTGGGCTAGCGCACACCAGCTCGGAGCACGTGGAGCAAAAGCTCACGCTGCAGAACCCAGGGATCCTCTGTTCAATCCCCACCCTGCCAGTTTCAATCTGGATGAGCATCGTACTGGCGTGCGGTCGTGTGCCACTACTGCATAGTTCACGTTAAAGACCCCAGGCTAGCAGTTGTACTGCACTGGCTACATTTCTCATCTACAGCTGGGAGACTCGTTGCCCGTTGAGGCAGACCAAGTTCTAGGCTGTATAAACATACACATCCCAATTTTTTTCATTCCACCATTTTACCATGCGACTGCGTGGGGTCGCATGGTGAAAGGCGCGTCGAATGGCAAAAGGATAATAATTTGTATCATGCAATGCAATCCATTTATAACAATATTGAAAAATCCGTACACTCAGTCGTCATAACTGATCATTGTTGTGTCTGGACTAAAAACTGAGCGTTTCTAGTCTAAAAACTCTAGAAACCGATCGTTATAAACAGTACATCGTTACATGTGGTATCGTTGTAAGTGGATTGCACTGTACTTCGTTTTACCTGAAGTCCAGACGCATCCGACGCTACAAGCTGATAGGACCAATCAGACGGCGTTAAAAGTGTACCGTCAAGGTGTCCGTCACGTTTCTGTATGTATTCTATCGTTGCTGAACCAATCAAAACAGAAAAGGCCCGGTGACTTGCACTTTTGATGCTGCTCGACCGGTCCCGTAAGCTTGTAGCTTCGGATGTGTCTGAACTTAAGCTGAAACGAAGTGTAGCTTGATTGTGCTGACCAAGACTGGGGATCGCTGAATGTGGAGCTGAAACGCTAGACTTCGGAGCGTTTGGCGGTGGTTTGCGGGGCCGCGGTAGAAGTGGGCTCCCCGTCTCTCTGCCGTCGCCTCTGCTGCTTCCTACGCTGGCGGTATGCTGGCATACGCTTGGCGGTAGTCTGCCCTCGTGCCGTGGCGATGCCTCGAATCGAGCGGAGCCAGTTCTGAGCTTATATGGGGAGTAGCTCGTTTTGCTTTACATGGCTCTGGCATGATGTGTGACGTAGATTGGCGTCGAAAGAGGCAATCTGTGATGTCGGGCGACATAAATTTATTTTATAAGACAACTGTTAGCTGCCCTGCTTAGCTTGGACAATATTCTCCGTCAATATTCTTGTTTTTGAGTTTTACAATGACCCCCCTTGGGGCTGCGAAATTTTTTTAACCTACGTGTAACGGTCGAGCATGACAATTTTTTCATAGAAAATGACGCGTGTGATGCGACCACCTGCTCTTCAGCAGGTCGCAAGCAGGTTAGCTTTTAGTCAAGCAGCATCACCGTGACGTCACGTCTCAGCCATACAGCTGATGATCAGTCTTGCCATCTCTCTCTGGCAAATACTTCAGGTTTTGCCGTAGACGCTTGCAACCAAAATTTGAGCCATAATATCAATAAAACTACTCAAAATACGAAAAAAAAATTTATATACCTGGTCATTTAGCGAAACTGACTGAGTTGAAAACCGTAGTTATCCAAAATTTGAAAATATTGACCGGAGTTTTTAGCTACTAAGCACATTTTCTAAAAGAGTGCAAGAAACTGAGCTTAAAGCAGGAAATTTCCCCCGAAATTTTAAAATAACTCTTAATCGTAGAAATATGATATAATCAAAACCGAAACTAACCTTACAGCATTACTGGTCTGCCATCTTTTGACATGCGCAGCTTGAGCCTGTTTCGCCAAGCGTCAAAGGCAGTTGGAAGGCCGTTGCGATCGTCCGCGGGAAATAATGGACTACAATTTACCGAGCTTGTCTTAGTCAAGCAATGACCAACAAATATTTCAAGAATTTCAGCACGAGATTTCGGGCGATCCACCGGCATCGACCCCCGAGGGGACTGCCCATGGGGGCTGCATTCGCATTCCGTCTACATGTGGGCCCAGATGTCGCTTCAAAGCAGAAAGGCGCGGAAGGTTTCATTTACAAGCAAGGTGTAAACTGTTTTCTGGCATCACGCGAACGCTAGGAGCCAGCGTTCCGGTCGGTCTGCTCGAACCAACTTACGTCGCAGACACCTCTCGGTCGGACTCCACAATGCGATGGGGGGTGGAGGGAATGGGTGATTGGCACCCTACAGCCGATCGCCCATTCCCTCCACCATCTATCACGTGCTGCAAACAGCCTAAACCAGACGAGATTCCCAAAACCGCAGACACTCACTATTGCTACAACACAGAATGCACTGGAGTAGGGTGCGTCGTCTGCTCTCGGATACAACTTTGACGTCGCGAGTGGCCCAGCTCGTTGTTGCCAGTAGAGCGGGAGTGAGTGTTATGGAGGTGTTAAGCTTCAAAATTAATTTTCTCAGAAGAATATGAATATTTTTATTAAATATTTTGTAGGCATGCTCTTGGGTGGATATTTAGTACATGGTGAAAATTTTATAAAAAATCGCTGACCATGAATATTTTGCTTTAAGACACGCAAAGTTTATAAGTCCTCGTAAAAAAACTGAGGGTTCGTAGCTTCCAGTGGCATTGAAACAAATCCATTCGTCACTCAAAAACACTAATTCTATGGTTGAAACTGGAAAGCCAAATGCTAGTTGTTTTTGTTGGGACCCAGAAGTACAATGACCCACTGTCCTGAATCTCGAGCTAACCTCGATGAGATAAACGGTAATCCCCCTTTTGCCACTAGTTTGAAATGTGAAAGGAAACTACCCCTCCACAGGACTAAACTCGGGAGCACTGACTCTATGCTAAAACCAAGCGTGTTTGTAAAACACCCACTTTTTTTTTTTTTTTAATGCAGATTGAGTGAATTGTAATTGTAATTTATTTGCACGAGGGATAGGTGCCTATACACGGCAGCGTGCCAGGCTCTTACACATATGCACCGGTTACCAAACACCTGCGCCGGGAGCTCTGCCGGCCATCAATAGCCACTGTGAAAGAAAAGAAAGAACAAAGGAAAAAAAAAAAAAAAGAAGAAGAAGCAGGAGGGAGGACTTCGAGAAGGCTTCACCAGCAACCAAAACTTCAAAAGCAACAAAGAAAAAAAAAAAAAAAGCTACAAAAAAAGGGGCGTGGCGACACAAATACAGCGTCACCTGCCTAGAAGGCTGAGGCGAGCGAACACCCATTTGGTTTGATCAATAAATCACAATCAAGATGACCTCTCTCTCTCTCTCTCTCTTTTGCTATTGTAACTTCAAGGACTAATGAGCTTTTTGTTTGTTTTTTCTTGATAACCAGATTTGTTGGATTTATCTGAAAATGCAGAACCCTAAATATGAACAACCGGCCGGCTTAGCCAAATCGGCCACTCATCCTTGGCAAGCATATGCTGAAACAGTTTCACCAATTTGCATTGTCATTTAATGAATACTGGTGAATACCAGCTCTATAATACCGCGTGTGGCCAGTTTAGAGCTGAAAAGGTTGAAGTAATAACCTATCCTTATAATGCAGAGATTTAAGTGTTATCACTAGGGCTGTGTGAATAGTGGTTCTAATCGAACAGCACCGCTGCATTCGTAACCTTCACAGTGCAGGTGAAAGCCACGAGAACGTCTCTTTTAACAGCATTGAGGCTAGGGAGGACATTGTGCTGTTTGATTCAAACCAACATTTGGATACTAAGAAAAGGGAAAAATGCAAAATCTTTTTAAATCTGTTTTCTTTACCAATTTTTTTTTAATTTTTTGTGCGATTTTTTTTTTTTAGGCATACATTTTTCGTTGTGAATTTACTGCCTGCTAGCCCCCTCATTTAATGCCCTTGCAAAAGGGCCTTTAAGGAAGCAATAAATGAAATTAAATATTTGCACACCCTCAGTAATCGTGCATGGTTCACTTCAGCTCACAACACAGTTTATTGAAGCGGCACTATCGGAATAATATAGATGTAAAAGTAACCTGTTGCAGAGTAAAGGCTGATTCACAAATTTTAGTTTAGCCGCCTCGGTGGCTCCGAGGCGAGAGCGCAGGCCTATGGATCCCCATGTGGCGGGTTCGAATCCCGGCCGAGGTGCCCGCAATCTGACGGAGGCTTGTTGCGGAGAAGGCGCCGTGGTAACCGAGCTTTCGGTTGCGCGTCAAAAGACCCCCAGGTGGTCGAAATTAATCCTCAGTCCTCCGCTGGGGCGTGCCAGATGCCCGTCGTTGGTTTGGCACGTAAAATCCCCAAATTTGACTTGATTTTGACAGATTTGAGTTTGGGCGTGGCTGACCGTACTGCTACTGCTCATAGCTGCTTACGACGAGGTAACACACTGCTGCCATCTATTGAACAGCCCTGGTCCACTTTACGGTTTTTCCAGGATTTGAAGGCTTTGCAGTATTTGCAAGATTAAGACAAGATTTTGCAGTATTAGTGAGATCAAATATGTGCACTATCCATGGGACATGGTAAGATTGCTTCAATCCCAAGGTGAAAGAAAGCAAATATGTGCCAACCAGAAGTGGGTGAGGCTACCCAATGGACGGCACGGGTATGCTATCTCGTTGTAAGGAGTTGCAAATTGATGACCCTTATGGTATGAAGACTGGATCATGGACTTGCTCCTTCACTGTGTAAGGTAAAACGACTCTAGTCAAGCTATCTTTGTTTTTCTTCTCTTAATAAACATGTTCTACTAGTACTAGCAGTCACAAGCAGCTTCCTAAAAAAATGTGCAACATTGTTGTGGTTTTCTTTTCTCCACAGAGGCTGGCAAAGAAAACGGCGCCTTCGTCTTCGCTCCGATCGGCCGTATCCGGACGGCCTTTCCTTCCAAGAACGCCACTCCGCGCCAAGCGTGCATCTGCTCCCAAAGCAGTGCCACTCTATCTATCGACAAGGAGGTGTTCAACCGCCCACAACACTGCCTGGACGGGCTGGAGGAGTTCTCACACGTTTGGTTAGCCTCTTCATTCTGTAGTAGGCGCTGACGTGCCAGTGCGGCTTGCATGCAAAACATCCTTTTCCAGCATCTTCTCGTTCCCCCTAAAAAGATGACCTGGGTCACGGTTATAAGCTACTTTTTAGGCGGCACTGCGAATGCAATGATGCGATCAACCAGATAAAGTCCCAAGTAGTGTATGCTGACAGCATCTCCACCAACCAGATAGCACAACTAAGAAAAAAAGAAGAAAAAAAAAAAAAAAAAAAAAAAGTGCATTTACACTGGCACCCAGTCGCACGTGCTTTCCGCTCAGCGCACCTGCTCCGACCTCGACGGATGCTGGCTCGAACACCGCACTAGAGATCTTTTCACTTTAATGCGTTCGCAAAACCGTTTTGCCACCGTTCAGGCACGAAACTAGGGTTGGACGAAAAAGCTGCATTTAAACAACACGCGTAGCGCAAGTGCGAAGTTCTACCATGACGTGACACACTCGGGTAACGACTTTACGGACTGGGCCTGGGGACCAGGGCCCACGACAGGCTACCACTAGCCCATTGTCAAAGAGTCATCTGGTGGTGCCGCCTGCAACCGAGGTAAAGAGAGGACTTGTCTTGCAGCTGCGACGCGCATGGGCTCCACACCCATGAGTGTCTTGCACCGTGGTCTGAGGCAACACCTCGGGGATAACAAGGCCGTAGTGCCAGTACGGTGACTGGAAAGCCTCTTCAGCTGGTGCGTTCTCCATCCTACTCTGCCCATATGTCAAAAGTGGCAAAAGATGACGTTGCAGAAGCGGACGCATTACATTGTCAGATGGTAAAGTCCTAGCGATTGGTGCCAGAAATCTCAACAAAAAGTGAGGGTGCCGCAGCATGGCGACTTCGGACTGTTTCCGTGGATGGAGAGCGACCCATATCAGGACAGGCATGTGCCACATTCACCACCGCTGCCATGACATTGCCAGGATCCCAGTTGGCGAGATGACACTTCCATGACGTGTCATAGAAGTGTCATGTGTCGACGTGTCATAGAAGGACTCCAGCTCTTACTGATGAAAGACGAGTCCCAGCCAAACTTTTCAGAACTACAGGTGTTCACCAGGAATTTTCATCAGTCCCCAGAGGAAGATTTGTCTCGTGCACAAGTGGCCGGCAGTCAATTTATCGATTGTCCAAGGTCAGGTGTTTCGCACTCCCAGAACCATTTGGGGTCATCATTCAACAGCTAGGGTCATCATTCAAAACTCTTTACAAAACCCTAATGTCTTACTGCAGCTGAGGGTCTCATCACTGTTTTTTTTTTTTTGTAAATTTCAGCCAGTTTCACCCCTTTTCCTAAAAGCTTAATTGCAACACACTGTTGCAACACACAACACACGGAAGATTCTTTTAACTTCACACCAGGAAGTCTGTTACAGGTTAAGAACAGCACTACAAGCCTCTCCCACAAAGCTCTCTGCCACTCACTATGACTGGTTGTTTTGTCCTCTCCAACGTTTGCTTTGCTAAAGTGAAAAGGGACTTTCTTTGAAGAACACTAACACCCCCTCAAAATTCTTTTTAAATTTTTCGCCAGTCGATTTAATATGGCGTCAGAAGATTATCCAATCAATATGTCGCTACAGCACACAGATATTTTTGATAAGTAAAAAAAAATGTGACTGCTCAAAACCAGAAACAAAACTGGATTGGGGAGGAAGAAGAAATGTGGAGGAGGAGAGTTTTTCCGGTTGTGCGAAGCTATGAAAACGGTGCACGTTGCACATTGCAGCTCGCGCTGCAGAATTCAGGGTTCAATCCCCAGCCCCGGCCCGTTTCGATCTGGATGAGCATCGTACCGGCGTGCGGTTTTGTATCCCTACTGCGTGGTGCAGATTTAAGACCCTAGGCTAACAGTCTCGCTGCACTGGCTAAATTGCTAATCTACAGTGGGTAACAATGTCGTCGTGTTCTGGCATACTTAACTCGTCCTGTATAAACAACAAACAAGTAATTAATTTTTTTTTTTTTTTTTTGCACAAAAAACGCAAAAATTAAGCAAGCGTCAAGCACTCCAGTTCTGAAGCACAGGTCTCGCGCCCGTCGTTAGCCGCCATTTCTTAGTCTCCTTCGTCCAGCCGTCCAACCCGCAACTCCTGCAATACCACACAACGTTGAGAATTACACAGAGAATGCACCGAGTGCTTCTAAATCTCTGTGCAACTTTTTTTTTTCACTTAATGTAGTTGGCTTAATGTAGTTGGCTTGTGGCTTAGAAGCCACAAGAGATGGGTATTATATTTTTCTATTTTTAATATTGAGTGTGTCGCTTCGGTGACCCACGACGGATTATGTTTGGTGTGTGTGTATAAACCATAGAGAACGGCACATGACTTTGGAGAAGAGGATGAGCTCAGACCGGCCAGTTCTCGATCGCCGGTCTTTGAGCGTAAAGAAAACTAATTTGGAGCCTTGTTCTGGGTGGTTGGGCTTTCATATATCATGCACAAATAAATACCTTGGCGAGCATAAATACCCTATCAATGACCCTTTAAACGAGTGCTAAACTACTTTCTGCGATAGTCTCTTTATGATCATAACTCTATCTATGGGCTCTAAGCATACTAAAAGAATCTGAACATTACATTGGTCGATTTGTCTGTTAAAATCGGCATCAGATTGATTATCTCTGAGCAATCACAGACACCAGGTGGCGCCATCGGACAAGAAGGGCTTCTCTGCTTTTCCCAACGTTACTAAAACACTCAGTTGGGAAAACTGCCATAGAGACTTATCTGAAAGAGTGGCCCCGATCTTTCCTCGAGAACCGAGCTAATGACGAACACAACGCCGCCAATCCTCCCGCAGCGGCCACTCGAGGAACTGCACGTGACTTCTATTTTGGCTTTAATCGGCCATTTTGGAGCTGAAACAGATGCAGCGGAAGAGGTTACAGGGGTGCCACCCCCTCTCCCAAGCGGACGCGCTGCGTCTTACTACCCAAGTTAAAATACACCTAGGTCGGGACGCGCTACCTGAAAGCACCGCTGAGGCATGGTTGTATAAAAACAATATTAATTGTGCCGCAAAATGCATTTCATACAAAAAGAGTCTTTTCCGTTTGTTTTTATGCAAAAACATGCTTTCTGAAAGCTCAAGGTGACCACAGTACAGACCAATGATGAAGAGTGGCGCTGTTGTCGTATTTAGCTCGGTCTCGGTGGACGCCAGCGGCCCAAGTTTCGACGGCGACTTTCCCAACTGAGTGTTCTAGTAACGTTGGCTTCCCCTCATTCGATGCCGCCATTTGGTGTCTGCAATAGTTTTGGGACAATTTATCCTTAATACTGATTTTAATAAAGAATTCGGTCACACGCGAACATAATGTTTGGTTTTCTAAAAATGCTTAGAGCCCATAAATTGACTTGTGACCGTGAATAGACTATCGCAGAAAGTTGTTTTAGCGCCCCTTTAAGGCTGGCTCACGCACTCGCATTGGGTTACCCCCGGGCGCATTGTGCGGTGTTGTGCAGCCTGACGACGAGGGAACACTAAAGACAGAGCTGGCCCTAGGGGTGGGCGACCTGGGGCACCATCAAAAGGGGTGCGACACTGCATCCCCTCCCTTTTCTTAAATTTTTTTTTTAACATTTTGAATGATTCGAACACGGCGCTCGATGCGCCTAGCAGACAAGGGTGTATAAAAAAAAGGGGGGTGGGGGGCACGGTTAGAGTTTGCCCAGGGTGCTTGATGGTGTAGGGCCAGCCCGGACTAGAGAGCCTGTATTACATAGTTTCGGACTGCTCAATTTGAGTCACATGGTTTGTGGGCCGTGTGGGCAATACGGGTGTGCGGCGAGGTGCCGAAAGCATTGACCATCTGCAAACGTCTCTGCCTTTCCACCCGCCATGCAAAAACGCGGCACACGCGCACTTGTGACCAATTTCTGTAGGAGGCTATCACCATTGAATGCGGAGCGCAAGTTCATCTGCTTCTTTTGCCGGGGTTATGGTGACGTCAGAACGCCGAGATCCGATTGGCTCCAACTGAAGGATAGTGTATAGACATCAAGGCTGCTTGCTTTGAGGTCTACCCACTATCCTTGAATAGGAGCCAGTCAAAGCTTGGCGTTTTGACGTCGCCACAACCGCCGCAAAAGAAGCCGACAAACTTGTGCTCCGCATTGCAAACGCTGACTACGGTTTGATATCTAGGCTGTCTAGGGAACACGCCAGCACGTCGGCGCCATCTATAATGTAGCTCTACTAGCATTATTCGCTAGTACTTATGCAGTATTATGCAGTATTCGCAAAATCAAATTAATATTTGTGAGAAACGGTTGGTCGTAACATCGTCAGAAAGTTTTTTCAAGCCCACGGTGAAAGAATGACGTGCACAAAAAACTAGGAAACAGATCGCAAGTTGCTCAACAGATGGTGCCAGCGCGCGCTCCCGTCGTGAGCAATCAACGAGGCTGGCCAAAGGTCCCTTGCAGGCTAAAGGCTTGTGTCTCTAGTAGTGATGGGCTGAACTTTTGCCGAATCAAAAGTTCGGTGCCGAATCTTGGGATTCGGCAAAGCCGAACTTTTGCTGAACTTTCCTAAAGATTCGGCAAAAATACATTGTTACCAGACTGGTTGATATTTAGTTTTTTTCTGGTGAAAAAAAGGTTTTATGTTTCTCTTTTTCTTAACTTAAATGCAACATGTTTACTAAATAAGGTGATATTTTGCAAGATCATTTTATCGGTGCGTTTTTGTGTGTTTACTGGCAATTTTAGTGATTCCTTGCGGAAGTGGCGTGACGACGACGTTTGGTAGAAGTGAGCGTGGCGCAGTCACGAATCACGCTATGAGAGTTTTGGTTTTGAAACATCATCAGCGCAAGCCTACATGTGTGTGTACATTGCTAAAATGAAGGCAATAACGCTACGTTCTTGCTTACTCTGGGAGTCACTGTTTTGTGCGCGAAAACGAATGCAACGGTTACTGAGCCTTCACCAGAAGAGAGGAGTCAAATTTGGGGGTTTTACGTGCCAAACCAACGATGGGCATCTGGCACGCCCCAGCGGAGGACTGAGGATTAATTTGGACCACCTGGGGGTCTTTTGACGTGCAACCAAGAGCCACACGGTGCATCCTCCGCAATAAGCCTCCGTCATACTGCGGGCACCTCGGTCGGGATTCGAACCCGCCACATGGGGATCCGTAGGGTGCTCTCGCTTCGGAGCCACCCAGGCGGCTACCGGAAGAGAGAATAATAATATTGTAAATATGTATGTTCTTTGATCTGAGTCACTTGACGTCAGCTTTGCATGAAAGTGTACGTCCCATATTCGCAACGCCTGGTTTTTAACCTTTAAAATGCCTTTAAAACACTTTGCTTTAAAACTGTGCTTTAACACTGTGCTTTAAAACACAAACGTTTCGGAAGATGGGGAGAGTGAATGTCGGATGCGCAACGTCGAGCATTAAAGTTCTGTGTTTAGTTTTCTGCAGATACATGAAAATCGCAAAATAACGCTAATTGAAAAAGCAATATTGTTTTGTTTTCAAACACACTACTCCTGAGCCGAAAACAGAATTCTTATAATTGCGAGGAGTGCTTTAATGTAATTGTCGGCCAATGTCTCAGAATCCTCAGAATGCACTGCATCATTTGTCACTTGCGCAGTGGACTGCGTAAATTACTGGTCGATTTTGAGGCAGAAAATATTGAAGAGAACCACATTCGCTCACAAACGCAGAGTTACCATGTTGCCTTCCCCACACCGCACTGTAACCACTGGTTGTACCAACAACCAACGATGATGACTGCACGGCGTCCATTTGCAATCCAAGGCTCCGTCACGTTCTCGCGTGTGCGCAGACATTTTCCAAATTTTTGCCGAATCTTTGCTGAACTTTGCTGCAAAAGTTTGGCATTTGCCGAACTTTGCCGAATCTGAAGTTCGGCAGATTCGGTACATCACTAGTCCCTAGCGACCAAAGCTCCTCCCTGCCGTTCTCGCCTCGTCGGCGACCATATAACGTATCGTGCTCGCACTCAATCATACCCCCGCGACACACACTGCCCCAGTTTGGCTCGTACCGACCGGAACCAACCTACACTTTGCTGACCGATTACCGACGCCGGTTGCACGCCGGTCTTCTATGCAGGTTGCTGTCGGTGCTGGACCGGAACAACAAGACGGAGTCGGGCACGTTTGCTTACAAGAGCAAGGTTCGTCCGCCGCGGCTCGACGGCCGCTCTGTCGGTGTCTTTGGAACGCGATCGCCCCACCGGCCGTGCCCAATCGGTCTCAGCCTGGTTCGGCTGGACGCGGTCAAAGGCAAGTTGCAAAATGACAATGAGCTTTCTTGGATGCGTAGCCTTTACTGCAGTTTTGGAGATTTTGTGTTCACGGCTCATTGGCACGAGACCGACGGCTTTATGCGCCAAATCGTGTCGACAAACAAACTGTAGTGTCCCTAGCGGACGCCATCAGCGCCACGCGCATGCAATGCATTGTGGGTAGAAAGCGCACCATATCCTATCAACAAACAATCGGAATGCGATGTTGTCGGCGTGAGCCTCCAGTCTCCTTTCCACGTTGGAATGTAGATTCGTCTTCTATCAACGTCCGACTACTTTTAATGGCCTCGGCGAAATTATTGAGGCTCGTTACAACCCCACTCTTCGCGCCTTTAATGCAACGTACAGCAATCGATTGTGCATGGACGCCGCAGAATGGACGTGTTGAGGTTCTGCCCGCTATTTTCGATTGTAACGTCTCATTAGACATTGCGGCCGAAAATGGAGGACTGGTATTTCTTTAGTGGGACGAATTGTGATCACGGCTGAAATATTAGATCAAAGTGAAGCCGTGTACTCCACTGAAACCATTTTTAAAGATGCAACCAGCTGTTCTTTAGCGGGCGGAAAGCGGGCGGAAACACTGGCGCAGCACCCTTGTGATGTCACGTCACAGGAGAGCTGCGGTTGATTGGTTGTACTGCGCAACGCAGCACCACAATAACGTCACGTTGCTGCCGTACGGCTGATGATCAGTGTTGCCTTCCCTCTAGCAGATAGTTTCAATTTTGCCCGAAAGCAAACTTTCAGCCATGATATTTATAAATGTTCACACAATATCGAGAAAAAAAAAAAAATATTGCCGGAGTTGACATTCCAACTGAAAACAGTTGTAATCCCAAATGAAAAAAAATATTGAGTTTACAAGAGTGAAAACTGCGCTAAAAAGAAAAACGAGACAAAGAGGCATTGTTTTGACACTTTTTCGTCTACATAACGGGGTGTCCACATGAACGAGACATGACCGTGCCACTTTTGCAGACGGCACCCTGCACATCTCCGGCGTGGACCTAGTAGACGGAACTCCGATCCTCGACATCAAGCCGTACATCCCCGAATACGACGCGCCGAACCAAATGGCACGAGACGGCAAGACATCGCCGCCTGATGGTGTCATGACGACGACCAGATGTGCCTCTTGGATCTCTGGCGAGTCGTCTTCCCCGTCCTCGTTGGGCGGTCTTCGTGTCGACTTCACGCCTTCCGCGCTGGGCGACCTTGCCCGCTTCCACGGACGCGACGAGTGCCAGGAGGCAGAGTGTCCATTGTGCCTGCACCACCTGGCAGACGGCACGCAGGCGCGGCAAGCGCTGACAGCACTCCTGTCCGCGGACCCGCGTTCGCTCCACCGGAAAAACAACTGTTCGGACCGTCTCTACTACTGTGTGGTGGATGTGCTTCACGTGACCGCTTGGTTCGACGTCGGGCGCGTGGAGGTGCTCAAGGTGGCGCCTTTGGCGCTCATGGACGCGGTATCCAATCTGGCAGACACGAGCGGCAGCTCGTACTCTTAATTACAATCTACAGAAATTCACAACAAAAAGGATCACGACAGAGAGAAAGTTTCAATATCTTCCTATACTCCATTCACCATTAAACTGAGCGCGAGCTTTCTGCACTTGCTAACACCAAGTGTGAATGCACAGGTACGTGCAACCAAAGCACTGTGGAAGCCAGCGAGCTCGCGCTGAAGTCAGAGCTGCTAGTCTCAGCTTTAGGGTGAACTGAGTATAGGCTTTCACGTGGTACGAAACGAAACTGCCAAATTCTTTCAATTGTTGTTTGAGCTTTTTTCACTGCTTCATCTGTGTTGGCTGACGTGCCAGAATGTGATGGGTGCTTCAAAGCACCTCCACTAAACAATCGCCCACCCATTCAGCGTGTGTCAAATCTTTGAACACGAGTGCTACATTGGCTCCTCAACATGTAGCATGGTTCATGAAAATAGCGTTCATAGACCAGACATTTAAATGGCGGGTCGGTTGCCATGGGTGTTGTCTCGCCGCATCTAGGAGCATGTGGAACGAGAGCTCGCACTGCTGAACCCAGGGAGGATCCTAGGATCGATCCCCGCCAATATCCGTTTTGATTTCTATAAGCATTGTCCTGGTGCGCATCCGTGCATTCGCTACTGTGTGATGCACGTTAAGACCAGGCTAACAGCGGTAGTGTGCTGTTATCAGGTATACTGCACTGCAAAGTTACACCGAATACATAAACTATAAAACAAAATACGAGGTACTCTGCGCTTCACAGCACAGTGTACCTCATAATGTCATACCAACTATCCCTAATTCAGGCATTGTACTGCACTGGCTTAATTTCCCAGCTACGACGGATATTTGAAATGCCGCTAAACATTCCTGCAAAGAGTAATTTTTATTTTATTTTGGATGGGTCGGTCAGCAGACCTGCCCGACCCGAATACTTTATTTTCTCTGCTGCATCCCAAACTTTGCCAAAGACAACGTGGCTACAATTCAATAAAAACCTTTTTCTTTTTTTTTTCTTTTTTTTTGCATTTAGTTGAGATTTGGCAGTTAAAAACTTCCCCCAAGTTGCATTCTTTTTTTCTTTTTAACAATTTTTTTTGGTGTTGGAGGTGAAGATTGCGAAACAACAAATCCACCCTGGGTTTGGATTCGTTGCCACGACGTGCTGCAGGAAGTAGACGGCAACCTGGTTCCACAAAACGCCCTTTTCTTTCCGGCAAATCGCATTTTGCCGTCGATAAACAGCTTCCGCCACTTTGTTTGTTTACACGCAGATATTTAGTTGTTATACTTCGTCTCACCCTACGATGGACTAAAGGCAAAAACTACGAACCACCAGATCCAATCACGAGCCACTTAGAAATTGCCTGGTTTTCGCTTCGATGAACGTTACTGAGTGACTCATCAATTTTACATTGCAAAGAGAGCCAGGACATACAGGCTCTTTGCAGTGTCGAAGCTACAGAAATGATGCAGCGCATTTTGATTAGGAGCACCCTTAATCAATGTTAAGCATGTCATAGCTTATCGTTGAACGTGATTGGACCTAGCTGCCTGTAGCTTTGGCCTTTAGTCCATCGTTGGATGAGACGAAGTATAGTGTCATTTCTGGGGGCTCCGTCAGCATGTCTGCCGACGGCCTTAAGACCAAATAAAGACCTGCACATATAGAAATTGAGCGCCAGGTGATTCTTTTTTGTGTCACCAACTGCTCTGGCAGACGGTCGGTCGCAGCGCAAAAAAACTTGACCAAGCTGGAAAACCGCCTCTACACGTAAGAAAGGTGCCGTGAGAGGTCCTGCGAAATTTTTTGGTGAAAATGGCATCTCGTGGTGCCATTTTCCAATGGTGAAAATCATTACCAACATCTGAAATGGATGACCCGTTGGCACGGCCCATCCTGACAGTGGAGCTTCTCCTGCATTCACTGGTGGCCATTGATGTGCACTTTGAGGCAAATAGCGAGTTGCCTTACCCATAGCCAGTGCCGGCAACTAGACCCCTACTGTTCTCCACCTTACAATATACCCCAGCGAACACTACAAGCCACCGGAGCCAATCCATAGCTCAAAGCATGTTCCATTATCTACATGTTAGGCGGAGCAACGCACAGAGAACTGGATTGACGACTCGTAGCATCCGCCGCAGTGCATTGTAAGGCAAAACGAGGGTATAGTGCTAGTATGTCAAGAAACGATAGACCTTCTGCAAAAATCCCAGGACAGCCTGGCACATAGCCAGGATTTTTTTTTTTTTTGGGGGGGGGGGGGGGGGGGGGGTTGCTTATGACTAAATGCTGCATGAGGGGGAGGGGAGGAGGAGACCCCAGCAAAATGGAAAATTTCAGGGGGGGCCCGGGCCCCATGGCCCCCCCCTAGCACCAGTGTTGCGGAGTTCCCGCTCTGGACTGACTCCCCACTTTTACGACGGGAATGGAACTTCAGCCCGGAATGGAATGGGCTCGGTTTTTATGTGAACTGTGTCGATTCTCATCTAGGGCCTATGGGCTGATGGTGCAACTCGTTATGTGCGTGGTAAGGGGCTCTTGGAACAGCACTGGAGGTGACCGACCCCTCGACTGTCTCACTGGCTTAGGCTCTTTCGAGGAGGAGAATGGCGCGCCCTCGGTGAAGCAACCAAAACTAAATAATTGTAGATGGACAAGGTGTCCTTCCTGGTGACGTGACAAAGCGACTGGTAATCATGCGAGATTAGCATTAACCAGGGCGTCAAACCGGAACAAGACTAACCGAAATCAAACATTTGATACTGAACCCAAGCCGGAATGGAGCCGTAATCTCGTGTGGCGGCTGCCAATTCATTAAAAATGGGTAATAAAATGTGAACTGCGCATGGCGGCACAAAGTCAATTTAATATTCGTGACAATGGCGTCGGCTCCTCAGTTTTCACTGAACGGCTGCTACAACATGTCGACATCTCAATAATAATTAAACAAAAAAAATTACCGCATCCCCACGTGGTGAATGACGTTGATTGGGACGAAGCTTTGGTGGCGTATCTGCGTAGACGCTGAGCCGCAGCCATGCCGAGCTTTTCGTTCATTTTCATCCATGTCAGAAAGAGAATGTGGTATGGAACGTGGTTATATACGCATTTGAGCATTTGACCGCAGCGCCCTCTCGTCTATAAACGTTGACCAATGCATGCAAAGTTTAGCGCGATTATATACGCATTTGACCCCAGCGCCCTCTCCTGTATAGACGTTGAGCGGCTACATGCAACGTTTCATCCATGACATCCCCAGCTCTTGAGTTACTACCACATCTCGGAGCCCCCTACTCGTCCCGCAGTCGTGGTCGAGTGGTTAAGGCAATGGACTAAAACTCCATTGGGGTCTCCCCGCACAGATTCGAATCGTGTCGACTGCACAAAAATTTTTTTTTGTCCCTAAACAAGCACGTGAGCTCACGAGCACAAGCGCCAGCAAGGTCGATGTGAGCACAGACGCCGAACGGACAAGGCTAAATCCCAAGGAGCTTCGCCCCTAATAATTACATTTCACGTCTATGTACGGCACCGATTGGTGTCGGCGTGGAGGCGTGCACTTGTGTACTTTGTTTCACGTTACGATGGACCGCAAAGGACACTACGAGCCACAGGAGCCAATTCATAGCCCAGAGGGCATCTAGTGTCCTTCCAGTTGGGTGGAGCGACGAAGGGAGCACGAAGTCACAAGACAGCTACGAACTAAGGATTGGCTCGTGTAGCTCGTAGCAACCATTGCTAGGTGAAAGCGAGTATCTAAAAAGCCATGATGTGTGTGTTACTTGCTGCTAAGCAAGAGATCAAGGTAGACCTTCGAAGTAGAGAGCAAGGTGTATACCTTCTTCTTGCGCCATGCATGAACTACACCCGTTTTCACCTCAAGAACCGTAGTAAAAAAAGCCCTGCTCCACGCGGAGCATTACTAATTTCCCCCTTTATATTGATAATTAAGACATGTAGGTGAATTTGAGATAAGATATATGTTATCTTATCAAGGTGTACGCCTTCCAAACACCAAAGCCATCGCTTTTTCCTCCTACAACCAAATCTTGTAAGAACTACTTTGCGCCGCATATGAACAACTTGAGGTGAAAAAAGGGTATAGACATTTTTAAGGCCTTGTCAAATGAACAACACGCCAACCACGTCTGTTTGTGGAAAAAATGGGTCGTTTTAATTTTTGCCGTCCATGGAGACTCGAAAGCCCTTTAAGCTTAATCACGTGATCGACGTCGCGAAGTGCTTCGTGCAACTACACTTGAGCTTAGTAGAACTAGTCCTTTGAGTAAGCTTTTGCATACTTTTGTAGTAGCCTCCTCATTTGATAACGTCGGCAGCTTTTGCTGCTCCTTTCCAGTAGCACAATGTGGCTGTCAATTGCCTTTTTCTATGTTTAGAAATTAAATGAAATGGTGGAGTTCAGCCATTGCAGGAGTGGGAATGGGCCCAGTGTTCTCATTCCAAGGAGTTGAAAGGAATGGTTGGATGCTCGTGTTCCCCAAAATGGAATGGAATGGTGGTGCCCATCCCGCAACACTGGTTGGCACAGTTGCTATGCCCCGTTTGCCCTTAAGCTGAGACTAGAAGCTCCACCTTCAGCGCAAGCTTTCCGCCCTTGCTAACACAAGTCTGAAGGTGCAGGCACGCACAACCAAAGCACTGCAGAAGCCAGCGAGCTTGCACTGAAGGGGGAGTCTTCACCCACATTTCTTTCGTCTGCTGCGACCTGTTCTGTACCAACCATTCTTTTTAGCACCACGGACTGTGCTGCATGTTTTGCAACGGGTCTATTGGTGTAAGGTGTCAGTCCAGTTCACTGGCAAATTAAAACATACCAAAACAAAACGTGTCCGAAAAACTCCGAGGCAAGCAAAACATGTTGCAAACGACGTGGGCACCCGCTGTGCGTGTGCCACGTCATGTGACCTCAATATCGCGTCACGAGACGCGTGCGTTGGCCAAGTGTGTCGTTTCTCTCGTAAGACCCAGCCGTACAACGTATTGTGTATAGCATCTGTCATCCACAAACCATTCTTCTAGTCAGCAGACAACTGCACACATATGTGGCAGCCCAAGCCTTTTCCATCAGCGCATGGGTTTTATTCTTCTCGGGGGAAAAAAAAAGAACAATTGATGACCACGGAGGTTTTTGTTAACAGTTCCACCATCTTCCCGCCTTCGTTGCATTCTGAACTCTAAAGTCGCTGATAAGATGAGGATGGTAGAGATTGCAAAAAGCCAAAGCCACGTGCAGGAGACTCTTATGGTCATCGTTGTGTGCAGTGCTGTTAAAAAAATACAAAACATTGTGCTCTTAGCTTTCATTTCGATCGCATTTGCGAACAAACGGAGTACAGCTGGCTCGGTTCCCGTACCTTTATAAAGTATAGGCAGAGCTTCTTTTTTTTTGTTTCCTCTTATTTTTTGATAAAAACTAATGAAACTACTCAAGTGTGTTCAGATGTTTGGTGCCGATTCCAAAAGATAACCCACCCCAATTAACTTGATTTGCAATTTTTTCTTAAACACCTACGCCCACTTCTAGTAATCAGTTTTCGGGTCAACAATGGTCTGGACATAAATGCGGCTAGTTAGCTATGGTGGGATACAAGCAAACTTTCTCGACTTAAAGGAGTATTCCAGCATTTTCTTTGTAATCCCCGATTTGCCTGAAAATTTGCTATAGTCGGTTACAAGTCCCCAAGAAGCTAGGAGAAACTCCTCCCACAAGCGTGATGCGCCCATTTCAAATCTCTCCACAGTCGAAAAGAGTTCACTGAAAATGCTCCTTGTTCCGCTTCAATGGATTCCAACTTGTCTCCGATCCCACTTTTTAAGAAAGTGACCTTTGTATTCATTGGAGGGAGAACCTATGAAACAGACATCAGGGGAAGGCAGAAAAGTTCATTCTTTGGACTGTAGATACTGTTCCCAACTACAAATCTCGGCATACTCCATTTCTCGACTGCCTGCTCGACCTGCATACCGAAAAGCATGGGTATAATTGAATGTTGGTTATGGCATCCTTTGCACTTGCCACTTTTCACAATTATTTTGAATTTCGCGGCACTATGCAGCATACCAGAAAGAAGGAAGACTGGCATCGAAGAACCCTTTAAGGGCAAACAGAGTTTAGTGCCCAGGTTCTGTTCTCGTCTGCTCTTTGCCTCTACACAGCATTTTGCTTCTTCCACCGCAGGTGCAGTCGTAAACGCCCTCAATCAAAAAAAAAAGCAAGTCAGTGTTTTTTTTGACCCCATACAATCGTTCCACCAAATGTTTGGCACATGTGCAATGCCATCAGAACTTTAGTTCATGGAGGGCGAACGACAGCGCACAAGAGGGCTCCTGCCGCCTCGTCATCTACGCGAGCAGAGCTCCAGCGAGGTTGTTGCATGTGTACAAAGGCCAAAGTTCCCTCGATGCATTGCGGCAGCATAGGCGAACTGGCTGGAGAGACTGTTCTGTTCCACTAAAAGCAAAGAACCCCTTGCAAACAATGTGCAGCACACTGGTGGCGAATATCCTTCAACGTACCTTTCCGCAACGCAGCAGCTGTCAATCGCGGCACACTGTGTGGTTGTTTGCAATTTCCCCTCCTGAACATTTGCAGTCCACAATTTGTGTTTCAGCATCAATTTCAGTGCAATTTGGGAAGGTATTTTTGTCGCCAAAGACTCTCACCTCCCCTAAAGGCTAGTCCAGGGATGGAACTGGGCAAAGCAGCTTTGGAGCAATCGAGGGAGCAGAAAAAAAAGGCAGTTTGGAGCAGGCTGGGAGCAGCACAAACAAGGTCCTGGAGCAGCATACGAATTTTAAGAATGTTGAAATGGAGGCCAAATGTCACTTGGTTTTCAAAACTAGCACATAGACAATTCCATGTGAACTTGGAAGTTTCAATAAACGTTTTAGTTTAATATTTTTCCGAAAGTTACGTGCAAATTGCACAATACATGAAGAAAAATTTCACACGACAGTGTGAAACGTGATAAAACCTACTTGCAAAGAGGTAAATATAAACAGGTACAAATAGCTTTAATTGCTAAGCATTAACTAGTGAGGTGTACCATAAAATAAAATGCCGGTACAAAAATAGTCTCAATTTTCAGTGACTAGAAAAAGATGATAAATGTCCTTGCACACATAAATCTATTGGGAGTTTGTAAACTGCTCATGGATGTGAGATTCTGAGCCAATTTCGCATTAGCCTCCACCAACAGCACTTGTCCAGACTCAACGACTGTGCATGCTCAAGCATAGGCCACGCACAGATGATGCACCAAGTTGTTGCTCTTCTTCCTGAAGACAAGCTCTCTTTGTACCTGATCACTGTTCTTACACTTCTGCCTCTCATCTTGCTTTTCGACCTCTAGCCTTTCTGTGTCAACTTTATGAGACTTCAGTCTGTTATCCAAGCCTGTTATCAAAGGCACTTTCGTGACATCACTGCCAAATCGCTTGAGGCAGCTCTTGACTTCGCGCATAGTCTTCAAAGCGCAATCACAACTTGGCAGCTCGTACCTTGCTCCATCCTACGCCTCGCTGTTCGTTTCTTTGTTAAAGTTACCTGCGCGGGCCGAGTTAACACTGGTTGCGGGATTGCAATAGTTGCAGTTTGCTTCGCTATTTATATCTTCAGATGAAGTGACTCGGGGACTTCAGGAAAGCATGGCGAGCATGCAACAGCAGCAGCTAACGTTGGCCGTAGCAAACTTCAGACACAGGGAATTGGATACGGATCCACAGGCGTCTCATTTCGGCCCAAGGTCCGGTGTCAACGTTGCCGACAAACTGCGAGATGGCCAATTTTAATGAGGCTCGTTTTTTGTCTGGGCGCACCTTGGCGAAACTGTTCTTACTGTATCAGTGCGGCACATGAAAAGTCATTAGGCGCACACTTGCGCAGCAGTTCCATCCCTGCTAGTTCACGAACTTGCATTCGTCCCTGCGACCAACTGCACCACACGACTCTTTGCGTTGCACTACAACGCGGTGCGCAGAGTTGAAACGAGGTGGCAATTAACGCTGAACACTCCTGGTCCAGAGCTAGGCTGAACGTTTTGCAGTACTATGCACGCACTAGCTACGATAAATAGCCGATAGACCTTTTGCTGAATTACCCGAGCGACAAAAAGAATGCCAGGAACATAGGTACATGTGCTGGCATCTTCAGTTGCAACTGTTCGAAAGCAAAAATCTAAACCACCTGACACTTCGCACGTCATTCCACAGACACTTTATTTCGGTAATTTACTTTGAATCTTCTCTATAGGAAAGGCGAGCATGTGCTGTGCGTGTACCCACGTTCCCAACACTCTCTTTGATGCTTGGCTAATTTAATGAAAGGTCTATTATAATGTTGAACCCATGGCAAAAGAATAATGCCCAAAATCCTAAGAAAGAAACGCACACCGGCAGTGTTCGTGTCCTGCATGTCGGACACATTAAAGAGGCGGCGGTTTGGTGTGCCCGGGGGCACGCTTAGTTTCCTTTTACTAGTCAAGTGGGGGGAAAAAATGTACACAAGGTATGTGGGCTGCTGTTTAGTGGGTGGAGCAGTGAAAACGACCGACGTGATGTGTCTTCCTCTCGGTGGGGGGGGCCTGGAAGTCCCTCTTCACCTTCGGTACGGGTGGTACCCCTGCCCGCCGTCAGTGGGCGCTGCAGCTGCGGGTGCAACCCCGTTGCCTGCCGCACCGTTGTAGCCTGCAAGTTTTCGGTACGCCGTTAGTGGAAATGCCTCCAAGCTACAGTGCCTGTACTTGGCACAAAATATTCTGTGCTACACTGCTGCTAGAGGATGGGCTCTTCCTGGGTCTTATTTGCACACATTCTTGCGCTAATGAGACCCAGGGTTTCAGTCACAATATGACTCGCGTCGTCTGCCTACCCACCAAGAAGGCGACTATTTGGTTGCCACGACTGTCACCCTTCTAAGCGTTGCTGTGGGCGGGGCTTGCGGTGCGCTGCTTGCGCACAATTTGCAAATAGAGTTGCAAAACGTGAAAATTTATCAACATCATCCAAACAGCCTATATATTTTTGCGAATTCTTTCGAATGGTCCGGCCTCTAGAAGTGAAGGCCGTGAATACCCCAATTGCAACACGACCCCTACGTTAACTAATTCAAATGTCTTATGTCCGACTAGCCCAACAAATACGTACTGAAAATGGCACTCCACCAGCTTTGAACACCGTATGTGAACACAAATTTTCAATCAAGGCTTTGAGAAGAAAAAAAAAATAAATTTGTACCCCACATCTTAGATCAACCGTGATCAAACCGTGGGGATCTCGAATTATCACATGGCGACTGCGGGGAGCTCGCGCATGATCAGTTGCCGGAGTGGCGTTCCAAGAGTCTACCGTGGCGGTTCCCCATCAACGCTCGTCTCTGGGTGAAAGTGACATGCAAAGCCAATGCTCTGGACCCGCCAGCCGAACAGAACTGCCGGCCAACGCCGGAAGTGCAAAGACCCCTCACCCGTGGCGGTGTAGGAAGTGTCGCCGTAGCCACCGGCAGTGCGCATGGGTCCGTAACTGGAAGTCTGCTGCCCGTAGGAGCCTGCACAATTGACGACAAAACAACCACTCGCATCTTTGGAAGCCTCGGAAATGGGCTTCGCACTCAAATAAGATAGAACGCACCAACCTACTATTTCGGTTTTATCAAAACAAAGCTCATTTCATTCCGTTAATTAATTCATGCTTGACTTAAAATTGCCATAGCCCTGGAAATTTTAAAATACAGGCGAGTTCGGTAGCCTAAATGCATTCATTAATTTGTTGCAAAAGTGATTCGTGCAATGAGAAAAGTTTAAATTTACAACCTAAACGAAATTATGTATCGTCACCCGTACTGGTACTACATTAGCACTTTTTCTCACACTTTCATCTTTAAGGGCACCGACAGGTTCTACATTTAACCGCTTAGTTGAGTGTCCCAAGCAGGGTGTAAGATAGACAGGTGGAGAAACGAGAGCCAAATGAGCGACCCGATTGTGTCCCCCTCGGTTTTCTCTTTGTCTGTGGCGCCATCTATGTGGAGCACCGCAAACTCTCACTCCGGGTGGGCGACCGGTGGCGACCGGCTAAACTGACGGAGATGATTTCTCGTAGATTTTCGATGGAGGACTGTTGTGCTCTCGGTTTATTTTGCATACTCTCCCATCGAGTTCCACGCAAATACGATTCAGATTTTTTCCTCTCGCCGCAGCGCCATCTGTCGCAAATCGGGGGTACCCGCAAGCAGACGAGTACACAATCTGGTCACGGCGCTGCGGTAGGCTTCTATGGGCCGTTTCCCCACCTGTCTATCTTACACCCTGGTCCCAAGTGACTAGTTTCCTCCACAGTGGATGACTGCCTCTCAATTACAAGAAAAGGAAGTACAGTGTAGACCGCATACAACGTATGTCGCGGGAGTCGCGAAAATCCGCACTATAACCAAAACATCAATTTTCCAGGCCAAAATGCATGCCATCAGACAACTTACCTTTGCAAAAGAATTTATTTTATGTTAGATGAAAAATAAAGCTTAGTTTGAGGAAAGTCTTTATTTCACCAGACTAGTACACTTCTCTCTCAAGTGTGTCACACATTTTGAAAGAAATGAGCGACTTTTGCCTAGCACAGCCTTTTAACAGCGTCGCGGGTTGCGGACGGACGTTGCGAGCGTTCAGGATTGCCAACCCTAATCACTTTTCTCCGGCGATGAAAACGCGTGAAAATTCGCATCCTTTATACGGTACGCGCCAGTAATACCTCCAACTTGAGCACAGGCATGAAATGCTCCAAAGAAGAAATCCGGGCGATGTTCGAGAACACAAATGTTTAGAAATCACCACTTGGTCGAAGTAAACAAACACGACGACACGGGCGTTTCTGCCGTCTTGAGAGTGCCGCCACGACATCGCCGCACGAGAAGTTGGATCTTCCCTTCTATTACGTGCTGGGTTATCATAGCGACAAACGACGAAAATTCACAGTCAAGGATAGTGCTTTTACGCGGAACGATGAGCTTCCACCAACTGTCTACGTCGACGATCACAACCGACGCCATGTTTGCGGATAAAAGCAGCTGCCCCGCAACTGGCATGCAACGCGCGCGAACACTTCTCCTCGACCTGCGATTGGTCTGTCGTTGCGGTTGTTTCCAATGCAGCGGAGGGACGCACGCACGTGAACGACACGTGCGTGCGTTCCTCAGTCGCTATGGCAACTGAAGCTTCTCTCTTCGCTTCTCCCCGCTCCTTCGAGCAACGTCTTTGCCCCGCCGCGAGTGCCGCTATCTTGGTTATCTAGTGTCGCACAAGGAAGCCAGAGGGAAGCGTGCTCGCTGCACCGGCCGGCGGGCTGTTCCAGAAACCGCACTATAATTGGCATTTCCCTTCGCGCGCCTGCATTTTAAGCGGTATGTAATTACATGGAGTTCTATGGGAGGCGAAGCGGTGGTTTAAAAAAGCTGTGTTATACCCGGTCCTGCACTATAAGCGGTTACGTTGTAAGTGGTCTATACTGTATAGCCGACAATCACTTCTGTCCAAAACAGTAAGTGCCAAGTTTTTTTTCACATACGCCAAACGCAATTTGGTCTCCGTAGCTTTTTAGCATGCTTTGCTAGGAAGATTCATTAGGCAAAGAAGCATACTTCTATGGGAAAAAAGTCTGCATGCCTCCAAACTAGGACAACCTTTCTTCTTCTACTGTACTTATCGAGACTTGGTAATATGAGGCGGCGGCCTTACTCGCCTTCTTTTCATTTGAAACTCAAACCTTCACTTTTTTACAATTATCACATACAAAGTTCATTATTAATTTCTTTTTTTTTTTTATCCTAGTGTGTGCCATAAAGTGCAAGGTTAAGCTACAATGTTTCCCCCCCCTTTTTTTTTTCACCACAAAAATAAATTGCACATTGCTGAACGCTTTAAGTGCTAATTGTAGCACTTGCAGTTTAAATGAGACGTCGTTCTCACATTCAAGTTATAAATTACTTTCTGAAAATTTCTATGCGAAAATGAAGCTCGTTTCCGGTAACCGGCGTCATTCGGTTCCATGTATCCGAGAGATCCGTCGACCGCCATTTCTCCATTCAAAATTTCAGAAAATTTCTTAGCCTCGGAGGCTCCTCTATTTGGGTGGAAAATCAGCATTTGGCAATGCATCTTATTTATGTGGCGAAAACAACTTCGTGAATTATCAAGGGGGACAGCCTATACACAGATTCGCTATCTTGTAACAACGAAGAAGTGTTCCAGAACAGAAGTCGCCCAAACTGAAAAAAAAACAACATGCGACACCAAAAGACAAAACATTGTTTCCATCGCTTAGTCTCGCACGCTGCTACACATAAGAAAGAACTGACGGCCCATCATGACAAAACACATCCAGGAGCGAAAACCCCGAGAACCGTTTACAAAGTCGAGTAACAAAACTCGCCTATACCTACCGTAAACACCAAAACCTAAAAAAAGGAAAAAACGGGCAACTTCAACGCTCGTTTCCGAAAAAATAAAAAACGGCCACGCCGGAAGGGAGCAGCTCACCGTATCCCGAGTAGCTCTGGTCGCCCGAGCCGTAACTGCCATAGCCACCACCTCCTCCGCCAGAGTTGTAGCCGCCCGACTGAGCGCCGCCCCAGTTGTTGTAGCCGCCACCGCCGCCACCGGAATAACCTGCGGATGGCATGCAGTCAGTCCGTGTCCAAGAATCGCGTGTTGGGTCCAATTGCGTCTTGGATCCAAAAATGGCACAAATGGCGCAGCCATTCCACCCCTGATTTATTAAATCACTATCATAATTTACCTATACCTTCCCCTTCTGCTAACCACGAGCGGGGTCCTCCACCATCTCCGGCGATCTACAAGGGGTCCGCGAATCATCAATGGTTGAGAACCACTGTATTACACCATGAAATAGTCTTGCAACTCCTGCTGCTTTTGCTTCATTGCACTTGCAATAACAATATTTTTCTATGCTATTGACAGACTCCAAGAGCAAGGAGCACCTACTCCTGCAGAGCACTGTTTGCTCTGAAAGTTGGCTTTCCCCTAAGACAGGCAACTGCGTTGGGAGAAAGCCAGCCCCCAGCCCCAGCCCCCCCCACCCCCAAAAGCCAGCTTGCTCTGCAAGCTGGCTTTCTCCTAATGCGTACGCTCGCGTTGGGGGAAAACCGGCTTACAAAGCAAAACGGTGGTCTTGGCAGTGCGATATACAGTGTAGACCGCATATAACGTATGTCGCGGGAGTCGCGAAAATCCGCACTATAACCAAAACATCAATTTTTCAGGCCAAAATACATGTCATGAGACAACTTACCTTTGTAAAAGAATTTATTTTATGCTAGATGAAAAATAAAGCTTACTTTGAGGAGAGTCTTTATTTTACCAGACTAGTACAGTTCTGTCTCAAGTGTGTCACACCTTTCGAAAGAAATGAGCGGTTTTTGCCTGGCGCAGCCTTTTAACGGCGTCGCGGGTTGCGGACGGACGTACCGTGCGTTCAGAATTGCTAACCCTAATCACTTTTCTCCGGAGACGAAAACGCGTGAAAATTCGCATCCTTCATACGGTACGCGCCAGTAATACCTTTAACTTGAGCACACGCGTGAACTGCGCCAAATAAGAAATCCGGGCGATGTTCGAGGACACAAATGCTTAGAAATCACCACTGTAGTCGAAGTAAACAAACACGACGACACAAGCGTTTCTGCCGTCTTGAGAGCGCCGCCACGACATCGTCGCACGAGTAGGTGGATCTTCCCGTCTAGTACGTGCTGGGTTATCATAGCGACACACAACGAAAATTCACAGTCAAGGATAGCGCTTTTACGCTATGAGATGAACGCCGTCTACATCGACGATCACAACCGACGCCATGTTCGCGGATAGAAGCAGCTGCGCGACCGGCATGCAACGCGCGCGAACACTTCTCCTTGACTACGACCAACTCTATGTCCTCGACCAACGCAGCGGAGGGACGCACGCACGTGAACGATACGTGCGTGCGTCCCTCCGTCGCTATGGCAACTGAAGTTTCTCTCTTCGCTTCCCCCGCTTCTTCCAGCAACCTCCTTGCCCCGCGAGTGCCGCTTGCGCAACGCTTGCGGCTCGCGCCGTCAGCGCCGTTATCTAGTGTCGCACAGGCAAGCGTGCTCGCTGCTCCGGTCGTCGGCGCGGTCGGCGGGCTGTGCCAGAAACCGCACTATAACCGGTATTTCCCATCGCGCGCCTGCATTTTAAGCGGTATGCAATTACATGGAGTTCTATGGGAGGCGAACCGGTGGTTTAAAAATACCGCGTTATACCCGGTCCTGCACTATAAGCGGTTACGTTGTAAGTGGTCTATACTGTATCAGTAGAGGCAGCTATTTTTGTTTGATGTAACCATAACTTCTGCTATATATTATCACTGTAACATTACCGCGCACAAAAATTGTTCAATATAAAGGATAATTCGATGTAAATGGGTTTGATATAGCCGGGTTGGACTGTACGTGCCCAACCAAACATCACTGCACAGGCCTTAAAAAAGGTTTCCTACTCGCCCCAACTCCCCCAAAACAACGCACAACAGAAAAGTGTCGCAGTGGGAAGGGGTTCTCGCCTTGATAGCCGGAAGACGGGGGACCGCCGCCATTGGGCGCTCCTCCCCACTGGGGCCCGCCCCAATTTCCACCGCCACCTTGCTGGCCTCCCCAGCCACCCCTGCCGCCACCGCCACCCTTGGGCATGCGGCTCTCCTTGGGTTCGGCACGCTTACACTCCACCTGCACCAAGAACAAAGATGGTCGGCACACACCAATATGCTGCAGCACCATCAATACCTCTGCCATACAGCACCAAACGTGTCCTCCATTCACAACTTTCAACAAGAATCGTTCGCAATCAGGGTAAGGCTCGTAGACATGCGACTGGTTCCCAAATCGGGGAAGTTTTCACTACTACAATGCAGAAAAGCTACCAGCATTTTGAGCAGTCTTCAGATTCCACGTTGGTGTACGGCAGACAAAAACAGACTGAACTGAGCAGTCTTGGCAGAATGTCCGTGGGGTTCCCCCTTGTTCGCAAAAAGTGGTCTTCGTGCCAACTTAACTTATGCCATATAAAACAATGGTGCTTGCTCAAACCCCTTTAGTTCCAGCTTCTCCAGCACGATTGTGTATATAAAAATGCTTTCCGTTGAGACAATGTCCAATGTTGCTACGAAACGACCGCTTCGACACTTCCAAGTACCGTCCGCAGTATTTGACATCACACAAGCCATCGTGTCACGGAGGTCATCATGTCGCATGTCAACTTGCGCAACAACTATTTTGCAGACAAGACTAATAGACCTCGCGAGCGTCTTTATGCTGAAGCGCGACAAACCGGCCTCAAAAGATCACATCTGCGAACAAGTGGTACTGTAGAAGACAGCACGAGTGACTGCACTTTCAATGAGAGTATTGCATCATATTTCTTTTATGCTCTCGAGGAAAGCTTATTTTGCGACTTCCGACCTATCCAGGCATTTAAAGGAGTCGGGGGGATCACCGTACCTGCTTGCCGCTCATCTCGACGTAGCGCTGCCCAGTCAGCTGATGGACGGGGTCTTCAGTCTCGAAGGTGACGAAGCCGAAGCCTGCGACCCAGACGCAACAGAGGCCTCCGCTCGTCACAGTCCCCCGCACACCCACCGTCAAGCAGGCAGGCAGACACTCTTGCGACTCTCCGACAAACAACTCCCACCAGAAAGACACAAACACCCTCCCCTTCCGGCGTGGGACGGCGGCCGGGACAAACTTCTCGCAACCCCGCAGACGTCCCAAACCGGACGCCACGCCCGATCCCAAAAGGTCGCACGCACGACGCCGCATGGCTTCCAGGCTACACGCCCGTGCGGAACCCACGGGGGTAGGGCGTAGGCTTTCGCCCCGTACAGGCAAGCAAGAGGTCCGCATTCGGTTGTGGCTAATCGTGGCTACTAATCGTTAGCTTCGGCTACTCCTGCTCGTCTTTTAGTGTTAGTCTTCTTTTACATATACATTTTACTGTCGCTCAGACAAGATTGTGTTGCCGTAATCCGCCGGTTCTACTTAGCTGCTCCGATCTCGAGGCTAGCAATCGCCGCGCTCGCCAAAAGGGGCGCGACGGCCGAGCTCGATCTCGAACCGGCACCAAACCGCTCCTTCGGGGGGCTCGTCTCCGGTCGGTTGCCTACGGCATGAGAGGCTAGCAAAGACTTAGCGCTAGGTGTACGTAAGTTGCTACGAGCATGCCTAGCTACAGTTTAGTTACCGTTTCGAGGGGGACGGTAGCCCTTGAAAAAGGAAGTAGCGTCGTTTCGTTTCACAGCCACCCGCATCTGTTCCAGCTTGCTGGCCCGCCTTCACACACCCACTTCAGCGCTCCGCAGGGAGGGGAGGGGGAAGCGTGAGCCTCCGATAAAAAAAAAACAAGTGAGAAAAAACAGAGAAGCAGGTTCTTGTCTTTTTGCGCCGGCGAGCCGGCCGCACTTCCGTGTGTGGGGTTGGTGATCTCTCTCTCTTGCAGAGGAGGGGTCGGCCACCCGTTCCTCCACGGCCATCGTGGGGGGTGCGCCGCAACACTGCACTCGGAAACTTACCCGTCACCACTGTGGCCGCACTTCGGCACAGTCCTAGGACGAAAACGCGTCGCCAACCGGAGCCGTACGTAGAACGAGCGTGAACGGACGAGTACGGCAGAACACTTCAAATCGGGTAGCAGCTGGCGCTAACACCATTGACACCAACAACACAAGCTAGGCGCCACAGGCGCCACCTAGCTTGTGTTGTTGGTGTCAATGGCCAACGTCTATCTGTACACTTTTGGGAGCCGCCACAATGCACGCAGACACGTGGCGACGTGACAAGTTCGCAGCGCTGGACTGGCACGTAACGTCCACTGCGGCCCAATCCTAAGGCAAAACGGACCGTACCCACATCTCCTTCTATGTACGGCTCTTTCGGCTTGCTGGCAACGAGAGGCTTGTATCGAGCTCCCGAACGATACGGGAGCCAATAAAAGCCAAAGATATTCATTTTTCTTTGCACAGTTGCTTGTGAAAAGGGTCAACGCCAGTTCTCGACAAAATAAGATAGTTCTAGATCAGACTCTACAAGCGAAAGAATGAGAGCGCAAAGCCAAGGTTATACGAGAGCAGAGTTAATGGCGGAACAGCAGAGACATTTCTAGCACAATGAATGCAATCAATACGGTGCACACAGACACAAACTTGATGCATAAATGCAGCGCTAACAGAGCCCTAAAATCTAAACCATGCAAGACCAGTCTACAAGTATATCGGCTAGCCGCAAACGAGGTTCATCGGCACCCCGTGAAATGAACGCATAAAATAGAACGGCATAGAAAAAGGTTTATAGAAGACGGAGAAAAAGCTTGCGTAATAAACACCTAAAAAAAATTACAAAAGCATTTCAAACGAGACAAGGTACATTAACTAACACTCCTTCAAGGGCCGACTATGCATTTCGTCGAGAAAACAATGTCTACGCTATTAAAAACATCCATACCAAAATTTTGTTTTGTATCAGGACTAAATAACACAATGTTAATATACAAAACTCCAAATCAACACAACTAACAAAAAAAAAAAAAAGAAAAAAAGACTGGGTTGACCCTTTAAACAACTCAAATGCAATTGCACAGAACCTGCCTCGAAGACGCACCAATGCAAAAGCGCAAAACCAGCACTAAGCCACTTCTAACGCACAACTCGACAATCTCACAGTGCTGTGGCTAGAACGAAATCGGGCGGCCAACTCACCACGCGAGCGCTTTTGCTCCTGATCGTACATGATGATCGCCTCAACCACCTGAAAAGAGATAAAACGCAGACGCTCAGATTCCCTCTCAGAACATACCAGTTGTCACAGTTGGGCCTCAATAATAAAGACTCCTTTGTCCACCTCCCCACAATAAGACTTAAAAAAGTGTGTATTTGTCCTCTTTGTAGCCAAACAATTTCCCTATATCCCCATAGGGAAAGCTTTCAAGCAAAAACGGGATGAACAATACCGTATTTTCGCGATTCTAAGCACCCTCTTTCAAACATAAACACCTGAAAATAAGTTTGCATGCGGATGTAAGCACCCCTCTCTCAACAAGAAATTTTAGATCGGAGACGCCGGTATCGCCGAGCGCCGGAGTCGCAAACGGCCGCTGGCTTTTGGTTTCAACATCAGTTAATAGATGGCAGCACATATTGCCCTTTTCAGCTTACGCATCTGTGCAGGTTGCGAAAGAGGGTGCGTTGCCGTACTTTCCTTTGAAGATGTTTTGTCAGTTTGGTCTCTTTGTGCTTGCTGCAGTCGGTTGTTTAGTCTGTTAAGCCTATTCGTCCGCGTCGCAATCGTACTCCGTTCACTGTGTGCACGTGGTTTGCGGAAGTCAACGAAAATCACGGCGCTGCTGAACAGTTCGGAGTGCAGCTTTCCGCGCAAGCCGAGGCTCGGCGGAGCGGATGATGAAGAGGAACGGTTTCTCTCTGAGACGCCGCACCACTATCTGCCAGAACCTATCGGTGGACTTCGAGGAAGAGCTTGTCAACTTCCAACGTTATGTGATGAAGTTGCGTCACAAGTCTCGCTGCGGACTCTGGCAGATCGGCAATGCCGATGAAACCTCTGTGTACATTGACATGCCAAGGACGTGCATCGGGAACGAAGTAGGCGCCCGAGAAGTAAAAGTGCGTACGACTGGCTATGAGAAGCCAAGGGTGACCACAATGCTGCGCATCACAGCCGACGGTCGATAACTTGCGCCCTACACCATCCTCAAAAGACCAGTCACAAGAGTAACTAGTCGACCGTGGCGCAAACTGATGGCAAGTGGGTTGCTCTCCAGTCTTTACTTTTGTTTATTTCCTTTAGAACATTTATTCTTTCATTTTGATTATAATAAATTCATATTTCTTGTGCAAATTTCGTATTTTCGGGGCATGTTCCGAATATTAGCACCCCCCCCCCTCTCTTTGAACATTGCGGGTGTGAAAAAAAAAGGGGGTGCTTAGAATCGAGTAAATGCGGTATTGTCATCATTTAAACCAGTTGCTCAATATTGATGAAATTTGGAGGGTCTGTTGATCTCGTTGCCTAATTGCGCTCTATGAAATTTCATCTCTGTAGGACTATTTTTCAATAATCAACACGACGTACACAGCTACTGATGTAAGTCGCCTCACTTGGCGAGGAAATCTGTCATAAAAATGCTGGAGAATTTTCAGCATTTCTAAGCTTCAGCCTTAGCTAGAACATATGGTGAGTGGCGCTATCTATTCTTTACCTTAAAATCAGTTTTTTTCTAGGCAAAATATCAATTTCAAAAAGCAATCCTCATAATGGGGCATTTTCTCCTCATCAAAACTGTATACTTTTTGGGCAATAAGAACTGTATTTAAATAGAAACATAAATATCTAGCCCCCTCTCATTAAATTTCAGTTCAGAAATATCCACAGCAAAGAATACATTGAGATTCATTGAAACGATAGATTTCCTAAAACAATAGTTGCTGCAAAGAAGTGAAACTGAGGAAAAACCCGTTTGAAGTTTCCACACCACTACGCTTGCTTTTACTGGTGGTGGTGGCAACTAAAAGGCACCAAAAGCGTAGATGGTGCCCTCCGCTTACACCCAATCTCCTGCATGGCTTTGCTGAGTGAGTCCGAGCTTAAAACACTCTTAGACTGTCGTTTTGTTGTCGGCACCTGGACATCGATTGTGAAATGAGTGAGGAATTGGGTATGCTTGCAATACACGGACCAACATCAGCAAGTATGGGCGGGGCAGGCATCATCGAAATACAAAGCAGACACACCCACGTGACTTTCTATAAATGAATGCTGGTTTTAGTCAGTTTTGTGTTCAATCAGGGTGGGCCTTCTATGGTGTTCTTGCCCGAACAGAGTTTACTCTCGAACAAAGATATTGAATGTACTGAAACTGTGAAAAACTGCTCTTTCCAACGAGAGTATGATCATCATTCCAGGGTGCACCGGTGCAAAGCTACAGCAGTTTGAAAACAGGAAACGGAAGTTTCACGTTTAAAAACATGTGACTTACGGAATATAGTTGATTTCTCCATAAATAATTGACATATTGCAATAAAAATTTGCAGGAGCATACACCATTAGTTGTGGAACCACAATACATTAAAATAGGAAAATTAGTTTTTTTTTTAAAAAATAGCAATTTTAAGGTGGTGTCCCCCCCCTTAATGAGACATGACTGTACATGCTAAAACCTTTTCTTTTCTGGCTGCAATTCTTGGAGCTCCCACAAAGCCTCTCGGAGTGTCTGAAAGTCCTCAATCGCCTTTTTGTATATTTTCTTTTTTTTTAACTATTCCTTGTGCGCCCAACGGTACTTCCTTCGTAGTGAAGCGACTCTCCAACTTCGACAAGAACACAATTCTGTATTCCAACCGTGCAGCATTTCACTTCACACAAAGGGAACCAACCACAGAGCGGCCCTGGAGGACTCCCGACGACAGACCCCGAGATGGAACCGCAGCTCGCACTCACTTTGCCGTACTCCGAGAAGAAGGCGTGCAGGTCCGACTCGTTCACGCTGGCAGGCAGGCCGCCCAGGAAGATCTTGGTGCCACTGCCCTTCCTGCCACCGCCGCCACCACCCTGCATCCAAGGTCATGGCAGGGTCAAATTTAGGTCATCGTGAGAGCAAGGTCTAAATAGCCTCTCACGGAGCAAGCTGATACGGCATCTGCAGACGGTTTGTCTGATAGTACTTGTGAAGAATGCAGTTTGTCTGCTACGAAATGAAAATTTGCAGACAAAAAAAAAAAAAAAGAAGGGAGAAAAAAAGTATGTTGTTTGGTAACACATCGGAAAAAACGTGCAACAACTGCTACGAAGTGAGTGCCTCGGCAAAGCGAGATTGAACATAGGCTGAAGTTGGGATCGTCCGCTATCTCACATTGCAAGTCGTTCACATCCCACAACTCATTTGCATATATCAAGTTGTCTTCCTGCCAAACACGGGGTGACACCGACCACCAAATGAAGGAGTACCAAGAACAAGCATGTCGGCATCCGCAAGACCTCTCACTACTCGTACGATGGTGAGAGGTCGTGCGCATTCTCACTAAAATGTTGATTGATCGTGAACTCGCAAATGGGTCGCAGGAGTTTTCCCCGGAGAACCTAACGGACGGGCACGGGGACGAAGAAGCCACCACGGAGAAAACAGTCAGATTAATACAATTCCTGAGACCTATGGAGCCGTATAATTTCGAAGTAATTTAAACGCCACGCTAAGGGCTTTACATCTGCTTTCAAGAACTAATAAAATTTTTCAGGTTTTTTTTCCTCCAGCATTTGTACTTCTACACGAATCAGCACAGCTGTGGTGACAACATTGACCAAGTAGCCAGTCGCGGTACCGCAGATTACTAAATCGAGTTCCCAGTAGCCCCGGGGCTTCCCTGATGCAAATCAATGACGGCCGGAACGAGGTCACGGACAAGCTTACCCTCGGTGGGCCGCCACCACCTCCGCCTCCCTGGGGGCGTGAGGCACCGCGTGGGTTGCACGACTTCGGGTCCACCTGCGGGGCGAGGCAAGCGGGGCACGGTTACAATTCAGACGAGAAACCTCGCTCCACTTGCAAGACCGACATCATTATAGCTGGCGACAGGTTGAGAGCAAAGTGGAAGCTCCGGCACTCGCTCAATTCCACAGCGAGCAGCCATGGAACAGCATTATTTCAACACATCTTTTCTCGCGCATCATTCTTCCTTCCTTGGCTTGAAAATCATTCGACAATGTTGTAAATGACCATTTCTCATTAACAGTATGCATTCTTTTTACCTGCAAAACCTTCCCTCCAATGAAACGCAGTTCCAGGGTCGGCCCATAGGTGGGCCGACCCCAGAACTCATCTCGACAGAAGAGATTGCGACACGCCGGTCGTAAGCAGACGCCAGAGCACAAAAGGGCCTCGCGGCACAAACTGGACTCCACGGTCGAGGTCCACGTCGTGGAAACTATGTCGCACGGGCGAGAGGAGAAGGAGCGTTACCGTGCGTCCGTCGAGCTGGTGGGGCCCTCCGGCGAGCACCGTGGCCACGCAGCTGGGGTCCCTGAAGGTCACAAAGCCGAAGCCTCGCGACCGGCCCGTCTCGTTGCACATCACCACGCTGTCCACCACTTCGCCGAAGCGGCTGAAGTAGTTCAACAGGCCATCTGGAGTCGCAAAAAAAAAAAAAGAGCGGGCGCGTCATGACCCTTGGCCTAGGATGGCTGCCAGCTCTTCCCGCGACAAGGGCGAAAGACCCGGTCACCGCTATAGTTGGGCTCGCTTCGAAGGAACATACTATGGAAATATCTCGCAAAATCCTTTCCCATTAGACGCTCTGATAATGTCTCCGTCATGCATAAACCTAATTTTCTTGGAAAGAAAAGATATTCCACAGCAATGTCCTTGTTGAGACTAATTTCTAATTCACATCTGCTGGCACAAGTTGGGCACGCACTCGCAAGTGTGACAGCTCACAAATCCTGCATCGATTTTTTGGACTCTAATAGCAGCAGTGGGTCTGGTCGTGAATCCAGATCATATTTTAGTTGCCAAGACCTGTACTTCTCAAAACTGCAGCTTGGGTGAGGAGTTGATTGAACACATTGCCAACTCCACAGCGCACAAATAGTGTGTTATATTTGTGCGCTGTAAGGTCAGTAACATGTGCTTCGTAAAAGTGAGAAACTGGCTTGCCAAATGGCGTATCGGTCGTGAAGGTTGACTAGCTTCTTGGCAGCTTGAAACCTTTTTGAGCTAGAATCCTAATTCTTGTGGAACCTTTTTGTTGTCAAAATAAGGAACATCCTGTATATTCCACATTTCTATTTGTTCTAGTAATTAAATTTTTTGTGGATATCAAGTTCTTGCCTTGTAGTTTTCATCATACAAATGTACCAAAATGTTAAGGTGGGCTATATAAAGCGCAAAAGACCAACAAGGATATGGTGAAGACGGGACAGCGTTTCAATCAAAATACGCAAGGATCCCTCAGACTTTTTTATTAAAACACCAGCAGTGACTATTAAGTATACCACCCACTGTCCTGTCTTTTCGTGTCCTTGTGCCCCATACACTTTACATAGTTAGTATCATTTAAAAAGCACATTTATTCAGCTTTTTTTCTATGTATGTCAGTCTCCTCAGGAAAAAAAGTAACAAAATCCACACAAAGCGGGCATTTTACCCACGACCAGAAAAAAAGCAATCGCATATTTGCAAAAAAAAAAACAAAAAAAACATGCAAAGTGACTGAAATTAGAGGACCAGCTTGGTGGGACTTTGCTGTAGCTGAACGTGTGCCCTGCTTTAGAATTCAACTGTGCACCAAAGGCCATTTTACGTCAAAGGTTTCTACCAGGGAAAGTTCTGCAAAATCGCCCGTGAAATTTGCAGATGAACGAACAGGCATTCGTAGAACATCAAAACCTCCTCCGCCAAACAGACCTTTTTTTCTAAATTGCCACACTGCACATGCTAGCTTCTGCCATAGCAACTTTCCCCAAGCAAAATCCAAAACAAATGGCATGGTCGCCACTTCAGCAATTTACTTCCAATTTTTCACACGTGTAAGGCACACACGCGTAGCACATATACAAGTTTCACGCACCACACGTGCTATCATTTCCAAACAGCAACTTTCCCTGAGCAAAATCCAAAACAAATGGCACATTGGCAGACGCCTTATCTCAGCAAGGTCCCATTTCACATCTTTGACGCAAGTAAGTCAAGCTCGAGTAATGTGTGCGCCAACGTTTGCGGGCGAGGGTGGAAGAATGGAGGAGAAAAGAATAGTCACAAACGGGCGGTTAGAAGATTGGTGGAAAAACATTGCCCAACCTGAGGGGCAATGTTTTTAGTTGCCTTGCCCGATCCCCCAAAGGCAGCCGGCAATATCAAACACTGCCCAGTGATAATTGCAATCATACTTGTTTCTACACTAGGCGGCGCAAGCTACTGCCCGCTATAAAGGGTACGGCCATTGGCATCCGTCTAGCATTCTCCTCGGCAGCTGGGTAATTTAGCAAAAGGTATGTTCCACTGATTTCTACGACGATTTGCTTGATTGATCATCTCCGCTTCGAGCCCATTGTGCGACCAAAGCCACCCATCGTCCATCTTACTCTACCTGCTGAAGCATTGTCGAGGATGTAATCACGTGAACCTTGCATCTGTTGTCACGTGACGACAGCTTTCACGACGCCTTAGCGGGTGACATAAGAGGGCCCACCGGTGGCCGCAATCGCGCAATGGACTCGCAGCGGAGATAAGCAATCCAGCAAATCGTCACAGGGACCAGTAGCCTGTTCAGCTCCCAGCTCGTAAATAAAAAAAAGAGGCTACAGAAAACGAGATCATTCGGCAAACAGTGGTATGTAGGTGAACCCCGAAAGGCAGCGCGTGCGAGCCACTGCGGACGGAACTGCTGGCAGTTAATTGCAAAGGGGAGAGGGAAGCGAGGCGTCCCCCTCTCCCTCTCCACACCTGTGTCCACCAGCTCGCACAGCACGAGCACACGGGACACAGCTGCACGCCGCTGTCGAAGGGCCCCGGCTACAATCCTGTTTTCCGGCAGGGGACAGGTGGCAGGAACCTAGTCTTTTTTTTTTATTATTGCGATATTTTATTGGCCTCGCACGTCCTACAACGAAGCAAGCAGGCTTCCACAAATCCACAAAAAGATGGCTCAAAGTATTTCCTCCAGAACTATGGTACCCAGAACAAGTTTCCGACAGGTGTGCTTAGCGTGCCATCCTGCCCATACATCAAAAGCAACCCCAAAGTAGAAACAAATGGCGGGTGCGATCCCAGTCAATGGGTGCTTCCAGTCCCGGCAAAAACTTTGAGCGAACGTAAGCGCTGCTGTCGTCGCGGCTTCCCAACCCCCTAGTGTTCGTCGACTGTTTAGCTGGACAGCAGTGCGCAGCAGAACAGGCGTCTGCTACGTCTACCACTCCTGCTACGACACTGCTACGATCGTGGCCACGGACGACGTGACTCTTCCAAGACGTCACTGGGCGGGAATCAAGGGACCACTTCTTAGGGCACAGTAAACAGACCAGTGGGAGATGTGTTCCATGTACTGGAACACACGGAGGAAGGCAGAAGAGACTTCGCTGTTCCCGCCGAAAACTGGCTGTGAAACGGGCAGTTAACTTCCCTAGCTCATTCCTCACCGTCCCAGGAAGCTCCCAATTTTCTATAGATGGCAATTTTTTTCCTTCTAAAAGGAAACTATGAGGCGTGCAAGCCTGGTTCTTCCATACGTCGTGAGGAAACACTTGCTGCTCAAAATTGGGTGGTTCTCTCCCCCGTGACAACGGCAGTCCGAAAACTGGGCAGTTTATGTGCAGAAGGAAGTCAGATTTTGAGCAGCAAATTTAAACCGCACATTCGGGACGGTCGAGAAGTAACGAGCTGCCCGAGGCATGTCCTCACGACAAAACGGCTAGAATTTATACAACTTTGTGTAACCACCAAATGTATGATGATAGAAGAAACCTCGTCCGGCGCTGTTGTGACGAGTGAAGCGGTTACGGCATCGCAGATTATGACGTCACCTTCCTGCTAGTACTGAAGCTCCGGTTAACCTCACTTGTATTTCTCTGCGAATGTGTCGAAACATTAGTAGAGGCTTCGTAGTTTACGATACGACACACGCACAAAGGTGTCAGCGGAGCACCGGGCATTGTTATCCAAGGTATTGGAACAAGCTACTAAAGCTCTCTATTAATTCAGTGACGTCCAGAGACTGTTCTAGCATTCCATGCGAATAAAATATATTGTGTCTCTGGAGAAGTGTTTTGTTTGCCAAACAGTTACCCATACTCTTCTTTTCCTCTTGTAGCTGATAGGCTGTCCCCAGTATGCCTATTCCGATCAGACCAAGGTGTAAAAAATAATAGGGGACACACGGGCACGCTGGCAAACTTTCAACCTCAGTCACTCAAAGGTATGCCAACTTCCTTTGTTCTTTTTGGACTCACATTTCCGGGAGATTAGGTGCAAGTCTTGTTTCCCTCCCTACCAGAGCCAAGTGGGACATAGGAAAACTATACAATGCCAATGCGAACTGTGCTGCACCCGTTCCACGCTCACAACAGAGAAATTGATTTAACTAAACAAGAAGTCTGATTCAGGGCTTCATGTCTCTAGGCAAACTGAGTAGTGCATACTTAAGTTCTGAACTAGCTCAGATCGTTTTAAAATTAACTTTCACTTGGCAGTTTTTTTTGTTTGTTTTTTTTTTAAATGGAGGTTTTGTTTGATATCCTAAACAAGTTCAGGTTGCTGTAAAATAAACTTTCAACGGGCAGTTTTTTTTTGTTTTTTCTTTTGTCAAGATGAAACATTTTTGTAAAAACAACAACGTCAAACGAACCTTACTTTTCTGAAAAGCCGTAACATTCACACAAAACAGAAGCCCGCGTGTCCTGTCGTTGTTTGTGATTTCATAAAAATGCACAAAAAAAAAAAGATAAAAAATGGCGCCGTCTGCCTGAAACGCGATTCTTATCAATGTGTCAGTGGCACGACGCAGGCGCCGATGACGAATTCTCCCCAAGCGAGTTCGTTGACAGCGCGAGCGACGGCTCGCGACAAGGACAAGAAAAAAAAAAAAAAAAGAAAAAGAAACTAAGCTTACCTTGCGTAGTCTCCCAACTGAGACCGCCAACGAAGATTTTCCTGCAAAACAAATAAAAAAGAACGTTATTATTCGCTATCGACCTTCGACGACAACCAGACATCACTGGGAAATCTCGAAGAACCGCTACCACACAACATAAAAAGGAGGGGGAAAAAAAAAAAAAAAAAGACGGCGTGTTTTAACAGATCGCCGGCAATCAGTCACCCGAACTCCGCCGAAAATCGGTTCTTTATCGTACAGAAGCACTTTCAATTACCGAATACCTTCGCGGTACGAAAAACAAAGATGAAAACGAGGGTATTCGGGCCTGAATCGGTTCGGTCTTTGAGGAAAAATCGGCAGAGAAAAAATGTTCCGTTCTTCCCGCGCTGTGGCCACCATTGCGCCGATTTCTGGAAACACGCAGCCATGGCTTCCTCGATCGAACGCGGCGGCCGCGTTCGACCAAAATTTCCGATCGAAGAAATTGAAGCAGAGCGTCGTGTAAGGTTATTTCCAAAGTTCAAAAATCGGCTAGCATCACCTACGTCGCAAGGTTACGTAGAGTTATCGCAATAAAAGCCGCCGAGCGGGGCGGAAGAAAAAAAAAAAAAAAACGGCAAAAACCCACCAAAGACAAAACGTTCCGCGATAGTGCTATGTGCGACAGTCCTAGCTACTTCGTGAGCGAGTTTTCACGCTTGTTAGAGCGTCAAATGAGAAATATACGCACCCCTGTTCTTCGGTATTCCGCCGTGCCATGTTATGTCAGTGTGAAACTTCGAAATCGGAGATCAAGACTAACGTTCTTTGTACTGGAGAGCCGTGTAGCACGTACTACCGCCCGATGATGATGCGTCGGTGTGCAAAGAGACAAAGAAATGCAAAAGGTGCAAAAGCAAAGGGCGTCTCTCAGGGTTCGCAGACTGTTTACTTTGAAGTCGCTGCCGCATAGAGAAACCCGTCAAACCACTGATGATATCTGGTCAAAAACGCGAGTTTTTATTAACGAAATTATTATCATAATTGTAGTGTACAATTTTATAGTGAACTATACAAAACACCAAAAATCTACAGAGCGAAGTGGATTCACCGAAGGAACGGTCAAAATACTGGACATGACCAGACGTTATGTCAAGCCTGTCCTGCCTATCCTCCAGCACCTCCAGCTTACCCTGGAAACTTGTAACAGTTGCAGGACAAACGTTGCTTTAGCCCGCCGTAACAAAACACTCACACCGTAAACGTAAACCTTTACTTCAGTTTGTAAACACGATTTATTTTATAAAGGAACATGTTCGTATTTGACGATGGGTCGATGTCAAGAGCACTGTAATGAGTATCCAAACCCTCAAGCTGCGGCGTTGAGGGAAGCTATCAGCTTTTCAACCTTACACATGGTATCTTCGGGAGATGTCACTGTGTGCCCTACTGTCCGTGGATCCACAAATATCTCGTAGTCGTTGCCCCCTTCGAACGTCTTGTCGCCGAAGAAATGTATCGTGGTGAACTTGTCATCGAGTAGCCGCTGAAGACAGTAGGTTTTATCCCAGCCCCGTGGGAACACATCAAAGCTGATTTGGCCGCCGATGGAGTATTGAAGACCATAGTCCGGGAATTTGTCCCGCAGCGCCTTGACGAAGGCGGCCCGAACTCCGTGCTCCTTGTCGTACTCTTCAAAAGCGTCTCGCTCCGACTGGCTACAGTTGCGGCCGATCGGAGAGACGTTCAGGAGGCCGGCGCGGAATTCGATGAAAGTCCCTCGTTTCTGGGGGATCTCTAAGTCCGCCACGTAGCGAAGGCAGAAGTTGACGAGCTTCTGCAGCCTGTCTTCGCCAAGGAAATTGAGAAAACTTTCTTTGCTCACGAGTTTTCCTTTCTGGTGGGTCACCAGGCCGTTTTCAGAAAAGACGTAGTCGAAGTCTGCTAGCGTCTTCGAACCACCCATCTGTTCTTCGATCTTGCCCAGGTCTGAACCACCAACGATTCCAACAACAACTTGGGCGCGAAGCCGCTGCAAGAAACTGGACATTTCGGGCGTGATCACTTGCCGGCTTTTAGTGAGCGTACCGTCGACGTCGAACAAGAAGATGGTTCCTGGAAGCCCCGACATTATGGATCAGTCACGGTGACTGCGGAGATGCAGCCCACGCAAATACGTGCGGAGCAGACAACTGCAGCAGTACTGCAAGGAGCGAAAACCTTTGATCGCGTGGCGATAACGTGGACGCAAACGTAACCGTCACACCTTGTATACGTAGCTGTGTTTGTTGCATCAGCCAGTGTGTCAAGCTCTCAGAGACGTTGGAATGTCAGAGACTTGTGACACTTCGAAGAACTCGGCATATCAGATTTAAACGAAAGAAAAGCGGACGGCTAGCAGACAGCAAAACGGCAAAACTTTGTGAAAGCGAGCAGCTGACCATCCAAAAACACGATTAGACGGCAACTTAGACACTTAAACTGCTTAAACCGGAAGCTCAAAAACGAACGAAGTTCCGTCCCACCAACACGCGAATCCGAAACCGATAAACACGTAAGATCCGTCAGATTCATAGAAAGTCGAAGCACAAGCCAAACACACCAAGCCGGTCAAGTAGCGGTACCATTAAAAGAATATTCGAACCACGACAGAGGTAACACATTTTGTAACGATAATGATGATTGCGCGGTTAGCGGTTAGCGCCACCTTGAGAGTAAAAAGTACACTCGTCTTTTTAGTGGACACAGTCGGTCGAGTGGCTTGTGATGCGCCCGGCGATTTCGTGAAAATTCCCCCAAGGACATTCGTCATACTTTCTCTCCCATTCCGCAACCCTTCCGTGACCGTTGGAAAGTTCTCTCCAAACATCGAACATGCTGTCGCTGAGGCTTCTGCTGCAAAGAAATGTCGCTCAGGTGAAATGCCACATTTGTCTAAACGCGAGAACTTTAACCAACGTCAACCTCCGTTTAGGCTTGTTTCAAGTGCAACCCAGCGGTTCGCGATATTGACACAAATCTGGGAGATTTCGTTTCCCGATTTAAGTACTACTCGACTCTGGTCTCGCTTGTACGTATCCCGGAAATGATCGTGTTGGGAACGAATTCCAATCAATGCCACCGAAAAGTTCTACTAAAATGAAGTCTCGACATGGTCGAGGACTCGAAATGATACGTACATTTTTTATAGGCCGGTACAATCCTCGTGTTCTGTGTCCTTATCTATTCCGCAAGCGGTCCAGAATGCTACTAATCTCTATAACATGTGGCAGTCGAGATAGCTTCTAGACAAAATACATAGTCCCACTTTCAAATTACGCAGTCTGTATAATGCATGCATCGTGCAGAGCTGAGCGCAGTGCGATGCATTCTAGCGACAGTCATGACACAAAAAGAAAAAAAAAAAAAAAAAAAAAAAAGTGAAATTTAGTTTTGCACAGTCATCCTCCTCACCCTTAGGTATGCCCCCCCCCCCCCCCTTTGTTTTTATTGGACCGTCTCACCCATTAGCCAAACAAACAAAAGAAGTATAATTTCTTGAAATTTGATGGTCCACGCATATACTTTGGCGCACTTTATGTGCGGGCAAAGCCGGAGCTACAAACTTGTACTGCACAAGCGCGTTTCTCGGGGATGCCGATAGCCTGGAGCTCGCTCTTGTAGCTTCTGCTACGCCCGCATTTAAAGTGATAGGGAGTGTACATGGGGGGCTCGCACTGATATCACGTCAGTGGGTATTGTGAAGGATCTTGCTGCTATGTGCATAGATTGCTTCTTCCTGCTGCATAGATTCCACACCACCAAGTTTGCCTTAGTCGGCAGAAGTAGGAACGACCATTGGTACGGTGTGATGACGTCTTATGCAAGCTGTGTATAGTCTTGCCAGAGGTAGAAATGCAATGGAACTGTTTGCCCCAGAAGCAGCGAACTAGAAGGGGAGAAAAAAGGATGTTATTTTGTAACATACCGGTTTTATTAAACAGTAATGAGCCAACTGCAACCAATAGCCACTTTAAATCTATACGCATCAGACGACGTCTTAAAGGGACACTAACAGGATATTTATGCTCACCAAAGTTTTTATTCAAGCATGACCTATAAGAGCCCAGCTACTAAATTTGTTTCCTTTCGGCCCATAAACAGCCGGTCGTGAATTGGCCGATTTCAGTCGCCCTCACTCTCTTTTCTACACGTGGTGTTCAAACTATGTGTATCAAATACATTTAAAGTCGTGGGTCATCGAAAGAACGCTATCAATATTAAAAATAGAAAAGAATATGAACCCTGTTTTCATGACCTTCAAAAAACTGCAAATACGCTGATCGAAAAAAAATTGTTGCACAGATGACGGGAAGTAGATGTGCACATCATTCTCAATATGGCGACGTACTGCGGGCTGGGCGCCGGAAAGGCGACGCACAGCGAACCAATGTTGCAATGGACGTGGCGTGGCTCATTCGGAACTGTCGTTCGTGGTACCGGCCAATCGATCTTCAGGCGCAGAACAGCGAGGGGAATGGATATAAGTGCGAAAGAATCGCACAACAAACGGTTCAAGCAACGTCCTTGTCGTCGTCTGCTTGACAACCCCGAGAAGCAGACGGACAGAAAAAAAACTGGGTAGGGTGTGATAGCCCCTGACTTCCGGCAACTCTCCTCCAAGCCTCCGTGCACATGTTTCAGTTTTGAGCAGTTGCGCTTTTTTTACTTTATTAAAAAGAGATGCGACTTTGTAACAAAATATTGATTGGGTAGTCTTCTGATCGCATACTAAATCGCCTGGCAAAAAATACAAACACTTTTGGGGACGTTGTCAGTGTTCTGGCAAAATTTTGATTTCGAAATCGGCAACCCAAATTACGAGTTGCAATCGTTTGTTTTCACAAAGTTATTAAAGTTTCAAATTTGGTCTGAAAGGTTGAGACGCCTTACTGACAACAGCGAAAACATGATGTCAGATGTTGTATAATATGGTGGCAGTGCAGCTCGTTCCTGACGATTTACAAAAACAAAACTTGTGCCAGCAAAAAAAAAAAACAACAAAAAAGCATGCTTAAAACACCAGAAAATCTAGGCTTCCCGCTTGACTTGCAAGCTAAACAACATGCGACGTCGCTCTGCTGGAGTGCGCATTAAAATTTGATTGTTGGTTTTGGCATCACCTTCCTTTACTGTTCTCTCAATGGCTATTTTGAAAATAGAGGTAATGAATGGCATGCCAGAAAGAGTGAAGCCTGGGTATTCCAAAAACGTTTCTAGTTTGGGAAGTTAAAAGCAGCCGCTTCTGTTTGCCGACTTCCACCAAACTCGACTGAACGATTGCAGGGCCTGGCCACAACAGCGCTGTCGCGCAACAACAGCACCCTGGTGATCGCGGACCACAATGAGGGCCAGCTTTTGCCGTCGACGCTCAGCGCCATCGCAGCTGCCAAGAAAATTGGCGGAGACGTCGCCTGTCTCGTCGTCGGCAAGGGCATCTCGAAGGTGCGGCTTCTTTATTGTCTTCCCGTCTGGCAATTGCAGGCTGGCGGAGCTCGTGACAGAATGGAACGAGAGACTAAATTTGAAGGGATGCTGACAAGGCATTTCGGTGTGCCTAGGATTTTATGGTTCGTGACTTAATTGCATAAAGGTTTGTGCAGTTAAGTTACGTGAAATTGACGACTGTATTTGGATCTATCAATTAAGCTGTCACATGCAGAATTGCAACATGCAAGTGTTGGGGGGGGTCCCAATACATTTTTTTTATTGCCAGACTGATTAATTGTCACATGACATGGTCAGGTCGTGGTGTTAAAGGGGCAGTGCAACAATTTCATTGTGAAAAAAAAAAAAAAAGTTGCAGCTTATATTTTTAGATTGTTTATCTTGGCACAAGTAAGATAAAGTGTGCCCTCCGCCCCCGGAAATACTGCTAATGAGCTCCATTATCCCGAAGGAAGAAATTTGTTTTTCCGTACTGCAGCTGCACGTGGCAGTCAGTGATCTCTCGGAAGTGAACGAAACCGTTTTCTCTCTGCCGCTACCCTTCTCGTCTTTCTCATGGCGAACCGTCTTTTGTCTCGGTCGCTCGCCTCAATCTTCAGTGGAAGGTATCATAGTTGAATCGGACCTTCAGAAGTCGAGGGCTGGGGGTCCTGAATATAGAATTGAATGTGATACTCCCAGTGACAACACATGTGCACCTCACGCGAAAGACTGTGCAAGTTGAGTACTACCCCAAACCTTCCATTTGTTTAGATTCTTTTTTTTTGAATATAAAAGCTAGCTTGTGCAAGAAAAGATAGTTTTTTGTACTTCATTCTATAAGCGACACAAACCAATAGACCGATCTCAACAGCCAGTTTGACTACGCTGCCGCAAAGCATCGAGGGATTAGTCTTTCTGCACGTGCGGCAACCTTGCTAAAGCTCTGCGCATGTACAGCACGAGATGGCACGAGTCCTATCGTGCACCGCCGTCTTCCTTCTTTGAGCTAAAGTTATGGCGGTGTCACGCATGCACCAAACACTCGGTGAGATCGGTCTATTCTCGCGATTGATTGGCGAAAATCCGAAAATTGTTGCACCACCCCTTTAAACGGACACTGACGGGGTATTTATGCTCGCCGAGGTTTTTAGTTGTATGTGACATATGAGAGCCCAACTACCCAGAACAGAATTTGCGGCTCAAAATTTGGTTTCTTTCCGCCCGAAAACTGCCGATCAAGAACTGGCCGGTTTGAGTTACGCTCACTCTCTTTTCCATGGTCACGGGCCGTTTTCTAAGGTTTCGACACGACCACCAAATTTAATCAAAGTCGTGGGTCATTGAAGGCATACAGTCAATACTAAAATTGAAAAAAAAAAAAATATGAAACCCATTTTTTTGTGGTTTCAAAAAGCTGCAAATGTGTTAATTGAAAAATAAGGTAGCACAGATAACCGGAAGCATTCTGTGCGTTCACTGCATAATTCTCAACATGGCGTCGTTTTGCGTTTCGTGGTACTCGCGGGTGGCAGTGGACGACAGACGTGGAGCCTCTACTTAAGAACTGTCCTTCACGGTACCGGTGAATTCTGTCTTCCTTCGAGAGGGAACTTTTGGACTGGTCAAAAGAATTGCTATTAATCCCATACGACACGCCCGACCAGCAAGCCAGTTGCACGAAGACGTCGCTGAGCCGTCGTCCCTTCTTGTGGCCAAAGACATCGCTCGCGCAAACGTCAAGCACGAAGTGCGTACATCGAGTTCAATACTCACGCGTACAGTTTCTTTACTAGGTGCGAATGTGGCCAATGCGTGGTGCTGCCCGACTTCAATCTGGGAGTGTATGCACTGGAGGGAATCAGCAGCAAACTTTCCGACATGCAGTCGACCGTCTGCATTACTAGATATCAAGAGTTCCTTCAGTAGCTCAGCGGAAAGATGTCCGCTTCACACGCAGTGGGCACGTGTTCAATCCCTAGTGTAGGCGTACCATTTTTCTTTTTTTCAAACATTTTGCTATGTTTACATTTCTTTTTTTTTTACAGTTATCACTGAAAAAAAAAATTGTTGTGAACGATACGTCGCTGAACTAGATGGTATGGGATTCAATTTTCGACACCTCTGCCACGCAATGCCACTTTCAGATGCAGGACATGTGAGGCAGCTCTTCACGCAACATCTTGGGAGCATTCTTTTCCGAGCCGATCTCGGGAATTCACCACAGGCACTCACTACTACTACTACTACTACACATTGCCAACACTTAAGTGTACAAAACAATTCATCTTGAAGTACAGAACAGCGAGCGGAACAAACGTAACTGCAAAGGAATTGCACGGCGAACGAATCCCGGAACGCATTTCGTCTGCTGCAGCCGGAAGAAAAAAAAAAAACGCATGGTCGGGTGTAGCCACATGACTTCCGCCACTCACTCTCTCCTCTCTACTTCTTTGTGCGGTGCTGGGGTTTCGGTTTCAGTTTCGAGCAGTTACGTTTTTTGGCTTTATTAAAAAAAACATGTGACTTTGTAGCAAAATATTAATTGGGTAGTATTCCGACACCATAATAAATCACCTGTCAAAAAATTAAAAAAAAAAAAAAAAAAAATTTGGGTGGTGTTAGTGTCCCTTTAAAGGGATACTGCAACGAAATTCTAGTACCTATTGTCAACCACGTTCTGGCCACGCCACGGAGACACCAATTTTTTGCTTGAAAAGGCACCAAAACATTGTTTAGAAGGAATAAACTGAATGTTGTTACGTCACTATGACCTTAAAGAGATACAACTAAACCTCGTTATAACAAAATGGGATATAACAAACTAATGGATAGAACAAAGCAATCATAATTCCCCTTGCTCGCTAATAGTGGGAAATGGACATTGGCTATAACAAACTAATGGTTATAACGAAATAATTACGACCGCTCCTTGAACTTTGTTATAACGAGGCTTTACTGTACTACAACAAAATTTCGGTGCTTATTGTTTGGTCTATATGTGTTCAAAGGAGCATTGGGCACACCAATATCTTGTTAAAAGAGACACAAAAAGAAATTTTAAAACAAATTAAACGACTAGCAAAGAGCACCTGGTGGATGTCGCTAAAGCCTCGTTTGTAACGCCCATCTAGGAGCCTTGACAGGTAGTGAAGGTAACTGTATCGCCTAGAACTATACAAGCTTTGAATCTGACGTCATCCCGACTGCTCTACGGCCAGCACAATAAGAGGGGAGGGACGAAATTCCTTACTTACCGGGACTCTCTTTTCTGTGTTCTAGACGTCGCTGTTCTCCCCTACAAGACAATAGAAGATTAACCCGTCGCTCAAAATTCACACAAAAGCATCTTTGCGGTTAGTTGCAGTGGCCCAATCGCTGGCGTGGTTCGACCGCTTCGGTGGCTGAAATGGCTAGGGCATCCTAACAACGTCGGCCTCGCTGCAGCTTTGCTCATCGTGAGAGGGACTACGTCACAATGGCATCGGATGCGACATGCTCTCTGCTGGCCGCTCTCAGAGCGCATGCCAGAGTGGGCCGTTTATAACGAAAAATACAGCCATCGGGCTCAAAATATACAAACGTGCGATTGTCATTTACGGATATTGTGTATTATATTCAGCCTATTTCTGAACATGACGTGTATATCTCAAATTTCATTAAAGTATCCCATTAAAAGCAGGTCTGCTCCACGAAAGTATGGCAGCAAGTTGCAGCCGCGCGAGCCCTGTCGAGATCCTGATTTCCCCTCCCTCTTGACCTAGTCAGCTCCTGCGGGGAGCGGGGAGGGGCAACGAGAACGGCCAGGTTCTAAGACATTGACGACACTGAAGTGGCGGAGCTCATAACCACGCCAACCCCCAAGCAGCTTTGCCCGTGCTGGGCCATTCGGTGTCACGTCTCATGGGATGCGTCGCGCTTTCCGATGGCGGATCTTTGAGCGCTTGCTGGAATCGGCCTTTTGGAACAAAAAATATAGCCATCCGTTCAAAATACAAGCGTGCGATTGTCATTAGCAGATTGAGTTAATCACGTTTAACTTATTTCTGTACGTGAGAGGTATATTTTGGGTTTTGATTCAGTATCTCTTTAAATGGCGTCGTGCGACGCCTTAGCGTCGTGTGGTGTGAGCAGTGTCATGCGATGCGGCGCTGCTGTGCTGCAGGCGGCCAACACACGCGACGCTTGCGAGATCTGACTTAGCTTCCGTAAGAATGACATTCTGCATTGATAGCCATATTGGTAACTTAATTGTGTTTCAGTTAAAGGAACTGTAAGTCTGCGACTTTTCAAGAGAAACTTTAAATGCTCCTTGGGGTACGGCTTGACGTGCACGACCGCAAAAGATTGAGAATCGTCTGCCGGTGTTTTTGTGGCAGGCGGCCTCCGAGGTGAGCAAAGCAGATGGACTGATGAAGCTGCTAGTGGCCGACAACGAGGCTTTCGATGGCCTTCTGCCCGGTGAGTCTGTAGTCTAGTCTAGTCACTGCCAGGATTAGAATGGCAGGGAGGTTCTTCAGTTGCTCCGCCTCCAGTGCAATCTTTCACATCGCTTCCGAATTTAGTGTTCCTATCCTGTAGGGGATTGAAGTGTCTTTGAGGATGCATGCAGTTACAGACAGATTCAATGAAGTCTGTTCTTCGCCCCCAATTGTTCCAATCTGGATGACTTTTGTGTTGTTGTGCGCTTGCGTAATTACTGATGTGTGACGTTAGTTAAAAACCACAGGTTAGCAGTTCGCACCGCCCTGGCCAAATGATTCATGCGCGCAAATACGCATATTGCCACATTTCGATGACTGACAAAATTCATGCTGTCTAGGAATCTGTGCACCCCAGTTAAGTTTCACAAACAGGTAAAATTGCATGGTTAATGGACCAAATTTCAGCAGCGCTCTTGCTCGGTGTATTAATTGCTGTTAGCACCGATTTGTTTGACGCAGGTTCTACCGTACCTTTAAAGCTCACACTTTATACAATGTAAATTAGCCTGGGTAAGGGAAACAATAGTTTTCAATAGCAGAAGGGACAGTAAAAAAGAAAGAATCTAAAAGAAAGTGATGATAAGGAAAACTTGTTTTTCCTGAATCGTGATAAACCTCCAACAGCTTGCCTTCACTCATTTTTTCTTCACATTCTGCATTGTCAACTTTGCACTGCCAAAGCTGCTTACAATCTTACTTTAGTCTTCAAAAGAAACACAAGTAAACATACAAACAACTACGCTCAAAGTTTTTGCATAGAATTTCTCGCCGTGGTTTCTCAACAGCTTTGTAGTGGTTGTTTACACAAGCCCAGAGAAATCAATTTTGTTTCTTTCCTTTTTCTGTTTGCATTCGCAGAGCGGATCACACCAGTCGTGCTGGCCTCCTGCAAACAGTTCCAGTTCACGCACATTGTGGCTGCTTCCACTGCGTTCGGCAAGGCAAGGAGGACCCCTTCTGTACTTGCGTTCGAAGCATGACGCAGACATCTTTATTGTGTAAAGCGTGCGAAAGCCCGTACGTAAGCCGGAACGTATGCAGGGCAAAAAAAAAATGCGGTTCAGCCCGTACTCTCGACTAGGCTTGTACAGTGGTGTTGAATCTCCGGGATTACGGAGATTCAACGCGTATAACGCCGTGAATCTCCGTAATCCCGGCGGCGGCATGGCAGCGGAGGAACGTAGATACAGCAGACTTGCATTCTGCCGTAGCTTGCCCCGCAGCCGTAAACTCCAGCAGCCCGTGGGTTACCAAGAAGGTGAGCAGACAAGGGCAATGTCCGCTTCTGCTCGTCTTCGTCGCCGGTGCTTCTTCAATGCACTGCCAGGACTACGGTAGTCCAAAGTGCTCTTTCGCCGTCCCCTGTGCTGCATCTTGTTGCCCTTCTGGGGACACTGAAGCGCCTGCTCTACTTCAGGGTGCTGAGCACACCGGTTGGAAACGGGTGTTCCAAGCGTCATAGCTTACTCGCAGGAACGCAAGGCGACCTCGAGCGTTTTTTCGTGTCGTGTGCTACTACGGTCGGTGGCAGGACGAGAACAACGGGGAGACTCGCAAAATGTCTTTGCGTTATTGTTATGGAAGGTTGGAAGCTCGCACCGGAGGCGGGACGACCGAAACCTCTCCCCGCCGTCCTCACCCTGCCGGGAACCGCAGGTGGAATAGAAAGACAATTGAACGCTTATCTTCGTTCCAGAACCTACTTCCACGGGTGGCTTCCAAGTTGGACGTGTCTCCCGTGTCCGACGTGCTGGACATCAAGTCTCCCGACACATTTGTGCGCTCCATTTACGCGGGTACGTTGCAACTTCGTTATGGTCTTAGCCCTGCAACAACTATGCTCATTGGGGATGACTAACTTCTGGCTGTATAAACATACACACAACACAATTCACAACTATGTAATATCAATAAATTTCTAAAAAAATTTTTTTTTGGCCCAATATTTGGGGGCCTATTTTTGCAATGTTTGTTGGTGTATTTAGCACATTTTCAGGGAAATCGGGGACTATGAAAAAAACGCCAGAATGTTCCTTTAAGCCAGGGTTTCTCAAACATTTCAATCTCAGGGAACGCCCATCCCTTCTGATTGCAGGATGTCGAACCAAACCCGGATGCGAACCCAACTGCTGTAGCAAAACCGTTATTTTTGACCGAGCCTGAACAAAACGTAACCGGAATCGGGCATTTTATATTCAACCCGAGCCGGAACGAAACGGAAATCCTGTGCGGCAGTTACTGGATCGTTGGAAAACGGTTTGGTGTCAGGAATTGTGAGCCGTACCTTTCTTTTGCAGATGGCGGCGCAAAGTCAGTAAACGTTCGGGACGGTGGCATTAACGGTGCAGTTACGACTAAACAAGTGGCAGCGATATTGAGACAGTCTAATGTTAATGAAACGGACAAAAATATTTACCGATACGTGTGGCACAGCTCGGCGTCGGCGAATTAGGGCGAAGCACTTCTATCTGATTGTGTCGAGAGACTGCGGAGTTATTGTTTGTGCGTGCATGCCTCAGAGTTTTGCTGCTATACTCTGTTTCACCTTGCGTACATCGAAGCTTGGGAGTGGAGAATAATCAACTGTGCTCTCATTCGACACGCACGGTTTGGTCTATTTAATCTCGGGGTCAGTCGACGGTTGAGGGCTTTGCGGACGCCAAGGAGTCCTTCAGGGACCCCAAAGGGTCCGCAGACACCCGTTTGAGAATCACCGGCTCAGGTTTAAAAAAGAAATAAAGCTTCCACTGGAGAGAAGTTTTTTTTTTTTAGAGACGGGGATAATTGGAGGTACTTCGGGTCTTGGAGAATCCTTGAGGGTGTACTCTGGGGAATCCCTGGGTTCCTAGGACCCCACAGTACCCTTGTCGGTTCCCGAACCTTCCAAGTCTCTTCGAACGTCCCTGCTTCCAAGTAAAGTGTTTTCCCAGTTAAAGCCCTACAGTCTAAGCTCGTTATAACAGACCTTGATGTTGACCAAGATTTTGGTCTGTTGTAAGAGGAGTATGCTGTATGCAGATATGGAGTTGAGTCAATGGTATGTAGAGGAAAACCAACCGAACTTCACAAATCGGTATGTTATATCCAAATGTCTGTTGTAACCAGGTCTGTTACACTGAGCTTAGACTGTATTTTAGCAGATCTGGGCCATTGATTGATGCATAACAGTGAGCGAAATGCTCGCTACCGTTTGCATTACCGTCTACAAGATGCGTTGGCTTCTGCCCCGCTCTTTTGCATCAATGTCAAGACCGGGAAGGGCTCCTTGACTATAAAGCGAGGCAGGCGAGAGCATCTTGAGGTCGAAAAGTCAGACGACCCGTGCTCAAAGCCTAGCTTACTCAGAGACTCTAGCCCTAACGTTGACAAGATACCGACGAGCAAGAATTCCTGGCTTCGTCCACTGATGATCGGATCTTCCGTGTCGCGGCAGGAAACGCAGTCCAGACGCTCAAGGCCAAGGATACCGTGAAAGTGCTCCTCGTGCGGGGAACATGCTTCGAGGCCGTTGGTTTAACGGGCGCTGGCGCCGCTTCGGAAGACGGTAGGTGTTCGTTTTTACGTCGTTACACCACCATGTTCCGTTTTTGTTCTTCTCTCCTCGCACTCGTCACTGCCGACGACGGGGCCACAGTCGCACACATTTGCCGTTCAGTTTCGAGGGACCTAAACGCTTTCGTTGGTCGTGAACAGTTAGCTCTAATCGTATTGCCGTCAGCAACCATTACGTTAGGATGCCTCGTGAATAAGGAGCTGGAGGCCGAAGTTGGGGCATTTGCATTTTATTTATTTTTAAATACTACTGCCAATTCATTTGCTCAGTCCAGTAGTATTGCATTTGTATTGCCCCTGTTGCATAAAGAATAAACAGTTACTATCTAAAACTAATACCTACACTCGAAGAAAACATTGCAAATAGTTGTATCGCTCCATTTAGCCCAACTTCCAATCAAACTACAAGTATACCTTTAAAGGGGCGGTGCAACAATTTTCGGACTTCGGTCAAAAATTTGTGGAAGTTGCCCCCTGACACTTCTGAAGTAAAGAACAGAAAACCGATTTCGCCTGCGTGTCCTAGTTTTTGCGTAAAAAAAAGATAAAGATTGGTATTTCGGGCACCCCTCAACTCACTCCCAGTCTTCAGGGTCACACCTGGTCGCACTCCCAGTGACGTCATTCGGAGTGCCGTGTAGCTTCCCGTGTGCTATCTCGGAGGACGCTTCCCCTCCCTCCCTCTGTGTGCATTAGCGGGCGTTAGGCTGCAGCTTAGAGCCGAGCGAGGTCACGTAATCTTTCCGCCGTAGTTCCTTCGGCTGCCACTTGGGGCTGCAGGTGGGGGAAAAAGCTCGAGTTTTGCTTTGCGATTATGCAGCGGAATCGCAACATTTTTAATGAAGGAAGTGTTTTCTCTATTCTCTGGGACACGATAAACAATGTAAAAATGACGAGATGAAAATTCTTTTAATCATAAAATCATTGCACCGCCCCTTTAAAAAAAAAAATAAGACGTTTACAACACCCTGTAACGCCGAATTAGAGCACAGCTCTTGAGGAGAAGGAGGGAAGGGCAGTGAGGAAATGGTATACCCCTCCTCCCTCCTCGTCCTTCCCTCCCCTCTCCCTCTTCCTCCCCCTCCTTATCCTCTCTCCCCCTCTTCATTTTCCCTCCTCCTCGTCCTCCTCCCCTCCCCCTCCTCCACCAGTGGCGTAACCGCGGTGATGTTTCGGCACCATGCTAAAACGTCACGAGGGCGACGTTTCAGCATGGTGCCAAAACGTCACCGCAGTGCATTAGGGGACGAGTGACGTCACCAGGGTCACCGGTGACGTCACGAGGGCGACGTTTCGGCATGGTGCCGAAACGTCACCGTGCAAAAACTCCACCGCAATTACGCCGACGGTGGCGCCGCTCAATCCAGAAACGGGCACCTAAGAGCTTGGCTTTAAAAGTACCAGAAACTACTTTTGCTTCGAGATTTTTTCAATTTCTGAGTTTCAAGAATACTTTGCAGAAACAAAATTTTGCGATTTGAAATGGTACGCTACGTGCTTGTTACCATGAGGTAACATATTGGCGTGATGAACTTTTCGTAATATTTTGTTGGGTTGCGTAATTCGCAAACGTTAGGTCCTCGCAGAAACCGAGTCGTGTACAGTATTCTTTGTTATGGCATCGACCCATTTTGTCGACGATTGCGCTTCACGCAGCCCCCACTGCGGAGTTTGACCAGACGCTGTCGGCGTTTGAGGGCCAGGAACTGAGCAAGAGCGAACGGCCGGAGCTGACCAGTGCCAAGAAGGTGATCTCGGGAGGTGAGCTATCTTTTGCTTTGTGCCAACGCAAGACGTACAGACTGACACGCCGCTTTATAAACAAGTCTGCGTTTGCCCGCACCAAGTGCGGGCACTGCGCATGCGCAGGAGCCAGTACCTTCTAAAGTGTCTGCGCCGCGACGACAGCAGCGGCACCGCAGCAGCACCGCAACGTTAAAGCTGCATGTTGGTGTATAGGAAATCTTTGGCCTCAAAGATTTTCATCCTAGAATTTTCACTTATGCCTCGTTAGGTTCTGTAGCCTTTGTAATAGCACACAGAGATACAATTATTTTTTTGGATTTAAACTTGTTTTGTACCGTTCATAATCCTCTAAAATTAAACTTTACTTTCAATGTTAGAAGAAAACCGACCAAGCAATTTGAAATCCTAGCTTCGGGCATTTTTGGGAACACTTAACTCCCAAAACAATGTAACAAAATGCATTCCCCCACTCCCCTCCAAAGAAAAAAAAAATGAAGACAATATTACGCTATAATACACAATTTAAATGGTGCTGCGGATGTAACATACACCTGCCATCATTCACACTCGACCCTTTTACAATGTGCTGTATATGGAGGTGCGTCTTGCCCCGTTTTGCACCCTCCCTCCAACCAGCACTCCAGTTGGGGGAAGACTGAGCATTAGGCAATGCATAATTACTTTTGCAAAAAAAAACAAAATTTGCGGTGGCTTAGCTTGGCTATGCCAGGATATACGTAGCGTGAGCTTATGCGCACAAAACGAAAGGCGCTATCAAGCGGCTCCGGTGCAACGTTGGGCTTGGCTACTGCGCTACGGAGGCGCACAGCTGGGCACGCGGCAGCGCCAGTGCGTCTGCCGCGGCTATGACGTCACTCCTCTGGAATGCGCAGATCGGCGAGGCGAGCGCGGCGGCGGCTTCGCGTGGCTCTCATAATGAGCCGTGCTCATTATGCGTGCTCAATATGTGGAGCTCCACCGCGCGCTCCGCATAATGAGCATGGCTCATTATGAGGGCCACGCAAAACTGCTCATCCTCGGCCAGTGTAGCTAACGCTACAAAATGGGTAACTTTTTTTTAGACATTCTCTGCAGATACTAGTACTATTTGCGATAATATTGTAGACCTGCGCATTCGCGGTGCGGGTCGTGACAAACCGGTCGCTGTGCCGCCACGTTTTATGCAGGACGAGGCATGAAGAGCGGCGAGAACTTCAAGATGCTGTACGACCTCGCAGACAAGATAGGCGCCGCAGTCGGGGCGTCGCGGGCAGCGGTGGACGCGGGCTTTGTGCCCAACGACATGCAGGTCGGACAGACGGGCAAGATTGTGGCTCCCGTAAGTGGACCTCCGAGATGCAATTCCGCGGGTGAGACGAGATTAGAATTTCTGCACCGACGTACCCGCTCGCGCCTCGAGAATGTGCGGCTCATGGTGAGCATTACGACACTCTCTTTCACTTGAAATGCTACTGTAGCTGTAAGGGCGAGCTCTAGGCTTGCAGCATTCCTGCCGAGTGGGCGTGCTCGTGCAGTGCAAGCGCCTCGGGCAACATGCTCGTGCTTGTAGCCTCGGCTTTTGCTTGCACGGAGCGTAATGAGCTGTGGTTTCCACCTTTGTGTGATCAATTACGGTACTCTGTGCGTTTAATGTCAGTTCTAGAAGCATGAAATGCTTTTTAAACTGAACCCCCATCTCAAACTTTTTTCAACCCATTCGTCCATTCATGCATTTTTTGATCAATTTAGTGGGGAGACTGATTTCATGGGACTTAACGTGATGTGCCCACGCACAAGGTGGGAAAATTGATGTCACATGGACTTTACATCAATTAAGTTTCTCCGCTAAATCTAGCATAAATATTCTTGGAACTTAAATGCCAATTAAGTTTGGCCGTTAAATTTAGCGGGGGAAATCAATGCCACATGACCTGATGTTTCGTGACCAATGCGCCTTGCAAGTGGGCGCATTTCGGTCTTCTGAGCATGGGAAAGGAGGTGTCAAGGTGGGAGAGGAGGTTATACTAAGCTCCGCCTCCTCGAAGAGGAGGGGGTGTGGGGCGGGTCAGGTTGCGTCGCGGATGTAAACCATAAACATCTCGGCGTCGGCAATGGTGAATGTGCTGTAGCAGCTGTGGCTGTAGCCGTGAGTCCTTCGCGTAGTTGCTGGTTTAAAAAAAGAGAAAAAAATGTTCCGCTTCTGTCCTGTGTGATTTAGAGGTCGGCTCCAATCAGGCACTGTCCAAGGGGCAGTGTTACCAGGGAAAATGAAAACGTGCTGCGTCTTCGAATGTGCTGGGCGCATTCACGACGGTGTATCGCATTTTAAATTTGTGGCAGGATTGACAAATTGAGAGCTCTTTCTTGATGGTGGTGCTTGTCCGTTCTTATTTGGTGGAGCGATTTGTCTGGTTAATCCCGATAACGAACGAGACTCTAGCCTATTAAAGAGGTGCTTGGTTCTCTGCACCTTGCACCCTTCTTAGAGGGACAAGCGACTCCTAGCCGCACGAAACAGAGCAACAACAGGTCTGTGATGCCCTTAGGTGTTCAGGGCCACACGCGCACTACACTGAACGAAGCAGCGTGTTTTTATCCCCGCCTGTTGAAACAGTAAGCTTAGAAAAAGTGACTGGAGCAAATACAGAGGGCTAATTGAAGTCCATCGGATTACCCCCGAGCAAGTGTTCGTCTGTTTAAATAACAGGGCATAGAAAAATAAGTTTCCTTAAAATTTCGTTAAAAACAAAAACAATAATTACTTCTTGGTGTCAGCGAGTCTACGACACAACTTCCGCGATGCACTCAATGCCGCACACAAAAGGAGGGAACTTGCGGACGCTAACCACCCTCGTACTCGGTTGTTAGCAAGCAAACCTCGGCGGGTCGGCCACCGTGCCCGCGAGTCCTTTGGCTTCGCTCCTTGATATATGTCTGCTAGTTGTTAGACAAAAACAGATTGTACCACTCGAGTTATTTCGTCTGTCCTCTCTGGGAGGCGAAGTCGAGCTCTCTCGTAAAGGAAAGGCAGCTTTTGAACAGCAGACGACGTTGCAAAGGAGCAGACGGCGCCCAGGTAGTGGGTCTCGGAGACCCACTATATTTCCACTCAAGCCAATCAGAGCTCGGCGTTCTGACGTCACCGCAACCCCTGCGCAAGAAGCAGACGAACTTGCCCTCAGCCATACAACAGTTCAATTTCTACGCTAACTTTAGCAGGGAAATATACTTTACGTGGCACATCAGATTCCTCCTATCTACAAGAATGCCTTCCCCACCCCTCCCTTCTCCTCTTCCCTCCCTCCCCACCTTCCTCCAGTCCCCTACATCTCTCTCCCCCCCCCCACAACCTTGTCTTCCAACACACAAATTCAGTTTCCCCCAAATTGGTAAAAATATAGGTTCTTCACTCCCGGAACGACCGTTTAATGTCCTCCAAACAGTTTAAACAATTGCAGATAAATAGTCCCCATCATGCTTATATAGGTCTTTGAATACAAAGGTAGCTGCAAATTTTTTTGTTATTAAGGCAAAAGCCTTACTTGTCTGATTATGCGAAAAAGCGGCGTCATTGTGCCCGAAAGATGGCCATAAAAATATGACATAAAGCATGCGCCGCTCATTCGTATGCTCAAGGACGACGTCGTCCTAGACATCGTCCTCGACGTTGTCATAGAGGTCGTCCTAGAAGTGGACCTTGAGGTTGTCCTAGATGCCGTACTTGGAAAACATTTCTCCCGTGGGACTATAATGCTTTCGCTTTCCTACATGTAAGCAGTCTTGCGTGTCCTACTGTAATTTTTTTTAACGTACATGCTTTAGATGTGGTAGGCGGTTTTCATTTTTTTTTTTCTCCCGAGAACCTAACCTTGTAAGAACCACTTCGTGCGGCATGTGAACTCTGCATATTTTAAATTGAAGTGACAGCAGGCATAGCTCGGGGCATTCCAGAATTGTTGAAAGAATTTTTGTTGGCACTGTTTGAGAAGGAAGCCCAGAAAAAGCTCTCCCAAATGTTGGCAATTGTTTGAAGGGCTTAGTTTCACTGGCTTAAGGGACAGACACTGCACGCTTCTTGCACACATGTCGAATATGCCTTGTTGGCTACCTTTATTTTATCGGAAGGTTATTCGGGTTGCCAAAACCGAGGTACTGTTTTATTGGTGGGGGGAGTACTTTGTGACATGCATGCCCTATCCAGACGCTTCAAGAAATGCTTATGGGAATTCAGTCTCTTTAAAGCGTGTTATAGTCTCTCCTCTGTAGCGAGTACCAAGCTCTTGCGCGTCACCACTAACATTCCTCGCAGGAGCTGTACGTCGCAGTCGGTATCTCGGGGGCCATCCAGCACCTGGCAGGCATGAAGGACTCCAAAACGATAGTGGCCATCAACAAGGACCCCGAGGCGCCCATCTTCCAGGTGGCCGATCTGGGTCTGGTGGCCGACCTCTTCAAGGCAGTGCCCGAGATGCTAGAGAAGATCGACGGGTACCTCAGCAAGTGAGACCCACGTGCGGGTCAGTTTGGGACAGTTTGCGAGAGACGGGAAGATGGAAGCCGCGGCGGAGGAGGTCCGTCGAAGTGCGGTCGTGGAGTTGTACTAGTTGGTGCAGCGGCAGAAAGAGAAGGTCCGAGGGACAATATTGTTTTGTAGCCTGGAGTGTCTGTTTGTCCTTGCATTTGTTTTATTAACACAGAAGGTGTTACATGGCCGGCACCTAACCGTTTCCGGTTTTGCACTCCAGTGATGGAAGTCATGGTTCGAGTACTGCATCAATGTTCAGCTGGAATTAGTGCCCTCACTGAATGAATGAGTGCGAGCCGAACACTGACACAGCGTTCACGTCCCCACTGTTTGGACACAAAACTCAGCAATGCGTCTTTCCGAGCTGATGAGTTACACCCGCCAGTCACATCACGTGATCAAACACGAGTGCCAGCGACGCTTTACAATACCTGTTTCTGATCCTATTTTCCTTGCCCTTTCCGCTCCTCTCCTCTTTCTCACACCACCTGCTTCTGCTCTTTTGGTTCTTGTATGCCAAGTTTTTAGCTCGGCCGGTGACCTACTTTATGCACTACCGTGAAAGCATTCCTACAAGCAGAGTGCCCCGTCTTCCTTCTTCACATGGCGCTCCGGCAGTGACATCACGCTCCTCCAGTGCACAGGTGCAGAGAACCCCACCGGCTTCACGATAGCTTCTGTGACGAGGCATTTGCATTGCTGTGCTTTACTTTGCGTTTTATTTCTGGGGCACAGCTGCCTTGACCTTGAGCAAAGCGCGCTTGATGACATTTTAATGACCATCCTTCGGGCCCAGCGCCGACGCCTTTTCGCGTAATGAGACAAGTAGGGCTTTCACCTTATAACTGGGGTGAAAGTAAACCAGTGAGGGTTACCAGAAAATTGTAGAGCCCTTCCACTTCACATGAAGATGGGAGGACCAGCGAAGCTGTTATTTTTGCGACGTCTAGGACAATGCCTGGAGGACGACGTCTAGGACTGTCTCAAGGGCGATGTCAAGGACGATGCCTAGAGATAACAAGGGCTCAGGACCTCATTATCTCACAATGCCAGAGAAAGCTGACTCATGCTGGTGGCCCTTTCTTTTTATTTATTCATACTTGCCACGACCAATCCAGAACTTTGTGTCATCATCCGCATATGCATTTTTTTCCAGCTCCTAGCGCATAACGGCTTCCCTCTAAAACTGGACTTCTAACAGACTTCCGTTTGTTTCGTCTTGTAGAAAACCATCCTTGGGTAAGGTCACTATGCCTAAACTAGGATCCCAGCCTCCTTAGAAACAGTGATAGTCGGGCAAACTGAGGTACTCTAGGAACGCCTGGGTTGTTTAAAAAAAAAACAGAGTAGTATTTCTAGGACTCCAATTTCAGAGCTCGTGTCCTAGCGGGTCTCTTCACTTCCTGCGGATTATAGAGTCACCATCCCCCAAACGGGCAACAAAATATATTGCAAGAACCAGTGTGTCGTGCTACTTATTGCAATCCAGGTGGGTTTGTAGAAGGGCCGCCATGTGCGCTGCCGTTGTAGCGTCCAAACTCGCGGCCACCCAAGTTTGTCAGCTGGCCGGTTGCGGAACGAACTACAGTAAAACGCGTCCGCCATGTATACCACCGCTGCGCCTAGAGCGCAACTTCGACTGGCGTGTTTTGCATCCCGCACCGCCGATGCATTGAAAGTGCTTTCAAAGTGCAAACAAACTACATCGCAATTGCCGGCATGTCGCGCTTGTGGTCGTCCTGGAGATGGAGGTAACCGGACGCAATGTTTGCCTTTGTGGTTGTTTGCCGCCTCGCGTCCACCACTGTGGCTTCCGTCAGTGGCTGGCTGCTAAACTGGTGTCTGTCACATTGACCCCCGCCAGCCTGCTACCGCCAGGATCACGGCGAACAAACGTGTTGTCACTGGGCGGCAATCGAAGGGCCATAAACGAGGATGCGGTAAAATATGCCAGTCGGAGATGTGCCCCTGGTGCCGCACGTACACTGCCGTGTCACTGCATGGCAGTCACACAGTTGTACAATACGGCAAGAAACATGAACGAAAGGTTGACTCTGGAAGTGCCATCACTCCACCCGAGCTTTCTTGCACCGTGGTCACCAGCCAGACCGAGGGGACAAAGGTAAAGTTGTAACAATCGTGCCAGTTAGAGATCTGTTTGAGAAAGCATACCCATGTCTTAGAATTGCCTTCCTAGGGACATGGGCTACCCCAAAGTACCCTGGTGGGTTCCCTGAGCTTCCAAATGTTAAACCTCCCAAGACGTTGATTATTGTTTGCAAGCTACATAAACTCCCAAACTGCCCGACTGTTGTCAATGTTGAGATCGGAAGGAGTTTCTCGGCTATGGGTCGCGGCAGTAAAGGGTTGCTCGAAGGTAAAAGGTAGTTGTGCAACATATTTTTATTTTATTTGGCGAAGCTGGAGTGTTCAAGGTTTGCAGCGCCCCACGAAGCGCGGGTAGAGGCAGACGTCCCGGATGTGGTGCCTCTTGAGCACCCAGGTGACGAAGCGCTCGAAGCCCATCCCATACCCGCCGTGGGGGCAGGTGCCGTACTTGCGCTGGTCAATGTACCAGTAGTAGGGCGTGGGGTCGATGCCTTTCCGCTGAAAGGCCTGCACGAGCTCCTCGGCATCCCACATCCTCATGGAACCGCCCACAATCTCCCCTACACCGGGCATCAGAAGATCCGCCTGCATTCATGGTCATCATCAATATCTCGTCCACTTGAAAAACTTTTTGACGAGTTTTTAATTTGCACCAATCCTGAGCACACTGAACGTAGTAACTTAATGAAACTTTCCATTTCTCAAATTTCACTTTATTTTAAAAGGTATAGGCAAATTGGAATTACAAAAACAAGCAAAAAATAACCTCCTTCATGACGTCGTAGGTCCTGGCTTGGAGTGGCCGTGAACTAGAGGAGGGATAGTGAGCTCATCGAGCGCTCATAACTGCCGCACTTTGTGTCGACGGCTCGAGAGGGCGCCACTAAAGCAAGCGTTGGATAGGCTGTATGAAGCGGGCGGCCAGGGCGGCTCGCATTGCATTTGCTGCACGATGAAAGACTTAATTTAATTTGGCATAACACTTCATTGGCCACAAACGACAGCAAACACGGGGTAAATATCAGTTCAGATTGGGAGCCACTTCGCGCTGCCATACCGCCAGATGGCAAAATCGCCAGCCAAGCCTGCACCGAAAGCCTTCGGAACACCCGGAACCGGTCGGATCCTCGAGCCGGTATACGACCGCAGCGCCGCCGCGTACATCCGGGACCTTTCTACGCTCACCGTTCGTCGGTGCCTCATCCCACTAGCCCTTTCTAGTATGCGCAGTTTTTTCTGCCGCTTGGTGGCGTGTATGTCAACGGGTCATTTCTTGTTTTCGGACATTATAAACTGCATTTGTTTCTTTTCTGATCTAAAATACTGAACAAAAACTACTTTCATACATAATTGAAACGGTTCACGACACTTATATTTTGTATCTCGACAAAAAGAAAGATTTTAGCGGTTCTGACCAGTAAGTAGTAAGCTCAGGACCAAAGACGTCACATTTCGTGCGCTTTCGGCACTGCGGGCGTCCCCCATAGGTGGAGGAGGTTTCCGTGTCGTCTGGTTAAAATATGACGCACTGATATTTAGTTACTCTCTCCGTGCCCGCTGGCTTGCCCGAACCCCAAGAGACGTGGAAACCACAAAAAAGGTAGACGCTTAAATGTGATTGCAGGGCACCTTTAATGTGGTGTGTTGCACGTTGCCAGACAAAAATATATTCCCGTCGCGGACGAGTGTGCCCTGACAATTTTGTCTTGCACCGCCTATTCTCGGTCATGTAAGCTTTATGCCTTTCATTTTATAGCTTTATGCAATATGGTGTAACTCTTTTTACTTCTTTTTGGATGAGCGGAATTTCGCGTGCCCATCCGCACATTGTTTATTGAGGCAGCTTTTTCTCTGCTCGCTTTTCACACAAAATATGTTAGCGATTCAAGTGATGGTGAAGAAGGTTTTTGACGGAGGAGGTAACCCTAAAGGGGGCTCCGAAATTTTCCGCATCGAACCCTCGGAGAATGGGTCTTGCGGACACTGCCACTTTTTAAAGCTGGACACCCTACACGGATGCAGACCAATGTTTGGAAACTCGTCGTTGTACGGCCAGAGATCCCGCATTTTCAGTTGTTTTTCTCGTATGCTTTCACAATGAACTTTACTACCACTACGGAACCGTATCGTTTTCGGTGCAAAAATAATTCTGAGCCGAGGCTAAAAGTCGCGTGACCCCAAAAGGTCCACGCCAAGCGGCTTGTACCAGCGTCGGAGAACTATACTCCGCTTCCCCCGAAATCTTAGCGCAGCCGATGCCACGATTAGACGGAGCCAATCAAACGGCACCGAAATTGCATTGTTGCTGTGACCCTGCGCTCTTTCTGCGAGCGATTACCTTAGCCGCCTCACGTCTTCGGGATTTTGAGTGCAAAGTGGCCACAACCTCAATGTGCAACAGACGCCTCGCCTTGGGGCTTCGGAGGGAGGTGGAACGAGCGGCTACAGAAATGTGCCATGTACGAACAAGAGGAACATTTAAATTGCCAGTCTCAATAAGGATGTGGTGCTACTTTGACACAATCCTCAAATGTGTCGCAATGAAGGGACACTGACAATATTTAAGGCTCGTTCACACACCTGCAGCCGAGCATGACCGAGAGAGACAAGACCTGTTTTTAAGCCTCTTGCGACGTCTTAGGACCGGGTGCGCTGCAGCGGAGCTGGTCCTAAGACGTGTAAAAGGTTTAAAAACCGGCCTTGTCTCTCTCGGTCATACAGTATAGACCACTTACAACACAACCGCTTATAGTGCAGAACCGGGTATAACGCGGCTTTTTTAAACCACCGGTTCGCCTCCCATAGAACTCCATGTATTTACATACCGCTTAAAATGCAGGCGTGCGAAGGGAAATACCGGTTATAGTGCGGTTTCTGCAACAGCCCGCCGACCGCGCCGACTGACTGGCGCAGCGAGCACGCTTCTCTGTGCAACACTGGATAACGGCGTGAGCCGCAAGCGGCACTCGCGGGGCAAGGAGGTTGCTCAAAGAAGCGGGGAGAGAGACTTCAGTTGCCATAGCGACGGAGGGACGCACGCACATGTCGTTCACGTGCGTGCATACCTCCGCTGCATTGGAAACAACCGCAACGACAGACCAATTGCAGGTCGAGGACAAGTGTTCGCGCGCGTTGCATGCCGGTCGCGGGCCGGCTGCTTCTATCCGCAAACATGGCGTCGGTTTTGATCGTAGACGTAGACGGCGTGGTGGAAGCTCATCGTTCCGCATAAAAACGCTATCCTTGACTGAATTTTCGTTGTGTGTCGCTATGATAACCCAGCACGTACTAGAAGGGAAGATCCACCTACTCGAGCGGCGATGTCGTGGCGGCATTCTCAAGACGGCAGAAATGCCCGTGTCGTCGTGTTTGTTTACTTTCACTACAGTGGTGCTTTCTAAGCATTTGTGTTTTCGAACATCGCCCGGATTTCTTATTGGGAGCATTTCATGCCTGTGCTCAAGTTGAAGGTATTACTGGCGCGTACCGTATAAAGGATGCGAATTTTCACGCGTTTTTATCGCCGGAGAAAAGTGATTAGGGTTAGCAATCCTGAATGCTCGCAATGTCCGTCCGCAACCCGCGACGCCGTTAAAAGGCTGCGCCAGGCAAAAGTTGCTCATTTCTTTCAAAATGTGTGACACACTTGAGAGAGAAGTGTACTAGTCTGGTGAAATAAAGACTTTCCTCAAACTAAGCTTTATTTTTCATCTAACATAAAGTAAATTCTTTTACAAAGGTAAGCTGTCTCATAGCATGTATTTTGGCCTGAAAAATTGATGTTTTGGTTATAGCGCGGTACCGCTTATAGTGCGGAATTTCGTGACTCCCGCGACATACGTTATATGCGGTCTACACTGTCCTCGGTTGTAAATGTGTGAATGAGCCTTTATGCTCGCCGAAGTTTGTAGTTGTATGTGACATATGAGAACTCAACTACCCAAAACAGAATTTTTGGCGTGAAATTCGATTTCTTTCTGCTCGAAAACCGCCGATCGAGAACTGGCCGGTTTGAGTCGCGCTCTCTTCTTCATGGTCACGGGCCATTTTCAAAGGTTTAGACACAACCACCACATTTAATCAAAGTCGTGGGTCATTGAAGGCACACACTAAATATAAGAAATAGAAAAAAAAAAAAAATACGAAACCCATTTTTTTTGTGGTATCTAAAAAGCTGAAAATAAGTTGATTGAAAAAAAAAGTTACACAACCGGAAGCATTCTGTGTGTCCACTGTGTAATTTTCAACATGGTGTCGTATCGTGTATCGTGGGGCTGGACGGCGATGGCGGCGGACGACGAGCATGGGACCTCTCCTTCAGAAATGTCATTTGCGGTACCAGCGAGTCTGTCTTCCTTCGAAAAAGGGAGGCCAGTGATGTGATTGGCTTAAGCCGTTTTGGAGCACCTTTTGGAGCAACCAAAGCAGTGTTTTGGAGCAGCAAAAGTGGCTTTTGGAGCAGCCAGAACAGTGTTTCGGAGCACCAAAAATGGCTTTCGGAGCAGATATTCTTAGAAAAATAAAAAAAAATATTCGTTTAACGTGCTGGACAAACGAAGGGCACTTTGCTCGCTGAAATAAACGAATTATAGTCAAGTTCGACCACCTAGGAGTCTTTCAAGATGTAAATGAAATGTCAATGACATGACAGATTTTGCAATGCTTCAGTTAAATGATACCTTTATATGTACCCACAATAGACAGATAAGAACCAAACTTCACATATTTAAATTTATTTGAAAACTAAACTTCACATATTAAAAATTATTTCAAAATGACCAGCTTAGTAGTAAATATCCCAGCATTAGGTTTACTAGTGATATAATAAATGGAAGCAGTCCCCGACCGATGAAACTCATAGCCACTGCAGCGCAATACGAGATTGCACACAAGAAAAAGGTGCTGCACGACTAGCGGGTATTTTTGCTTTTCAAAAACTTTCGGCAAAGCTGCTGCAAGCTTTGCTTTGGCTGAGGCTAGTAATGAATGTCCACTTTTAACGTCTTCAAAGAAACATTGAGGCACCCCACAAGTGTACAGTGCTTTAGGCGTTGCCGAAAAATTTTGAAAAACCGCTTCCCACCGTTTTTATTGATTTTCGACGTGCCAGACTTTCGTCAAAAGTAAATGTAAAACAGTGGATTGCAAGCGTCCCGGCTGGTGCCTCTGTCGTGCAATCATGTTTGCATGCACGTCAGGGCAACTCGGCAGGCTTGCAGCTGCACATGCTTCGTCGCCCGAGCGGAGACGGCTGTTCGATCGAAACCAAAACCATGCCACTCCGCTCCGTCGCCAACTGGTCTCCAAAAATGTGTCAAATGTAACTGCCCAGCATGCGACAAAAAATAGTTCAGCGGCGCGTGCTTGCAAGGCCGGCAGGTGAGGTACAAGCTAAACATACAAAAAAAGAATCTGAGCGCATCGATGCAGGACATCGCGAGTCGGGGTCAAAACGTTCTTCGAGCTTTGTGCAACGACTGAACTCGAGACAAACAAGCGCGCTGTGCGGGTTCAGCGTGCAGATATTGCATTATTTGCTTTAGCTCACTTCTCTTCACAAACTTTCTTGCGCGACAGATTTTTCACGTACCGGGGTCCCCCTCGAAAGAAAGCCCACCAAGAGAAACCTAGGTAATCAATACTTAAACACAGCAGACTTCGAACTATTTAGGGATTTTTTGTAGTAGCGTATGTTTTAAACAAGAACAGAAATGTTGATGAATATGCGGCGGTCCTTATGTTTCAGTTTAGGAAGCTCCATCTCTGTAGCGACGTGCGGACTGGTAGGCAGGACCAAATATAGTTTTCCCACGGCCGTTGCTTGCAGAAGCGAGTGCTTCAGCTCAAAAAGTAACTCCTGCCGCACAAAAACTTAATTTCGTTTCAGTGTGATTGCATGGCAGGTACCCAGCACGTTAGCGTCGGAGCGTCCGCACACGCCCGCCATCTATCGTTGTAAAAATAAAAAATAAATAAATAAATAAAAAAAAAATGCGAGACGACATTCACGAGACGACGACAGCCTGAAAGAAGAGACGGCGGAAAAAACCATGCGAGACCGGATGGGCGATTGATGTAACTAAACCAAGGGTGCAGGCAAGCTGGTTCAATACTGAGATTGGAGTTTTTTGCCTGTCCTACGTCCCTTCTTTTCTCCGGCTCCAGGGTTAAAATGTCACGATTGATGCAGAGTACGTTGTGTCGGGCGGCCGCTTGCGCCACCTAGCTCGCGCATACTCAGTTACGATACTCAGTTTAGTTTCGGTTTTGAAAGGCGACCAACACTGGTTTTTTGGCGCAGGCTTGGCGCAGATTACCCATATTTTGGCGAAATGTAGCAGGATGTAGCAGGGTTAGCCCCTTGGCGCAGTTTGGCGCAATTGGCGCAGCAATCACATCACTGGGAGGCAGACACACTGCAGACACGCGAAACATCCTACAGCTGCTTCAAAACAAAGTGGAGTGCAGCGGCAGTGACAGTGTTCTGCAGTGCTTGGAGCAGTTGGAGGAGAACTGATGCCCGGATAAAATTATCGGTGATTTCCGCTTAATTTTTTTTACTCGGTGAAGCTGCCGCTTGTTGTTCATAACTAAGGTTTGTTTGATTAAATATACGGTCAGAGTGTTTGTTAGTGTTTCAGTCCACCTAGAAGGCTGGTGATGCCGTTTTTCGGCTCTATGGCTTTTATCGAATTACCGCTTATATTGAATTTGTTTGCCGTCCCGTTGACTTCATTATAACGAGGGATTACTGTATGGAGTGGAACTCGTAAAAGCGTGCTTACCCAGACAGGTGGTGCATTTGTCGTTGAAATGGTACGACGTGAGAAGAATACCCATAGCAACGTGTTGCTGGTGTTTGCTGGGTTGATCCAGCAAACACCATTAGCGGCATTAAAAAAAAAATGGTTTTAGCCAACAATGTTGAATCCATGACGTACCGACTCAGTCAGCCGCGGGTCGTCCGCACACTTCTGCATGTAGAATGCCTTCAATTCGGCGGGAAAGCGGCACAGCAGAATGGGCTGCAAAGTGAGAGAAACAAAACGACAAAAAACAATGGGTCAAAAAAACAAAAAACAACGCCGACCTTTGCAAAAAAAAAGAAAAAGAAAAATTTGCAGCTCTGCTTCAACGTGCAAAGAAGCGACAGCAACAGCCCTTACTGTGCGTATTAACACCCACTTTTGTGCATATCCACTTTATACGATTACACGCGACACAGCCCCCTTGTCACCAAAACATGTGGGAAAAGAACACGCATGTCAACGTCCCTGCCCAAGACTAAACTGTGACGAGTGGTGAGTTGTTCTGCATCCTACATTACACGCAAACTGAGTTCCTTGGGGAGGAAAGTGTGGTGCCATTCTCCGCCAACCAAAGAAGCAGAAGACATTGCCGCTTAGCAAGAAACAAGCGCAAGCGCAGGCGAAGGCGAAGGCACAACACCAAAGCCGCGAATGTAGTTGGGGAGCCTTCGTAACGGCTGTCGCTGCAAAACAGCGGGTGGGACAAAGGTGACGACACGAACCCGGTTGATTTGGTCCGTCATCTGTCGCTCCGGCGACTCGGGAATGTCGTCGCCGAACTCGTAGAACGTCCCGTCCTCCTTGGTGATGTTGTGGGACCGCAGGTACTCGATCGCTTCCGAATACTGCATCCGCAGGAACGGGCGTTCGGGCACCTTGAACTCCTGCGACGGGCGGACGGTGGGTAACGACTGCGGGTTAGCGCAGATGCTACTACAACGGTGAAAAACACCTCGGCACGCGGGTGAGCGCATGGGCTACGAGACAGCTGCGACAATTCCGAGGTGAGAACGGCGGGGCGCGTCTTACAAACTCCCGGCCTCCAGAATGCGCTCGTCGCCTTTCGTTGCAATTTGGCCGCACGTACGCGCACTCGAGGCGCTGGGGGACTAAGAGGGATCGGAAACTAGCGGCCTGCTGGCCGGATTCGGACCACGAGGCAATGTTACGAGGCCTCCGGCACGCTACCAGTTTTTTGCTTCTTGGCGAGGCCTCTCACTCTCGACAGAACGTGAACCCAGCTGTTAAATTTCGGTCGAAGTGAAAACGAGGGGGTTGTTGGCTGCCGACTGGACGTGGCGCCACGGCTTGTGGCAAGACATTTTTGGCCCGTTTGCGAGTTCTAAATAGCGCAATATTTTAGTGAGAACGTCTTGCCAATATTTTCAACGAAAGTGAGAGAGGTGAGTGCACTCTGGTGTACTTGTCTTTAGCACTCCTTCATCCACCAGTCGGTGTCGGCTTGTGTTTAGCAGCAAAAATAACTTAAGATTTGCAAACGAAGCACAAGTTGCATATGGCTTCCAGCATGAAGCAGCAGACGGTCACAATACGAGCCTGCGTCCGATCAGCTTGTTTCGCGTATGTTTGCAGACGACGTATTATTTTCTTATCTGCGAACGACGCTTCGTAGCAAATGCCTGCAGACGACGCTTCGTAGCAGACGAACCGCATCCTTTGCTCACATTAGCAGACGAACCATCTACAAATGCTGTCTTTGCTTGCTCTGTCAGAGGTACATCAGATCTTGCTGCGACCAAAATCGAGCCCCAGACTCGGGGATAAATTGAATGCATGAGACTCGCGATTGACCCACCGGGTTGAGTTCGAGGACGGCCTCTGCGGCCGGCGACTTGAGGATGCGCTCGCAGACCCCCACCACAAGGTCCTCAATCCGGTCCAAAAACTCGTCGAAAGTCAGGAAAGGACACTCTGCCTCTATGTGCGTGAACCTGCGTGCAATGTACAAGCGGGTTAGCAAATTGACATACGTTGACTCGCTCGTGTTTGTCGTTTTCACGTACGCCTACACTCGTTGCCTTCGCAAGTTTGCATTCATTGTTTTCACGCATATTCACTATCAATGTTTTCATATTGATTCACCGTTTTTACATGAGCCCCTATATGAAAACGTGCTGCCACACGTGAAAGGGCATTTCTTGGGACTACATTTTATAAATTGCCAACAGTTTCTCCTGCCTATTTTAAGATAACAGTTAGTTCTGAAACTTTGGCATCTGGTCCGAAATGCTGGCGCTACATTTGGACGAAGACGTCCGGCGATGCATAGCCCATTCTTGCGGTAAAAAAAGACAATATTTTACCGTAAAACGTGCAGTTTTAGAAATTTGAGACGTCTTGTCGGATCGATGGAAAGAGAGGTACTCACTCGGACAAGTGTCGCCGAGTCCGCGACTGCTCGGCTCTGTACGACTGTGCGACGCAGAAGACGTCACCCAGGGATGGAATGACCGTCTCCAGGTACAGCTGCGACGACTGCGTCAGGTATGCCTGTACGAGGAGACAGCCGCCGGTCAGCGTGAGAGACAAGCTCCAAACTACGAGGCAGAGCACTGCCAGCCAGGGTCTACCCAAAAAACAGAGCTCATTGTGCAGTCAAACTCTTGCAGCCGGCATGATGAAGGGAGTGGATTTTAGACGCAAGGTTGGGAACACTTTTCCCTTTCCAATTCTACATTAAGTTCCGGTATCATAGAATGAAATTAAATAAAAAATAACATTTTAGAAATATTGTTTTAAAAAATAAAATGTAGGAAACAAATTTTTTTTTTTTTTAATGTTACATCAAACAAGTTTACACTGCTTCATCTTCAACATAGTTTTAAAGATGACTGGGGATGCCCTATCAATGATGCCCAAGTTTCCAAAATCAGTTGCAACTTCCAGCTGTTCCTGATGAACATGATGAAAAACGGTGCTCAAAGGAACAGACACAGCACAGAACACACAGTGCGTGTTCTGTGTTCGTTCCTTTAGTCCCATCCCTTTGAGTGCTGTTTTAAAGCGGTAGCTTTATAGGTAGGTCGGACAGACCGTAACCGCTAAACAATCTTTAAAACGCAAGCAGGAATGGGAGGAGCAGACGCAGGTGGTGCGAGAAAGCGTGTCGAGTGGAGAGAGACAGAAAGGGCAAGAAAGATAGGATCAGAAACAGGCGATGTAGAAAGAGTGTGCGGAACAAGGAGCGGAAAGGGCAGGAAAGCGCGCATTCCCTCTCTTGGCGACTCAGAAAATTTAGCTGAAATGCTTTGTATCCAGGGGGTGCTGAAGGGAAGCGTGCATAGTGTCGCAAAGAGAAAATGTGTCGTGATCTGTTTCCATACAAATCCCACCTCCTCTCTACGCACACCATTTAGCCTCTAGCCTTCACAATGCCACCAGAAATGCGGGCGCCCGCCTCAACATCAGGGTTCTGATGACCAGGAGCGGAACCGACCACCATCGATCGCGTCTTCGCGTGAGGTGTTCCTGGACTATGTTACATACTTCTCGGTACATAAACCATTGCTCTGTATAAGGTCCAAATCAGAAGACAGTAGCAACACCGTCAAGAACAAGCCCAACAACTACTGCAGTGGTTGTTGGGGTATGAAACTACATTTTATTTTGTTTCAAAACACTTTTTGCCAACGATGGCCCTATAAAGCTACTGCATTTAAACACATTTGCCAGAATGGCCAGACATGCAGCCAATTTTTTCTTTGTGTCCAACAATCACCAACTAGTCCAACTTACCACGTTCCTGATAAGAGCTACCGAGATGTACACATTACTTCCTAAGGCACCCTACCCTTGCAAATCCTTTATTCCTAAAAGGAAACCTGCGGTTGCTCGAAGCTTGGGAAACCAGACACTTATGAGGGCCTACAAGCGTGTTACTTGCACCCAATCTCGGAAGTTGAGGTAACAAAAAACAAGAGAATGCATTTGTGTAATTGAATTGACAGTGACCTCTGCCCTTATAGTCTTATAATGCATGGAAGGCAGTACGTAAGGATTGATCATATAAATTTATATAGACAACATTAAACAATTGTTTCGGGGAGTTAAGAGCATATTGTTTATTAACTGATGTCACATGATGTGACGTCGCAACATGAAGTCGTGGTGTGATGCGATGCTATGACTTCACGTGATATCACGGCGTCGAGTCATGGTGTCACATGACATCATGTTACCGGATGCAGTGCGACATGAAACAGTGATGTCGCGTGATAGGGTCAAGTTTCTATGTCTCATGTTACCCATCACTGACATTTTTTCTTTCTTTCTTTTACCATGTACCTTTTCAATCCTCCTAAGGCCTGCCAGCCATTTGGGGGCACAATAAAACATGAACCGATTGATTGATTGATGTCCTGCCATGGGGTATGTGCAGACACATGAATGGAAAAATCTCTCAAAAGAACCAAAAAGAAGTGTGCTTTTGTGTGAATCATGGACTCACCTCCTCCCCGAAGTAGTTGAAAGAGAAAAGGGTGGAGCCCCCCTCGACTTGCGTCTGCACCATGGTGGGCGGAATCACCTCCACGTAGTGCTTGCTGAAGTAGTAGTCCCGGAAGCACTGCATCACTGCCGACTTGGCGAACATGATCTTGGAGTGCTGCCCGGGGAAAAGCGAGACAAGTTTCACGAGTTGCGTCCCTGAATTTCCCCAAAACCACAATTCTGTGTCCCTACAATGCCCCCAAATCTCTGAAACCACGGCTGGATCTCTAAAAGATACCACATACCTCTAAAACTATGTTGCATTGATTATAAATACTATATATATATGGGTGGTTTCATCTCAAATCGTGCAGGCAAAAAGGGTCGAATTTTTAATTTTGATGAAAAAAATATATGTTATGGCGCCGTTTCTAAAACCGCAGTCGACACAAACCGCAAGTTCGTCGGATTTTTTGTTCTCGACTTATGAATTTTTAAAGAGGCCGCGGCGAAAAGCAGTGTTTTTCACACCCGTCGTGGGTCGGATGTTTCGCTTGATCTCCAGCCATGGATTTTCAATCCACATTGTATTATCTTTTTTGAAGCACTCTTCGGACACATTTAAAAGGCTCCAATACCATGAAATAATTTTAGGCCTTTTGCTTTTTTTCTGTAAAAATGTCAAAAACGCCTCCTCGGTCAATTGTTGACGAACTTTGACAATTAATTACTGGAGATCTACTTGGGTTACACCGATATTTTTTATGTCCACGGAGAGCCCAAAACACGCTCTTTATATTTATTATAAAATGCCTTGGCTGTATAAAATATCCTCTGCGGTACGTTTACGTTAATATTATGCAAAAACCAAAAAGTACCATTTTTGAAATTGATTTTCTCAAAAAACCCATTTTTTATTTTTTTTATTTTTTGTTAAAATGTAGATATGATAGTTGTCTACACGAAAATCAAGCCTAGAAAGTGTATATTTTGTTTGCATGTTTTATATTTAGGCCTCAATATCGGAAAAAGACATCTTTGTTTTGCAAGACCTAAGTCAGACATAGCGACCCATGCGTCTCTATGAATTGTGAAAAAGTTTTCTTGAATTTTCTTCTGCATTTTGTAATCAATTATAAACAGATTTTGTGGTATTGAATATTTATGTATGTTTTGATAAGAGCGGGAACCAAGAGATATATATCTAACCAAATCAGCAGGCCTAGTAGACTTTCAATAACCAAAAGGCACAGACGTTGTATTGTTTCGATTTATAAACCTTTCAAAGTAAACTAGCACGACTAGCTATTAGCTGTCATATTATTAAGACAAAGAAAGTAACCACATTGTCGATATATTATATACAATTCTTCACGAAACCAAACACTGGGGCTTGCTCACAGCACATCGCACAGGTCACCAGGGAATGTCCTTTCACTTCCGTAATACACAAAAGTGGTGACATAGAAACGGTCCGAAACACACAGAGAGTGTGTCATGGAGAGGGGTAGGAAATAAAAATAAATAAATAGGAATTAAATTGCCCAACTCCGATCTTAACGAAAACTGCGTAAAAAAAAAAAAAAAAGTATTTAGGTTCGAGCGGTGGCAAGGCGATAGGTCCACGCCTGGTGGAGAGTCAGACAAAGAAATCGACGGCACGCAAATAAAAAAAAAAAAATCAATAATTTAATAAAGACGGGAAAACTCAGCCGCACATGGCAAGAACAAAAACCAACTCCCCCGGGCATTCCCTAAACGGGACGCAACCAAATGCGTGCGAACACGCTCTCTACATCACCGCCAGGCCGCTACGCCATGACGAAATAAACCCAACAACCGAACAGTGCTAACAAACAGTTAGTAAGAAAACATTGAAAAAAAAAAAAAAAAAAGAACGTTCAGAAAAAACCGCATTCGAGAAACAAAGTTCAGCGGGGCGAAGAAACACGCACGAGTCGGTCCCACGACATTGAAGTCTGGCAGGATGACGGCGTCCAGATGCTCTAATCTGTTCCTCCCTCTATTGCGCACATCCACGACGGCTATGCGGAACAGTGGCTGTACGAAAGAAAGTGAAGAATAGATTCGAGCAGGCGATGCGCGAGAAGGTAACCGAGACTATGCTTCAAGCTTCATATCGGGAGAGGAGCTTTCGAGGTAGTTTCTGCAGTTACTCAAACTTTCTCTGTCCCCTTCCCTTTTTCAAAAGAACACGTCAGCCGGCGCTAACGTTTCATCTCAGGGGAAGCCCACTCTTCACAAACGGTTATAGTTGACAAGGAGGCTGACTTCGACCCAACTAGTCTCCGGGCAGAATACAAACACAAGTATATTTACCAACACGCTCGTTTTGATGTCAGTCTCCGGGCTTTGCTGTTTCCAAAAGAGATAACCCTTTATAAGGACAGAACGAGCGGGTTGGTGGGGATAATTAAACTTAAACACTCCCTTTTCGTTTTCTTCCTCAAGTTTAATAGATAACCCTTCGGTGCTATCGGATCTCCCCGGAGAGAGAGAGAGAGCACGGCCGTTTCAAGGTAAGGATAGGGCGCTCGAAGCTAGGGCAAACAGGCGGTATCGTTTCACGCATGCACGGATGGATGGTTTCAAATTCCCCCACATCCCTAACGAAACCGGCCCATCTTCGTGTGTGCGTCTGCGGGATTTCTGTCCCGCGCCGCCGGTTTTAGCGCGCACGCGGCGTTGTTTTGGCTGGCAGAACAGTTGTTGACCGTCGACATTGTAAAGCCGTGGTGTCCTCATCCTTTCAGGCAACGATTCCTTTGCTTTCCCTTGTGCAATACTCTGACAGACTCCTCCTGGGTGGCTGACACTGTTCGCTGCATCAACGACAGAATCGTACCATTTCACTCCTCGTGACACAGGGTGCGCTGCTCGCTTTACTGTCACGGGCCGTCCCATCTAACACAACGAGAGCGAAAGGTCGTGGTCATCTGCTGGCTCCGAAAGGGCGGGACGTTCATGCAGGCCAATGAGGGCCCCGAATCAATAAGACGTCTGCCGACTCCTACACGTTAAAAATTTACGACACCTGCTGGTCTGTTAATAAGTGTTGCTTTCTCTTTTTGGAACTCCTCCGATGTAGCTTGCCGCCTATAATAAAATTTAAATAATCAATAAATATATCTGGGTGAAAATACTGTATTTCATTTTTATGTGGGAACGTTGAAAAAAAGAAAAAAAAAATTCCAAGCTTGTGAAGACGCGCAATTCGCAAGTCCATTTCGAGCCGTAAAAACACGTTTTTGTACGATATTGATGCTTAAATGTAGAACATACGAACAAAATATACACTTTCTAGGCTTGATTTTCGTGTAGACAACTATCATATCTACATCTGAACAAAAAATAAAAAAAATAAAAAATGGGTTTTTTGAGAAAATCAATTTCAAAAATGGTGCTTTATGGTTTTTGCATAATATTAACGTAAACGTACCGCAAAGGATATTTTATACAGCAAAGGCATTTTATAATAAATATAAAGAGCGTGTTTTGGGCTCTCCGTGGACATAAAAAATATCGGTGTAACCCAAGTAGATCTCCAGTAATTAATTGTCAAAGTTCGTCAACAATTGACCGAGGAGGCGTTTTTGACATTTTTTCAGAAAAAAAGCAAAAGGCCTAAAATTATTTCATGGTATTGGAGCCTTTTAAATGTGTCCAAAGAGTGCTTCAAAAAAGATAATATAATGTGGACTGAAAATCCATGGCGGGAGATCAAGCGAAACATCCGACCCACGACGGGTGTGAAAAACACTGCTTTTCGCCGCGGCCTCTTTAAAAATTCGTAAGTCGAGAACAAAAAATCCGACGAACTTGCGGTTTGTGTCGACTGCGGTTTTAGAAACGGCGCCATAACATATATTTTTTTCATCAAAATTAAAAATTCGACCATTTTTGCCTGCACGATTTGAGATGAAACCACCCATATATATATATATATACTACAGCTTTCTACAGAGAGAAAGGGACGAGATTCTTGATTCAATGGTTTCACGAGTGTTGGATCCCTAAACTTCCCTACGTATCTTGATCTGAAGTTGCATCCTTTAATTGCTCAAATTAGTATCTGAAATTAACCAATCGTCTTTCCCTACCATGTCACCAGGTCTCTGAGACCGTGATAGAACGCCTAAAACTACCATAAATCCCACAACTATGGTGCATTAATTAAAACAAAATGTCTTACGAATGATGTACGTAGAAAGCTGGCTTAACACACTAACATATCCCTCCCTAGTTACTTTTGTCCAAAACTTTGTACTTCAAAACAGAAGAACATGCCAACACTCTTTAGACATTGAAGGCATAGTACTTAGTACTGGAACGTAAACATCTTAAACAGAAATCTGTCTAGTTGGGTGGAACGATAGTAGTAAAAGAGAAATACTCCAACAACGGCCCTAAAATAAGTGACTTAACATTTAAAAAACGCAGAAAAAAAAACAAAGCAAGTTTTGAAATGTTGGATCAATTTTTCAAGGCTTTGATTAGAGCATTTCTTTTTTATCACTACTATAGTTCTTGGTATACTTGACTCTCAAGATTCAACTGCCTTAGGATGTTTATGGTTCATTCGTCCTCGCCAGGACTAACCGAACAACTGCATGGTTTTTTACCGGACGAAGCTCACTCACCGTGTCGCCCCTAATCGCCAGGTGGCGGTTGTCCAACATGATGTCCACGTGCGATTCCTGAAACAATAAAAATCCAATAATGAGAACCGAAGAATGCAGCTATAACCCAACATGAAGAAAGCATGAGCAGGGTCTTGCATGAGGCATACTGCAAAATGGTTAGAACCATGTATACAATTGAAAAACTGAGTAACCAACTACAAACTTCATGTTTCCTTCTCCGCGATAAGTTAACGGTTGGGCACTGCCACCAAAACCCGCCTTAGCTCTGACCTGCCAACATGTCCTCCGACGGCACTGAAAATCTTCCCATTTTGCATTACTCAAAAGAAAGAGCACCCAGTGGTCCAGTTTTTGGGGAGCAAGTTGACCTTCCACCTTGTTGCAACAGAACGGTTTACAAGCTTACAGGCACTGTTTGTGAAAGTGCTTGTAAACTTATAGATCAAGCACTGAGACCTGCTTCATCTACAAACCTAGACTTGTAAATGTGAACGATGGAAACTTGCAGATCAAGCTCTGTCACATTCTTGATCTGCCATGCACTTGATCTACAGCGCTCGTAAACTTGCAGATCGAGACACGACATGAACCGCGAGTACCGTAATATCCCGAGTCATCGCCCATCCCCGAGCCATCGCCCACCCCATTTTTTGGGCCAATATCGATTTCCGAAAAAACACCGAGTCATCGCCCACCCCTTCAAATACCCCAGCGCGGACTGTGCGATCCGCGAACACTCATCCTACCCGAATGACCCGGCCGCGGACCTTACAGTTGGAGGACGTCCGTGACAAAGTAAAACGAAGGAGGGAAAGACACTTCTTTTTGTTTACGCATTTCCTCCATGAGCGACCCCAAAGTGGTCGTGTATCCCTGCGAAAAGAAAACGATGGAGATAACAAAATCAGAGTTGGTTAACGTAACCGCGGAGTGTTAGGTCAAAGTCTGTCTCCGCCGAAGTAAGGTCACCGCGAACCCGCTCCTTCTTCCCGCCCGTCGCGACCGCGGTTGTGCAATATTTTAGGCAAAGCCAAAGCGTAAATAAAGCTTTGCTGGAACGTCCTACACAGACGTTTGCAGAGCGTCCCAACCGTGCATTGATAGCCCGCCGTGCACGGACGCACGTATGTACGCACCAAACAAGAAAGTTGCGCAAGAGCTTGCAATTGACAAGGCGCCCGACTTGGCCCGACGCCAAAGTATTTGCCAACACGACCGCCGGCTTTCCCAGCATTGCTCTTGGTCGCTTCTTTGGTCCGCTCGCTCGCTCGCTCGTTGCGCCTGGTCGGTTTTTCTATTTTCTTGTAGACTTTTCTTTCTTTCTTTTTTTTTTTTTTTACTAACTAGGAGAACATAATGGTGACATTCTTTCACGGAACAAACGTTCGTGCAGATCGGCGGTGTTTCTAGCGCGTATGCGAGCAACAGACTTCGCTATAGTAAAATATTCTTTCGTGAGCATTTTTTTTCTATGAAATAATGAAACTAAATCGAGTTTTGAGTTTGATGTATCTCTTGTGCATCAGCGCTAGATACGCAGAGAAAAATAGGCGGTTTTTTCCGTTTTTTTTCAAGTGTTTGTGCTCACCCACCAAGACATGGCCCACCCCACTTTTTTAACGAATTTCAGGCGGTTGGGGGGTGGGCGATGACTCGGGATATTACGGTATGTTCGTTATTGTAACAGGCTGGGCGATACGTCAATGTATGGCTCGGCCATACCTTAACTATGCCTTAGCCTGGGAAATGGCGAGCCCGATCACAAGGCCCAATCGCAAGAGCGCCACGGTACCTCGTTCAGCACGTTGTCGATTCCCCCGGCTGGTGCGTCGCCAACCAACTCCCAGTAATCGGCGTGCAGCTCGTGCCCTCCCGGTGCCTGGTTTTTTTTAAACATTTAAGGGAGAGAAAAGCTTGTTGTACAAAAATGACACGTCACAAAAAAAAATTATTTAACAGGAACAAAACAAGAGCATAAAATAGCTCATGTGATCAGGAACAAGAGTCGAAACGCAGGCGAGCTGGTGCACAGGCATAATTAAAAACCTTGAGAAAAAGTAAAATGGATCGGTGGCTAGTTGGCAGATGTTCAACTCGTAAAGCGCCTAAAAAACGAGGACACGAGAGAAAAGAGACCAAGCTTGGTCTTTTCTCTTCTTCCTTCTGTCCTCGTTTTTAAGGTGCTTTACAAATTGGAAAAAAGGTTTTTCCTTTGTCTCAAGGTTTTTAATTATCGTGTCATCAAAAGCTCTGATGCAATAGTCATAATTTTTCCCCAAAAGCTTCGAAGACAATGCAACATGCCCCTCTATGCCAGCAAAGCAGTTTAATAGCACAGCCTGCAGAATCTTACTCAGGTTACATTTTTTTCAAGTTTTCTCGGAAAGAAAGATAATCCACAGGATAATCCACAATGGACACCAAAGTGACATGCGGGAGCGAACTAGACGGAGAATGATTAGATTGGACTTAATCGCGAGTGGCTTATTAAAGAAACAAATCCCTTTCCAATCGCAGGCCACACTTTAATAAGTAACAAGAACACTTGGAAACCTAGAAAACGTCCACTCACCGTCTTTCCTTCAAGGACGGCCTTCAGAACGCCGTAGACGCACACCGTCGACTCCGTGGTCAGCACCAGCGCATTGTATGTGTGGCACTAGAAGAGTAATGGACCAATGGCAACAAGTATACCACTTGAAGATATTGAAGTACTAACTCTATACATCCCAGGTTACAATGAAATATCCGTGACAGCAGCTGTAACTCGGCTTCATTTTTTAGAGCAACTTGCAACTTAGTCTCAAACTTGACGAATCTACCAGTCCCCATTCATTTAGTCACAGTCTCAGACTGCCACGAGCAAAGAGCTGGTTAAAAAAAAAAAAAGAAAACTGGGACAAATATAGCTCCTGAGCTGGATGGAAATTGAACCAACTTTGGTCAACGATTGTGTCGCTTGATGATGTCGCGGGATATTTTAAAAGTATAAGTCAAGCATAACTCGGTTACTCATTGTGAGCTGCAACTATATGCTCGGCGCCAACCATTTGGAGCTACAGTGTCGAGGCTACTTTAGCTTCCGCAGTGCTCCAAGTCTATCAAAGACACTGTACATGACTATATTCGTGAATTTTGTGCAACATGGGTTTTGAGAATATTTCATGTGCACAAAAAAATTAATGATTTGCAGTATGATATTGCAATATACAATATAGGTGATATAAGCTATGTATTTGTTGACATAAAGTGACATATTTACGGGAGCAATTTCCTCCAGTTGAGAAATTTGCAAAAATGAGGTTTTTTGAAAAAAAATTTTTTGGTGTTATGTAGCATAATAGGTGTCACTTAACATCTATGTCTATTTCCAGCTTACAACATTGCCTACTAATCTCATGGCAATAAAAATAATGTAAACTCTCTTCCCTCACATTCTATTTCTTTTTCTGGACCAATGTAGATCACAATCGTTATCATTATACCTAGTTTTGAGCACGTTGTGCATTGCATTTTGACAAAGACGCAAAATGTTCATGGTGTAAAAAGCGTAATACTGAAATTTTGCTTCGAAACCGGCAAACTATATTTTTCCTCGCTTTCCGCTCTACAGAGAGTGATGTGCCCGCCCGACTCCATTGGATGGATAGATGGGTTGTAGCTTGCGCCACCTAGCTGTGGCGGGCCATAGCATTTTGTCTCCACTGCGCTCCCCTCGTCAATGTCGCGCATCCTAACGTCGATGAGGGCACGTGCCCGATCGCATTGGCCAATGTTGGCTGCGAACGGGAGTATTTACTCCGGCCCCATGCGCAACGCGACAAAGCACAGTGTAGCCCAGTGCACGCCAGCGTAGCTCACGATGAAAAAGCAAACCGCAAACCCTGCACACCGCTGCCACCGACAACCTCTGAACATTTTTTTTAACAGGGTAATAGGCCACGCACGGCAGTACTTTTTCGATTTTTGGGATGCTTTCAGCGCATAGATTACGTCACCACCATAAAATAATGATCTCAGAAACAATTTCAGTGCCCCTTTAAGCTGTTTACAGCACCTGCATGTGCACATAGCTTTGTTTGGTGTCTCCTGTGTGGTTCGCACATGCGAACGACATGCAAGACGAAGGAATGTGCTCTCGCAGTAGTGCAGGAAGCTAACCTACCCTTGGCAACGTAGTGCAGTTGACGCCAAGTGTAAATACACCTGTAACAAAAACTTAATAGCATTCCTGACTTACAGTAAAAAGCTTAATTTTTGCGAGGGTCTAATGTTCGTGAGCCTCGCAATTTCAGACATATGACAAAAATTTATTGCGCAAATACAAGTTCCACTGGTAATGGATAAACGGCATACATTACTCCTAATCGGGAAATTTTGTGCTCGTTAAATATTTTCTCATCCCATGTATTGGAAAAATTTGCGAACATTGAGCCCGCTAAAATAAAGTCACTTAAAATGCTCGGTACATTTCGGCTAAGGAAACTCCGTAATTGTGACTTAGTCACTCCCGAAGAATGACTCCTACAGCTCTGGAACACACTGATCAAACGACGCCGTGGCCTCCACCAGCGGACCGACTGACCAGCTCGTCGTTGAGGACGCACTGCAGGAAGCCCGTGCCGTCCCTCACAAGCAGGAACATGAGGGACCTCCCCTGGCGCCGCAGGAAGTGCACCCAGCCGAACAGCTTCACCCGCTTGCCCCGGTGGGCCGAGGCGTCCCGCACCTTGATCTGCGGGAAACCAAACACCCAGAGTCGTCGTTCGCCGAGACCTAGAAACAACCGTGGGCTCGACCCGCACCTCCCGCACCGTCTGCACTCGTTGTGCATTGCCGTATTTGACTTAGGACTGTAGCCTATCCTGAAAACACAACCGGAAGCACATTGCCCCGCACTTTTCTGCACTGGAGCGGGCTGGTGCAGGTAAATCGATCGAGCCCACCATTGCCGCCGACGAGACGAGGACGGCAGGGATGAACTTCTGTTGTCCCGCAAGCAGGGAAGGCACAAAGCGTGTGCTGGAAGCCGGGCGTTCGAGAGACATGCGCCGCCGTTCTCGCTATGTTGGCAGCCATAGCCTATTCACGCACTGCTGCCTAGCACGCATCTGCGTCACAACAAACCTGTCTCGTGACGTCTCGCGCCGGGCGCCGGGCTAGTGGGCAGCGCATCTGCCGCTTTTCCGCATACCCACAGTGGACTTGGGCGTGTCTGCCGCTTGGGGCAGGTGAGACCCTAGCCCCTTGTTTTTGGTGTCAAGTTCTAACCCGGCCGGAACATTGTGCCCGTTCCGCCATGGTTCCCCAGACGATTTGGGCGAAGAGAGGTCTGTAGCCGACGGTAACTCGTCATCGGAAATGGTAGAGCCCTTGTTACTTTCAAATAAAAGTTCGCGTATTTCTTTACCAGCTAAAGTGAACCTTCGTGTTGAGGCCATGCAGCCTTTCCCCGCACTTGCTGGCATCAAAATCTTTATTGTTCTTTTTTCCCAGGGCCCAATAGACTCTTCTCTGGGGGAAATTGGAAAGAGAAGAACCCGAGAGGGGCGGAGCAACAGTGGTAGCGCTGTCACCTGCTGGCGAGGGCACAAAACAAGTTCAAAAATTAAAGCACAAGCCAAACTTGTGGTCGAGGTTTTTGGTTTGCAACGGATGACACGAGCAACTCGAGTGATTAGTAGCCAAGGGCTTAAGGGGCCGTGCAACGCTATAGGATAGGAATGCTTCTCACTTTACGTAAGCTTACTTGGCACAAGTGGGACCCAAGTACACTCGCACGCAATGCCACTGACCCCTAACTTCTTTGTCGCTGCGTAACTTAAAGGATAAAAGTGCACGTTTTCTTTCAGTATCTCCTTTGAAAACTCGGCGAGGAAGTTGTGGAATTGCATGTTTACGTCGTCAACAATGCAATTCTCAGGATTTCGTTCGCAAGCTTCGCAATACCCTTGGTGATAATATTTAAATGCAGTCTAGAGTGGACGTAAGCAGTGCATTTCATCTGTTCTCGTGACAATCAATGCCTCGACATGCATTCAAGTAGTAACTCATGCTCAATGGCTGTCGATGACGACAATAGCCAAACTAGAACAATGCGTGGAACTCGGCGCGTGCCTGTGCTTTGCCTGCCCTGGCACGCGGCTATAACAAGCATTGCCATCAGATTACGTGGCCACCTGTTCTGGCTGCGAGCTTAGGGGACAAAGTACGCCGCTCGTTTTTCTCATTTTTTATGCAGCTGCCATTGCGTCGAAAAATAACTAGTTTCATAGGTAGGGTTCCTACTGGTATTGCAAAACCTTGGAAAACCGAAAAAAACTTATCGAAGAATAAGAAAAACACGACCTTCACGGAAAAAAAAAAAAGAAAAACATTACCTACAGCTATGTTTTCTTTTAATAGGAACACAGCCTCAACAAAACTGTCTGCAAGGCTGCTTCGTCCTTCAAAACCGCATTCCTTATCTCTAAGGAAAATGAATTCTGAAAACACAAAACCCTATTCACAGGTTACGAATGTCAAGGAGTAATGCTAAGCGGTATTTCCTGAAAGTCCAAAACTTTCCGTCTAGAAAAAGCGGAAACAGAAACGGAGGAAGTGCCGACCTGGACAGGTGCGGGCAGGCTGGGGTCCATGCGGATGACGACCTTCTTGGCCTCCTCGAGGTTCTTCTCCCGCCGGGCGCTGTCGTCCGCCTCCTTCTTCTCCCGGTCGGCGCTCTTGTACTGCTCCCGCACCCAAATCTTCTTCACCTTCTTGATCTGCGACTGGGACACCACCGTCCATCGCTGGGACAAAGAAAGCAATGACAAAAGGGGATCAAACTGGCGTTTTTGGACCTCCTCCAAGGTCGGCAACGGGGACAGTACCTACCTCGTCGTCTTTGCCGTCTCCGTAGATCGTGGGGAAAGGCTCACTTCCCGCTATCTTCATTGCCTTTAAAAACAAGGAGACCAAATTAGAAAGGTTTTATTTTTTTTCGGCGGAACTGTTAAGGGCTAAGCTTTCCAGGATCGTGTCCATGTATGTCGACACAAACCTCCCTCGACAGCTACAGCCATCTATAAGCGACGCCGGCAAGCACACAACCAGTATGGTTTCCGGCGTCGCTCGTAGATCGCGGCAACCTTTCCAGCTATCATAGAAGAATGGATAGTTGGGCGCGTTGGTGGGAATTCATTGTAGGAAACAGCACGAAAAACAGACGACGACAAAAAAGAACCACACAGTGTATCAAGTACGGCTCCGCTAGCCACTTCTCGAAAGACAGTACACCCATATGATCTCGCAAATACTACAGTGTGTTATCTCATCGTAAGAGATCACGAGACTTCTGTCGTAAGAAAACGCAATTGTGCAGACCGGCCTTCGTAAGTATTGCATTAATACAACAATACTAGTGAAAATTGAGGCACTCCTTCTATCTACCGCCTAAACGTCCCGTATGCAGAATGGATTAGCTACGTATGTGCAAATCTCAGCACTGCAACATGCGGTGTCGGGTCGTGACGTCATGCAACGTGGTCACGTGATTTTGTAGTGTGACCTGTTATCACGTTGCACTACAATTTGACGCCCAAGGTAACGAGACCTAATAACATTGCCACAGTGACATCACGAGAAACTGTGACTTTCCACTGAAAGTCGTGGGACCCAAAGTCATGCGACACCATGACAAGACACGGTGGCCTGTTGCGGTGCCAGCCACATGACCGTGCAAACTATAGTGGTGTCCCGCCCAACTTAGCCGAACCTTAGCCCGCTAGATTTAGGTGATGGCGTCACTTCCGTCGCCAAGCTACAGGGACGACGGCGACGCGACACGGATCGCAATTTCGCTTCTGGTAAAATACATTCTGCATTAATAATGTGCCTGCGTGTCTATTTAGATTCACATTTCCAGAGTGCCGTGAAGCGGGCAGCAGGAATGTGGACGCGACTGTTTTTTTGTGGGTTGCTTCGAAGCGTTAGGTTTTGGTGCGCTCCAAAACTAGCTCCTAAAGACTGTAACTGTTATCAAAATGACTGGCACTTGACTTGTGCTCTCAAAGCATAGCTAGCGTCCCAATACAAACCTGCTCCAAGTTGAAATTAAAATTACTTTTTACAGCAACCATGAATACTCAGCCTTCACATTTTGTTTCTTACCTGCAGAAGTGTCCTCACCGGACGCTCCTCAGATCCGTCGCCGGACTCGTCGTTGCCAGACGCCTCCGACGTGTAAATCGCCTCTGAAATATTTGAGGTGGAGAGAACTGAGTAATGAGCAATATGACCTCAGTAAGGGTATCCTTTCATCCAGTGATGGGTGCCCCATCACCGGGGACACAAACCAAAAAATATATTGTTTCGGTTACAGATACCGTTTCCTGTTGATATTGATTTCGTTACAGTTTTTTTATGGTTTTAATTTTTATGGTTTTAGCTACCAATTACACGTTCATAAAAACCGTTTCTTTTTTTTTTTTTCGCTTTCTCCGATAATTGGTTTTATTGAAATGCAGGACAGCCGTCTCATAATAAACGGTTTAAAGTAGTAGTCCCAGATATGTAACAACGGGACATTCACAATAACAAGAACTCAAAAACGTCGTAGTACTTCTAAATGGTCAAAAGTTGCACATGTTTCTAGTTCCAAAACTTGTTCACTATATCTATTTACATTATATAGTTTGACACCCAAGCATACATGATACCATTGCTACTCAGGGATCGTCGCATTCTTTAAAGGGATACTACAACGAAATTTCGGCGCTCATTTTTTTGGTTTTATATGTGTTCAAAAGAGCAGTATCACATCGAACATACCAATATCTTGTTAAAAAGTCACGAAAAGGAATTTTAGAACGAATGAAACGATTAGCAGAGAGCACCTGCGGGATGTCGCTAACGCCTCACTTGTAATGCCCGTCTAGGAACCTTGACAGCTAGTGACGGAGGTTGTCTCGTCTTCGGCCACGACGAGAGAAGAGGGGTAGGAGGAACTCCCCTCTTCCCGAGAATCCCTTTTGTGTGTCGCAGAAGTCGCTACCACTGCTCGTTCACTAGCCGTGCAAGTGCGTCTGCATGGTCTAGTCGGTAGCGTGTCTGGCTCGCGACCAAAGGGTCATGGGTTCGATCCCGCTCCGCCTAAAACTCTAAAAATTTTTTCTTTAAGGGGAATTAATTACTTATCGACCAATCAAGATTTTTCCGTCCCACCGATGCCGGCTTTTCTGCGACACAAGCTCCTTAAAGCTATCGCTTTGAAAATAAACATTGCTACTTTGTTGGTCGGCAGCATTTTTGTGAACAAGTCTGCGAAAGTTCCCACTGGGTGCTGGAAGAACCATTTGCACCTTCTCATCGCTATAGTTTGTTGCAACCTAAGATATGCAGAAGAGGCTTTGCCCCCACTGACGTAAGGAGCAGGACTATAGCCCTCCTCTAGTAAAATACTGCAAAGTGAGATAAAGTAATGAAATTGAAAGCTGGGCTAATTGGTGAGAGTCAAACATAATGTAACTGCAACAGCGCAAAACAAGGAAGACTGAAGAGGAACGAACAACACAGCAAGCTGTAGAAGTATGTCTTGTTCTGTTCGCTCCTTTATAGCCTTTGTTGTAGCGCGCTGTTACAGCTACGTCATGTTTGCTATTTCCAAGCAAATGCATGTGGTTATAGAAGCGCACGTTTCTCGCTGTCCGATTCTGCGGCGCTAGAAAAATTATGCATCGATATAGTAGCGCCATTTTTCTCCGTTGTTTGGAGGTGAAGCATCCTTTACAGTTATGTTGCAACTAGGGGTGTCACAAACTTTCCTCGAGCCGGACTAACTATTTTTAATCCTAAATTTAGATTGAATGGAAATGTATTACCAGATTCACCACTTGCCGACGGTGACTCAGACAAATGGCCACAATATTTCAAGATCCCTACTTGAAATCATTATAAAAACATGTTTATAGCGCGTAACTGTGTCTAAATAGTGCAAGAAAACCTATATTTAATGATGATTTCCAAATTGTAGCAATTCGGTTGCTGCGCGTCAACGGGTGGCCTGTGCTGCTGGTGTTGCGAAGTCAAATTGCTGGGAGAAATCGCCCTGTCTGAAGCGGGCCTAAGCTGTCCGAGTTGCTGGAAGTGTAGGTGATTTCACTTCGCTTGACTATCTGTTTATGAGGAGTGTTTACATGAGGCAAGCACAGGGACTCTGCATGGTTGCTTATGGATTCCAAGTCTCAATTACGTGATCTCACTCCTCAGTCTTGACGCCTGCTTACATCATCATCAAATTGCATGAGGCACGTCTACAAGAGGTTTGTTACTCGGGCTACAAACGTGATTTAACCAAGTTTATCATTTTTCTTTTTCTTTTGAAGGTTATGGCATTTGGGGGGAGGCAAAATGGATTGAGAGATGGCAGGAGGTGGGGCATAGGCTCACATCATCTTTTATTCGGTTATTTATGATACTATGTAATCTCTCGTGACAGTAATATCTTGTGACAGTGACCTCTTGAGACAGTAAACAGTAATACTTACAAGGCAATGAACTTAAATAAATAGTATAAAATGTGCTGGCATGGGTAATGACTGAACATATATTCGATTTTCCTGGAAAAGTTCTACCAATGGTGAAGCTGTTGTGTGTTAGTGATGCTAAATAGTGGTAAGTGCTAGTGAAGCGACCAGATTGCAGTGCGTTCCGACACTTCAACATGCCAAGCCATGATATATATGTATGTATGTATGTATGTATGTATGTATATATTAAAAAAAACGCACTTTTTTTTTCTTCGTGTTTTTAATTTAAACAACACAGCTGTGACAGCTGTGTTACTTAGCTGTTTTGTGACCTTCTATGCCATTTGTAGATGTGTGCTTCTTGGGGAAGCTTAGTAGTACGAGACCAATGTCTCGTCGATTTTGGCAGATTGCAACCGAGAAACTGTGCCGACGGTGTAACATGATGCAACCCCACGCACGCGTTGCTTCATGGACACAATTCAAGCGTTTACAGTACCTTTCGTACGATATAAATTATAAATGAATAAACCATAATTTCACTCGTGTAGCGTCCCTGAAAATAATATCTACGATATTATCATATCAAATCAGGAACGAACTCGGTAAGTACCGGCATGTGGCAGTTGCTAACTTCGGAGTTTCGCTTTGGAGCTGCAGCCTCTAACAAACGTCCCAATTTACTCACTCAAGCTCGGTTGTTGGCCTTCCGTCATGTTTCTTCCTTTGGTTTTCGATGGGGCCGTGCTTCGATCAATTCTCACAAAAAAATACGTATAGTCGCGTCAACGCCTCACACTCCGAAATCAAGCCGATCAAGCCGCATAACAAATCGAACAAATCCCTACGCCATGCAGGAGGTATGGTAAATTTTGGCAATAAAGCCAATAAAGCGGCCGGACTCCAATCTGGCGGTAGCAGTCAGTTTCTTCGTAACTTGACAAGCATGATGTACTTCTGAAATAATCTAAGAAAACTATACGTGCACTTAAACTTTACTATTTATGTTTTACAAAGTACGTAATGCATTTACTCAGCATTTACTTTAATAGACTTCTTCCAAAGCCGACGCGCCCCATCGCGGCGAAATACCACGCAGTGCACTCTGGGAACTAGTTGGCCACTCAGTTTCGGTTTCGACTGAGCAGCTTCATCTCATATCACGCCGCGACCGAACGCGCTGCTTTCGTTTTCGACTATCTGACTTTTCACGAATGTACAATACACTCAATCTCGAGCGATACAAAAACGAAGACCGGGGCACTTTCCTTGGTTCCCGAAACACCGGATATTGTGCGCGTGTATGCAAACGTAGTAAGACGTGGCTTAGTCACCTCACCCCACCAGTGCATCTTTGAGCTCGTGTCAGTAATCCCGTCTATAGACGCTTTGCAGCAGCTGTGCATGGACGCCGCCATAACTGACCTTCAGTTTTTGTTTCCTCTTATTCCGTTTATTTCCCCTCATCATTACCATAGCAGGCCAGGTTACTGCCATCTTAGATTCAACTGTGTCTTTTTCTAAAGCATCGGCTTTTGTAGAGGATCGTCAACTACCGTTTCAGTTGCTCGGCATGTCGGTAAGACAAGAGAAGGTCAGCCATGGCGGCTGTAATTTGGCGCGTGTGTAAAGCGTCTATACTTCGTTTCAGCTTCGGTCCAGACGCAGCCGATGCTACAAGCTCGAGCATGTGGCTCAGAACAGTGCTTTCACTGCACGAGCGCGCGTGCTTGGCAGGGATGCTGAAAGCCCGGAGCTCGCGTTTGTAGCTTTGGCTGCGTCTGGACCGAAGCTGATACGAAGTATAGTACCAGTGAACTACAACTGAAATTTGGTCACCTTGAGCCCTACACGTATTTGTTTGCCAAACGTCCGCTTCTTGTTACTTAATTGGGCGAAAAGCAAGCCGCATCCTCAAAGGAGTATCAAAGTTAAGCCAGCGTTGGCGCACACCATAAATTCGACCTCACTACTGCACAAGAGTTACTATATGATGTCTTCCTCGTGTCATTACATACCTCACACTGAAATTTTATGCTGATATAAGATTATTTTTTTCGCAAACGCTGAGATCGGCTAGCTACGACGGAGACAAGCTTCCCCTATTTCTCGCTAAGCCTTTCTGGACGACCTTTTACTGACGTTCAAGATCCGTGCCTGAACGATGTGTCTGAAATTACCTCGGCATACTCAGAGGGGAAGAAAGCAAACACATAACAAATATTATGGCCATTAGAAACCGTCAAATGCGCTTTGAATAATTTCGTTCGTTTGGCGCACCGGGGTTCATGCCCGTCCGGCGCACTTCCACCGAATGGTGCGACATTCTTCACACAAGTACTCGACTTTTGCTTTTTTTAAACGGTTTGTATGTGCGAATGCAGGATAACTTTATGCCTATACGCGATGTTGAATATTAGTGAAATGCAAGCGGGTGGGGACTTCACGAATTCGTGCAGTGCTGCGGGGCCATGGAGAATAGAAGGGTAGGAGAGGGCATGACGTCGGCCGCGTAGCCTCCACAAGCCATATGCTCCCTTGACGCCTCGCCTCTTTCTCATTTTCCTCCTTACACTCCTCACTTACCATGCCAACGTGACCACATCACGTGACCGTAGCTAGACCTTCGTCTTGCTGTGGGGTAATACACCACAGTCTAGCCTTCGATCTGATAAAACCTACCGGACGGAGCGCGCGCAAGCCTGCAAGGAGTCCTTCTACAATCAACCATCCATCTCACACGTGACATGTCACGCGCACCAATCGCCAGAGGGATCTGCGGTCACGCTGGGCACAAAATCGTTTAAACTTTTTATGGCTGGTTATAATAATGCTTTATTCGGTTTCTAAAACCCGGGCGACAGTGAAAAGGCTATTGCCCATGCCATAGAGGCCCACTGTACCCGCTACACAAACATATATACATAAAAAAAAAAAATATATATATATATATATATATATATATATATATATATATAGATATATATATATATATAGGCTTCACCAATATTGCAACGTGCCCCCTCCTAGTACTTCTAACCTCCTTGTCCGGGGCAGTACAGGCGTATCAAGAAAAACAGTAATTGCAAAAAGTTATATTTCGTCTATGGACGCACGAAACAAACAAACTTCCTGATCAACAACACTAATGTAAAGGCGCGAGCTCGATGTATGCATACTTACTGGAGTCTAGTTGATTCGTACACAAGCAAGATCCCCGAGCTTCGCAGCGTCGAGATTCCCAGCACTGGCTAGTCCATATACCTCGAACCGCTAACAGAAAGGCTCAAGCACAAAAATACAACAAGCATGCGTTAAGACAAGCTATACGTCTCAGGCTTGTGCTCAAGCTTCGAGGTCTGGCCATTTAGGTTAGTTTAGAGACCACAAATGGCTCGCTCTGAAGTTTTGAGCAGCGCTCCAGGCGAGAAAAATATAATATTTGGCTCGCGTTTCGAACTTGCATCAATACACTTTCTCACTAGAGTTTTTTCTACTCCGTTCCATTCTAAGTGCCAGCGTAGCAGAGGCTAAATGATCGACCTGCGAGCTCTCAGCGTCCCTGCCAGGCACGCGCGCTCGTGCAGTGCGAGCAGCTTTCAGGAGGACGCGCTTTTGCGAGTAGCTTCGGCTTCGCTATCACGTAAAGTGAAATATACGTGCTCGAGGAAGCTATGAAAGAAAGCGAAGATGAAAGGAAAGTTTAATGTAACGCTGCGGCCGCGAGCTCCAGAATTCCGGTCTTTTTTTTTTTACTTTCTTTAAGCGTTTTGTTACCGCGCATCTACAAGTGTTGACAGCTGCTTGTATTCGAAAGAGGCACGTGCAAAATCGAACGCTACAGCACCACACGGATGATGCAGCCAGCATAACCTGGTCGCGTCTTGCATAAGTCTTCCGGATGAGCTCGCGCCCCCTGCCCCAGAGCAACGGATCTATCGGGACGAGAAAACATACAATAACGGCTCTGTGTATAATCTCTTGCCGACGTGTCGATCGAAACCGAAACCATGCCACTCTCCTCCCTGGCCAACTACATAATATCCCGAGTCATCGCCCATCCCCGAGCCATCGCCCACACCATTTTTTGGGCCAATATCGATTTCCGAAAAAAAACACCGAGTCATCGCCCACCCCTTCAAATACCCCAGCGCGGACTCTGCGATGATCCGCGAACACTCATCCTACCCGAATGACGCAGCCGCGGACCTTACAGTTCGAGGACGTCCGTGACAAAGTAAAACAAAGGAGGGAAAGACACTTCTTTTTGTTTACCTCCGTGAGCGACCCCAAAGTGGTTGTGTATCCGTGCGAAAAGAAAACAAAGGAGATAACAAAATAAGAGTTTGTTAATGTAACCGCGGAGTGTTAGGTCAAAGTCTGTCTCGGCCGAAGTAAGGTCACCGCGAACCCGCTCCTTCTCGCCTGTCGCGACCGCGGTTGTGCAATATTTTAGGCAAAGCCAACGCGTAAATAAAGCTTTGCTGGAACGCCCTACACAGACGTTTGCAGAGCGTCCCAACCGTGCATTGATAGCCCGCCGTGCACGGACGCACGTATGTACGCACCGAACAAAATAGTTGCGCAAGAGCTTGCAATTGACAAGGCGCCCGATTTGGCCCGACGCCAAAGTATTTGCCAACGCGACCGCCGGCTTTCCCAGCATTGCTCTTGGTCGCTTCTTTGGTCCGCTCGCTCGCTCGTTGCGTATGGTCGGTTTTTCTATTTTCTTTCTTTTTTTTTTTTTTACCAACTAGGAGAACATAGTGGTGACATTCTTTCACAGAACAAACGTTCGCGCTATATGCAGATCGGCGGTGTTTCTAGCGCGTATGCAAGCAACGGACTTCGCTATAGTAAAATATTCTTTCGTGAACATTCTTTTCTATAAAACAATGAAACTAGATCGAGTTTTGAGTTTGATGTATCTCTTGTGCATCAGCGCTAGGTACGCAGAGAAAAATACGCGGTTTTTTCCGCTTTTTTTGAAGTCTTTGTGCTCACCCACCGAGACATGGCTCACCCCACTTTTTTAATGAATTTCAGTTGGTAGGGGGGTGGGCGATGACTCGGGATATTACGGTAGTTCCCAGAGTGTAACGCGCGCCGTGTTGCATGCAGGGCTTTATGGAAGTAGTCTATTAAAGTAAAAGGCCGGTCCTATATAAATTCACAATTATTGTTCCCCTTTTCGCAATAGGGCAGCATTTCGCGCTATCTAGTTCGTGAGTCGTGCTACGAACCGTCAGTTTTTGATGGTTCGACCGCAAATACCTGCCTCACTAAGATTTTACTGTTGGCCTCTACGACCACACTACAAGCGTAATTTTATCTACGTCATACATGGTTATATTATGAATTACCTTGACCCCCAAATTTGCCAGAACCACCAGTCAACCATGTTCAAATACTCCTCCCTTTCCCACGTATATATGAAGAGAAAGGGCATGATTTTCTGCCTTGCCGAAAGTCCCACAAGTTAAGTTGTTTTAGATATAAATAAACTGAACCACCAGGACTGTTCCAAGTTTCTACAAATTCGGCAGTGCTAAAAAAAAAAAAATATTTTTTTTTTCTTTCAGAAAGCACCCATCTGTCGACTACATGTCAAATCTTTCAGAGGGGTCTTGATGGCGTATTCAGCAAACGGGTATGAAGCCACCGGAAGCAAGCGCTTGGCAGGCTTTGTAACCCTTCAGAGTGCTAGTTCGAAAAGCATCGAGGGCGCTGGATTTTCGCTGCTCAGCTCAAGAGAGCCCGCTTGTTGCACAGTATGAGCGCATGCAGACCAGAGAAGCATGATGGGAAGCCATTCAATGTAAACATTTTTGAGATTCTAGTTGATCAAGTGCGCGTATGTCCCAAGTTCAAATGCCTCAATTTCGGGATTTAATTCGCAGCACGATCATTAAAACCCACTCAGACACCAGAAAGTACGGACCAAAACATACACTGAATGCATTGGAAGCCCAGCAGACGCCAGACTTCCGGGACAAGCATCAAACTTCCGGTGGCTTAACTTGCGCCCAATGTTACTAGATTACCTCAATTGTGGAACTCCTGCGGAAGGGGGTACCCCCCCTCACTCACTTCAGTCCACCTCCCATCGTTCAAAGCGCCATCTAGATTTTAGTTTACGAACTGTATTTTCCATAGGGTACGGCAGAACGCCATCTAGACGCTGTACTTCGAAACATATGTATCCCATAGAATACACTGCGGTTACCGCCACGTTGAACGACGGGAGGCGAGTTGTAGTGACTGACCTAATCTAACGTTGCTTGCGCCCTGGTCGGAGAGCGGAGGCATGCGGTTTAGAGAAGCTCGTTTTAGAGAAGCTCGTTTTAGCGAACACCGTTTTACCGACCCCGGTTTATCGAATGCCTTCATAGAGAACACAGCTTAGAGAAAATGGCAATGAGCCTCCTTTAAGCGAATTCGGCCGCCGTGAAGCGGCGTGTACGGGTAAGTCAGGTGGGTTAACATTTTTGTAATGGGCCGCCGCAGACTGCCGCCGCGAGTCGGCGGGAGCTCAGCACACCAGTGATACACGTGCACCAGTGATAAACACGAGAAGTAGGAAAGCGTTTTTTTAAAAATCGTCCCCTTTTCGATAAACGGAGTTTCTCTAAACTGAGGCTCTGCTTTCTCTAAACCGTGCTTCGATAAAACATGCCCCTTCTCTAAAACGTGCTTCGAAGAAATGGCATTCAATCAACCGTAGTAAACCCGTCCGAGAGCGGCTATGCGCTATCCAGCCCCCTATAATAGTGACCAGAGTTTGCACCTTGTTTATACACACCGACTGCACACTTCTGCAGTCCAAACTTTTGCAAAACTGAGTACAATCTAAAAAAAAAAGAAAAAAAGAAGCACTTACTTTGCACCGCTTTTCATTCGTTCCCAGCATCACATTTAGAACTCATTCATAACGTCGATTTTAAACTATGCAGAGCGCAAATTCATCTGCTTCTTTTGCAGGGGTTGTGGTGACGTCAAAATGCCGAGCTCTGATTGGCTCCGAATGAAGGATGGTGGGTAGACCTCAAGGCAGCTTGCATTAAGGTCTACCAACTATCCTTCAATCAGAGCCAACCGGAGCTCGGCATTCTGACGTCACCATAACCCCTGCAAAAGAAGCAGACAAACTTGCGCTCCGCATAGCCTGCATGGATGAATGGAGAGACAAAACAAGTAGAAAATGTGTCGCTACAAACATGTCTAATATACCACTCGTTTGTTGCAGGTTCAGAATAAAGGACAAGCTCATTCCACAAAGCTCTCCACTCCAACATGGTGAACACTGGGAGGAGGAAAGTACAAATCAAGACGAGCAGAGTGCTTCGTAGGAGGAGCTTATTCTAAACCTACTAAGACAGACTATAACAAAAAGGTAGTTTGTAGACACGTCTAATAACAAAAGGAGCAGAGGTAGTCGCTCATACCAGGAAAACTTGATAGACAAGACAAACCCTCACAAAGAACACAAAAAAAAGCCAGTTTTCTTACGGGAAATCTTGTTTCGTGACAAACACAGCCTGGCACAACAACGATGTAACCCGATTAAAATTACATCCAACAGACGAAAAAGACATCATTTGCGCACTCTCAACAATCCAGACAACACCCAATGCCACGAGCAAAGGGTTGAACACAACCAGCCGATTGAGCCAGCATCGTAAGAAAACAGATTTCCACAAAAACCCATTTTTCCAAGCAAGCAAACAAAACATAAAAAAAAAAAAAGATCGAGGACGACGAAAACACGTTGGAAAAGCATCACATTTACTAGCGTCGACGGCGCAGACTTCGCACCAACTTGGTCGCCAAAGAATGTTCTGCGCCGCGACCGACTCACACTTTGCATTAGTCTGTCCTTGGAACTGACGCTGGTCGGCTGCGGTCGTCAGAGGCCCATGGTGTAGGAACGTCCGCACGGGTTGTGCACAGTGCCCAGTTGCGGCTGCGTCACGAGCCACTCGTACCACACCTTGCGCGGCGTCACGCACCGCCAGAAGTGGACTTCGAGCGTCGATCCTTTGGGGAGACTCACAGGGTCCTGAAACGGTCGGGGGTCCGTCGCAGCCGCGTACCGTAATGCTGCGGTCCGCACTGCTAGTGCAGTCAAATCTCATTAATTTAAACTCTCTTAATTCAAACTAACTTGCGGGTCCCATCTTATACATCTGTACGGGAGAAAACTCCCGGTAATTCAAACTTTTACTTTATTCAAAGGAATTTTCGGTCCCCCTCAAGTTCAAACTATAAAGATTCAACTACATGCCATACAAAGGACGGTCTTGTCATGTCGGTCGTGCAAGAACTGTTCGCAGACATTCGAAGCCCGCACGCGTATGAAGCAGACGGGCTTCTAACTTGCTCAAAGCGTGTCCGCGGCGAACACTGCGTCTTTCGTACCTTCCGGGCAAGCCTTTTTAAGAGGGTGCTTATTTACGAGCTCGCCGATGCAGGAATCCTACACCGCGATTTCCACATTCAAAGCTGTTCATACGTTCAAGCAAATTTCTCGATTTCCAAAATCTGTAGAGGTTGCAGATCGACCGAGAATCCCCAAAAGGCAAAACCAAATACTCAATGGATGTCCTTGCTAATGCATCACGCACTGGCGATTACGCGACCGCACACCGGTATACGATGCCCGTCACACTATAAGAGCAAGCGCACGACTGACCTTGATGGGGAAATAGATGGGAAACCAGCTGAACATGCCCGGTGAATGTGAGTTGGGATATATGCCTGAAGAACAAAAAAAAAACAAAAAAAAAAAACAACTGTACAAGTGCAGGGAACATAGAACAAGGTTTCACTGTGTTATCCCCACTATTTGAGCAGTAATTCGGAGAGGGCCGACTAGTCTCATTATAGACGAGCTTATTAAAAAGTATATTCACATAGAATGAATGTCAAATGGTCAGATAAGGCAACTGTTCAATAGCAATACACTTTAAAAGAACCACTGATGTTGTGAACTGTTCGTTGCAAACTTTTTTGGGTGACTGATTAGCTCATGTGCTGACAAAACTACAGTATCACATCTTAAGGGCAGGTACCTGTCAAGCTACACTGTGTTGCTTAGTTTCCTTTCTTTTTATCCCCAACTATAAAGTCAATGAAACTGAATTGAATTGAATTAAACCGTACAGAAAAAAATTAGAACAAAGAAGTGAGACTAACTCAGGGTGACGTCTTTGTACAGGACACAGTCAAAGTAACCGGCAAACCCGTGCAAGATGTAGTGGTCCTCGATTTCAAACTTCAGGCTCTTGTACCGGCTGTTGTCAATCTTTTTGTCTGCAAAAACCAAAAATGAAAGTCAACATATAATATGGGACCATACAACTTTGAAAAACCTCATGACTCACTGAGAAGAGACGGGCAATTGTTTGGCCCGTCGTACGAAAAATCTCGAAAACTACAGTCACCTGGAAACTCGTGGGGTCCGATCGAAACTGCACAAATTTGCCCACAAGAGTCGCTTTTCCGCTTTTCGTGCCACCGTTTCTCTTGGATCACAAAACTTCATGCAGCATTGCACGAGGCTAAATGTAGAGCATGAGAAAGCTGCTTGGGTGGGCATGAGACCTCGTCTCCTCTGTGCACGCTTGTGAAAAATACTACACCCGTTTTCACCTCAAGAAAAAAGGATGTTTTGCTCCATGTTCATTCGCTGCGTGAAATAGTTCTTAAAAGATTTGGTCATCGGAGACAGTAGCGATGCTTTTGGCGCTTGAAACGAGTACGTCTGAATAAGATAACATATATATAACCTAAAATGCACCTACATATATTTCAATTCTTAGCATAGGAGGTAAATTAGTAATGCCCCGCAAGAAGTCATACTTTTTTTACTACGCTTCTTGAGGTGAGAATGAGTATAGTGACCCTGCTTTCGTCAATCCCTCATATCTGTTCTCATAAGTTGCCTAGTTATGCATGATAACGTAAGAAAAGTGAGAAAGAAACAATGAAGGGTTAGATAAAGATATTATATTGAATATAGTGAAGACTAACCTTAGTGAAAGACAAATGTGGACACAGTAAGTGTGAAGATGTGGTAAGCTCGTAAAGCTTGTATAGGCATTTAACAGGGCAACTGACATGGCAATGGCGCCAACCCAGCAAACATTTAAACGAAAACCACCGCAGCTCCATCACTGCAAGTAGTTGTCACACCATCCTTAAAGTGAAACAATGAAAAGGCAAAGTCAGACCTCTGTTGGGGTGGACAAACGAGAAGAGGGGCTGAGGACTGGCAGGCATGGCAACGTTGTGGAGGCGCACAATGTGAGGCGTCTCAAACGAGGTCTGCAACAAAGAAAAGCCGGGGAAAAAGAGGAATATACGAGCAGGTTTTGAAAGGGATGCACAAAGTATACTCTACAGTGATAATGCAACTAAATGCAAAGGTGCAAGCGTGCTGGACAATAATGACGATAATAATCCCTGGAGAAGGGGAACAAGGGGGACAAAGGACAAACACAAATCTCCAAACATAGCTAGGTGACTGGTGCGCATCCGAAAAAATCCGGCTAATCCTGGTATTGAACCAGGGACCTCTCCATTTCCGGTGGAGCGCTCTACCAACTGAGCTAACCGGGAGTTAGGTGTCAGTAGATCAAACTGGTGTTATCAGCTGCCACCAGCCTAACACCAACAAGAGTGAGTGTTGGTGTTAAACTGGAGGCGGCTGATAAAACTTGTTTGCTCTACTGACGTTTAACTCCTGGTTGGCTCAGTTGGTAGAGCGCTCCACTGGAAATGGAGAGGTCCCTGGTTCGATACCAGGACCAGGTGGATTTTTAGGGGCGAAGCTCCTTAGGGTCTAGCCTAGTCGGCGTTCGTGCTCATATCAATTGCCATCCCATCTGTCTTGTTAAAAAAAGAAAAAAATGTTTGCGCAGTCAAAAGGATTCGAACCTGTGTGGGGAGACCCCAATGGATTTCTAGTCCATCGCCTTAACCAGTCGGTCATGACTGCGGGACGAGTAGGGGGGGCTCTGAGATGTGGTAGTAACTCGAGAGCTGGGGATGTCATGGATGAAACGTTGCATGTAGCCGCTCAACGTCTATACAGGAGAGGGTGCTGCGGTCAAATGCATATATATTTGCATTCAACTGTGCATGCATTGGCTCAACGTTTATAGACGAGAGGGCGCTGCGGTCAAATGCTCAAATGCATATATAACCACGTTCCATACCACACATTCTCTTTCCGACATGAACCATTGACTTAAGCGGCGGAGATGCGTTCGCACGGCTTCTAGTGGATCCAAGCTGATCCGCTAGAAGAACCACTGGCTCTGCATTTCACCGGCCCTAAAGCAGTAATAATGAAGTCGAAACGTAACCCAAACTCAGCACTACCTATGAACAATAAAAAAAAGATCAGCACCATCAGCACTACTTATGAACGAAATCAGTATCATCAGCACCACCAGAGCTTCGCCCCAATCAACATCATTCACCACGTGGAGATGCGGTTATTTTTTTTCGGTCGCGCACCAGTCACCTAGCTGTGTTTGGAGATTTGTGTTTGTCCTTTGTCCCCCTTGTTCCCCTTCTCCAGGGATGATAATCGTCATCGTTATACTCTACAACACTGTTAGCACGAATGCAGTTTCGCCGTTTTGAGGTAAATTTAACCTAGAAAAAAAGCGAGCAAAGCGTGCCATGGTCAAAATTGAGTTTCGGCAGCAAAGGCTGCCAAAACCCTGTGGTACGAGCTCTGCTAGCAACACAACAATAGCCACAAAAATAAACTACCGTATTAACTCGAAAATAGGTCGAACCCTATTTGTTGGACCCACCGAGAATAAAAAAAACAAAAACAATTCAAATATAGGTCGACTTTTTTTTTATTTTTAAGACCAGGGGGAATTTTGGGCAAAAGAAACAAACCTTTATTTACATCGCTCTCAGCTAAATCACGGGGCGATGCCAAAAACTTAATCACCGTCAGAACTTCTGGACATGTCATCGTCGTCCAAAGCTTCGTCAGCTTGGTAGACATCCTCGCAAATTTGCAACAATACTTCACTGACACCGTTGTAAAATGACGATAAGAAGGAACGAAAGAAGGTGCGAAGAGACGAAAGACAAACTACAAAGACGCAAGCAAAGCCGCCGTTTCGCCATGAGCAACACGCGAGCCGAGCCGCCTCAAGCAACTAACAAAAGTAACATCTTTTTTTTTTTTTTGTGCGCGTTTGCGAGGATGGAGGGCAAAGTGCATGGCACATCGCGTTCCTCTCGTTCCCCATTGCCCAGCAAGGCGAACGCTAGAGGCGCGATGGCGAAATCCGACGCCCAAGGGGTGCGCGCGAGAGAGGCACCGGCCACCGCGGTTGTTTTTGGTTGTTTACCAAAAGCTTTTTGAAACAAGAAGCGGCGCGGCTCTACGGCAACGCCGGCTCGGTGACTCGATAGCTTCATGCCTCCAATACGGTCGCAAAATTTGGTCGTGAATGTAGGTCAAAATTCTTTAGTCACGATTGCCGAAAAAAAAAAGAAAAAAAGGTCGACTTATATTTGAATAAACACAATAGTTGCAAAAGTTTTGAAAAAAAAAAAAAAAAAAAGGAGCAGTACAAAAGCAGGCTGTGGCAATGCTGACATGGCATTGCATGCCTGGAACGCCGTAACTGGAGTTGGCGTCCGCTGCATTCGTCATTAAACACAATTCTGCATACAACAGTTTAATTACCTAATAAACTAAAATACAACAGTTTTTTTTTATTCTACTTTGAAAAGGTATTCATAAGAGAAGCCTAACGTGGGGGTTAACTCTGTACCGCAGGCAGTGAAATACAAATCTCATTGTCAATTTTTTTAGAGCCCAGCTCCTAGGCGCCCATTTTCGGGTTGAGCGGTGTCGCCGTCGCCGTCGGTGCAACCACACGACGTTACTTGTGACGTCACGAGGGCCATGAGTGATGTTACGAGGTTGATGAGAGACGTCATGAGGTCCACAAGTGATGTTACGAGGGTGACGAGTGAAGTCATGAGGGCCACGAGTGACGTCACAAGGACCACCAGTGACCTCACGCGTGACGTAACGAGGGCCACCAGTGACATCATGAGGGTCACCAGTGACGTCACGAGGGTGACATGTGACATCACAAGGGTGACGAATGACGTCACGAGGGCCACCAATGACGTCACGAGGGTCACCAGTGACGTCACAAAGGTAACCAGTGATGTCACGATGGTCACGAGCGAAGTCACCCTCGTGAAATCACATGAGCATACCCTCCCCTCCTCCTCAAGAGCTGCGCTCTAATAGACCCTTCGCAAAAATCCTAAAAACCCGCGCGCACCGTGCAACGAATTATGGGAGTCCTCAGTATGCCCCCACCCATCGTCTTTCCTCCCGCTACCACGTGGTATACACAAGCAGGAGCAGGGTACCATGGCAACAACGTTCGAGCAGCCGAGAGCCGATTCGGACGAGTGACGAGCACACAGAAATGAAAGAGAGGGTATCGCGTTGGCTATTCTGCGAGGCTGCCCCTATCTCATCCCTCTCCTTTGTACTGGCTCTGTCATCTGCTGCACCAACGCTTTGTCGAACCTAGCCGAACCCTACCATGTTTGCGGTGAAAGGTAAGTGGATTAAGTGACACTGCCAGACATGTAGGTAAGTTACAACAAACAACGTATTCAAAGAAGTGAATAGCTTCACCCATCGCGATGCGTTTACACTATTACTGCGCCGCCGAGGATGTACAACGTTCCGGCGGATTGGCGGGATGGTGGATGGCTGCGACAGCTGCTGGCGGTTGCTGGCGCTACTCGCACGCAGTCGCGGAGTCGCAACGAAAAAGCGTGTGATGTGTACCGAGGGTTCCCAAAATCCCCTGCCGTACGTTTTGCAAATGGGCTATTTGGCATTACAAAAAATTGTAAACGTCTTTAATTTTTTAAACATGAGAAAGTGAACGGAAACGAAGCAAAACTAATTTATGGCAGGAGGGACCAAGGAGCAATTTCGATACGAGCGTTAAAAATTTACCTTTTGCAACATGACACGAGCGTATAGACATTGCTGCGTTTAGTGAGATGCTCTCCTTTAGCCAAGTGATCTTGCAAAAGAAGGGGGACGATTTTCCAGTCCAACAACCTACACACATCTCTTGAGGCTTGAAACAAGGCTTCCCAATGTTTCCAGATGAAGACTATCTAGATCGACGTGAAATAAAAGGAAACAAATCTGATGTGCACCTTGTGCTCACTATTCATCAGGTATCTTTGTTCGGAGCGACCTGTTACCAACTGCAATATAAAGTTTCTCGGCTTTTTCTTTTTTGTGCGATAGTTCCCCGTTAACCATCGATCCAACCAAAATCTTACTTGTCTAAGCATCATGAAAGCAAGGAGAAATGCGACATTAACATAAATACCTCAACACACGTCGGGCATGAAGAGCTTCGAAATCACGACAGTTTGCGAGCTATCTCCCCTGAATTCCCACATAGCCGCACGGTGGACGGCACATGGGTTGGGTGAGTGAGGGGAGCGTGCGCTCACCAGAGGGTGTTTGTCCTTCTCGCGTAGCACCGTCACCTCGCTGTACAACTTGTGTGACTGGACGGGTCCCAGGTAGGACTGGTACGAACAGGGGATGCTGATGCCGTCCTCTGGTGGAGAGCAATTGACACTGTTTGTGAGAAAGGCATGACGAGGAAGGTACATTGAAAAGGCACAATGAGAGAGGCATGCCCAGAAAGGCATGAGAAGAAATTATGTTTGAAGGGCATCACAAGAAACGCATGAGACAGGCATGCTGAGAAAGGCACGACGAGAAAGGCATGATGAAAAAGGCATGACAAGGAAGATATTTCCAAAAGGTATGATGAGAAAGGTGTGTCGGAAAGGCATGACATGAATTGTGTGTTAGAAAGGCATGATGAGAGGGGCATGTAGCGAACGTTTACCCAGGAAAAGTCGGATCTCCGGGGACAAAGTCAACAGGTTCACCTTTTACCACCGACCCCTTTAGCAGAAGAGTGTCACACAACTGCTGGGTCAACGTTGGGCTGGGACTCGAGTCCTCACCCAACGAACACGAGCCACGACCCAATGCCGATGTAGCACTAGCGTTCAACCCACGCCCCCCGTCAACCTCTGGCAGGAGGTGCACAAAATCCAGCACTACAGTCTCGTCATCAAGGAGGAGTCAAACGAGCGTGGCTGCACATGGCGCAACATGCATACCAAGCTCCTCCACGCACCATCACCGCGAAGCAACGCGCGACACATTCCGTGTTACCACTGCCTCTGCCGTGACAGTGACGGAAATGGGAGAATTCCTAATTAACCGATTCTCTCTCACCTTTGAGGAACCTCTGAGCGCCGTCCAGGCACTCTGGAGACAGCTCGTTGTCCCCAAACGACCCCAGCAGCTCTGAGACCAAGATGTCCGCCTTCTCGGGCGCCTCGAATTCCCGCATGTCGCACGAGACCACCGTCACCCGGTCCTGCCACACCTCCTCCTTCTGGGACAGCAGCCTGGGTTGCAGGACGCATAAAGACGCGCTCATGAGAACATACTGAAGGAAAATACCTTGCTAAAATTGCAACTCTTTTTGTTTTTTTCTTAAAGGGACATTTTTTAGAGGTAGTTCTATCAGCTTTCAAGTATCCTGATGGATACTGTCCGAAAGTTTCACTCCAGTAACTAATGCCTTTTTTTCTGGAGTAAAGTCCTCACAATTCACATTGTTTTAGTAGTTTTTATTTTAGCAATACTGGCTCTCAACTGAGATCCATAGCAGGAGTGCTACATTGCTAAAATACTTGGAACAAAAACGAGCACACAAAGAGCGGTCTAAGAAAATATCTTGTTTAAGTGCAGCGGTAAAATTATCAATTTAAGATAGCGCAACAACACTGTTTTCAAGTGAATTCTAGTCCTGTATTGCCCAATCGAAAAATAAATATTCATAAACATGCTTAAATCTCTGTTTCTTCAATAGACCACTTGCTATATCTCTCACCCCGGCCTGCACTCAAGAAATCATGGAAATGGTGTGCCTTTAGTTCCCTAGTGATTGGTAATTTCAAACAATTCAATGCTTACGCACTTTTGAGTGGAATCTGGAGTCATCCTGAATAGGTGTCGTGTAGAGTCAAAAGACCTGGCATAGCATTTTTAAAATTTCTCGTCAGTGTCAGCGTTCTTGATACTGTGCATGCGATCCAGCCTTCAGTCTGAAGCGTCACATGTCACTTTCTGCCTGGGCTTCTAGCACCAACTGCCAGGATTGCGGTGTCCAACAATGTGACGCTTCTGTGACGTCGTTTGTTGCCACTTCGGGGCCGCTTGGGATGTACAAATGGGACGCTAAAAGCACCAACCGAAGACACGTTGCGGGCACCGTGCTTCTATTAAAGCGATGCGCGTCATGTTTCGCAAGTGCCACAAGAACGGAAGCACACTCACGTGAGCACGGCGTTGGGGTTCTTTTCGATGGCGTAGACTTTGACCTTCTGGTGCGCCAACTCCGCGGCGCTCAGGGCAGCTCGTACCAGTGGCCCGCGACCCGCGCCGACCACCATCAACGTGCTGCGAGAGGCACCGACGTTTGTCGGCAATCGGCTGTCAAGGGTTTAAGGTCGGGTTGCATCTGAACAAACCGGAGGTGCCTCGGTACTGCGCACCATCTCTTACGAGTCACGATAACCGACACAAATACTTAAGTGCTCTTTATGCAAGGAACACGCTACCTCTCATCTCCTTCTGCCGCTGTTTTCTTCCCAAAATGTGCGCCATCGTGCCGCAACAGAACGTCGCTCGTTGCTTACGAGAGACGCTCGACTTAGGGGCAGGGAAGGCGATGAAATTTGGGCAGTGGCAGTCTATTTGCCGAACAACGTTTTGTCGACACACCGCACAACGCTTCGTCGAAAGAGTCTCTTTCCGTGCACATCCTCTCAGTCACCGCCACCTGGATCGTAGCCTAGCTTGCCGAACCCTTCGGGGTTCCAACGAGGCCCGGTGCTAGCTTGGGCGTCGGAAATTACATTCAATTCTCCCTGAGCGAAGCGAGGGACGACCAAGCGTAGCGCAATCAGCCAAGGACTAGGGTCGGGGAATTCGTTTTTTGCCCTATCCGGAGTTGCCTGGGTTTAGATTCCGCATCTTCCGGCAAAAAAAAAAAAGGAAGCCAATAATCCTTCCCCCCCCCCCCCCCCCCCCCCCAATACAAGCTACATAGTAAAAAATAATATGGTGTCAGCAAAACATCACAGGCCTACATCTACGAAACATCACACTGTCCACGAAAAGTGTGTCAATGTATAGTTATATACGAAACACGGTTCCACAAAACGTGTTTCGATGGAACGCTAGAAACCAAAATCCGGGAGCCCAGAAAGCTCCCAAGAATACTCAGGGTGCCCCTGGGCTCCTAGTAACCCAGTCTGAGAGCTCGTGCTTTAGAAACGAGGATGGTCCAGACGATTTGGGCACTCACAGGTACCATAAGAGTACCCAGGGGAACCCCACTCTAGGAGTTCACAAGCTAACAAATCAACTCACATTCCTGTAGACTTGCCAACTACCTCACCCTTGTCCATTAGCGCCAAGTACATCGCCTGTAACACACAAAACTAAAATAAATCCGGTATTCCATATGGTCCTGTTAAACACAAAGCTAACTTTCACCACAATCAAATCAAACTGCCGAGACGGCGCAACCACTGAAGATGGCAGCCAACATCACGCCGGTGGGTGCCACGATAGCAATTACTGTGCAGAGTCCTAATTTTCGTGCTCAAGAACATTTCATCGTTTAGAAAAAGTAACACTTCGGAAGAGTGGCGCATAAAAGAGCATGTTTCATAAATCGGACACCAGTGAAACACTACGAAGTTCTACAATCATGGTAACTTCCATCAGTTTGCTGCATTTGATAAACCCAACAAGGTCTCCAAATTCTGCGAGTCACCTTTAAAACGGTGTGTAACACGTCGACTCGAAATTTACGAGTCCAGATTTCTGACGCTGGGCCTCAAGCCTTGGAAGCCCTGCTGCACGAGCAGTAACTTTAGCGCTTCATCGTGCTTCTCAAGTCTTTCTGATATTGACCGATTTTGTTTTCGATGGCACTCAACAAATTTATAAATATAACTACATGTTTATTTCAATAATTAAAACATTCATTAACATATTTTAGTTAATTAGCAGACTGATCGTTACGATTAGCCCCCTATATCTATGGGACTCTGGCTGTATAACTCACTTGCACAAACCGCATTAGTGTAACTTTAAGGCTTTTTTTTTTAAAGAAATTTGTTTGCCTTAAACAGCCTTTCCACTCTCGTGAAGAAGGAAGACCAGCGGAGCTGTAATCGATACATGTGCTTCTTCTTCGTCGTCGTCTGTTTTTCGGGCTGTTTCCTACGATGAACTCCCATTAACGTGCCGCCCAACTATCCATTCTTCTATTATAGCTGGAAAGGTTGGCGCCATCTACGAGCGACGGCGGAAACCATACTGGTTGGGTGCTTGCCGCCGTCGCTTATAGATGGCGGTAGCTGTCCAGGTAGGTTTGTGTCGACATACCGGACACAATCCTGGGGGACCTAGCCCTTAACAGCTCCACTGTAAAAAGAAAGGACAATATGTTGGGGAGACTAATGCTTACCCTTTGGTATTCAGTGTACTTCACGGGATCCTTTTCAAAGACCTCGTACGTAACCGATTCCAAGTTGTCCATCAGCGGCTGCCGGCAAAAACACATACACATCATAAGAGTCCTGTGCGGGCAAGAGTTTCATCACCCGCATCCGAATCGCATCCGCAGACTCTTTATCCACACCCGAACGGCATCCGCAATGTTCTTAAATTATTGTAACTGCATTCGAACTGCATCTGCAAATTTCCGAACCGGATCCGATCTAGAGTTTGCACATTCATGTTACACGAAATGAAGCGTGAATTAAAGTTTATTTTTTAGCAAACTCAAAGGGAGCTTTTCACAGTTTATTTTTTTACAGAAAATTCAGTGTTTTTCAAAGCTTTCTTTTTTATGGCACTTGAAGTTCAGAGTTTTTTGTATGTTTACCGCCATTGGTATAGGTACAGAAAAGCAATTCACAAGCTTTATCATGCAACATTTTTATAGACAATGACGAGAAATGAGCCTTTCGAGATATAAATCACTTTATCGAAAATAAGTATACCCTTAGTTAAATTCAAACATCTCTCTCAAGACAAGCTCTCTTCGCACGCATGTGCCAATTGAAATTCCGGTATCAAGTGCTCTGGATTGCCCTTCCCATTAACCATGGTAACTTAATGCGCTAAAACTTCCGAACAATAATATTGTTGCTGCCAACTACTTCAAAATTTAGGCATTCCTTGGCTCACATATATGCAAATGACAGGTCCAGTTTTTAACAAAAAAAAAAGGTTGGAGAGGCTGATGAACGTTTGAGAAAGACACGTGTCCAGGAAAAAGGCTCTAAGTGGAGCGGAATGTTAGGTCACAAGTGTTCGACTAAAACCCAAAAAAGGTTATTGCTTTTTTTTTTTTTTTTTTTTCTTCTGGAAAGGGGTCAAAATACATTCTTCTGCAGCAACTAATGTAGTAACAAAAAGCTCCTAAAAAAACCCCCACGATATGAGAAAACATATAAACCAGCTAAATTTCTACACCTGACCGGCCCTAAATTCTGAGTTTTTTTTAATAAATTTATATCTGAAACATTTTTACCGGTGAATCCTTTTCGGATTTTATTGATTTATCTGAAAACACAAAACTCTACTTATAAGCTGTTTGCTTATCGTTGCATGAAGAACTCTTCGAGTCGGAATATGGGGAAAGTCATTTTATAATATTTTGTTCAATTATATTTACGTTATGAGTAAAGTTCCATGTTTTTGTTAAATACAAAAAAAAAAAAAAAAAAAACGAAGTAGAGCTGTTCTCGAATGAGAAAATGCCAGGTTGCATGGGCAGAAGATCCTAACCGTCAGTTTTTATCTTGTGTTAATCCAGAGCAAAACTCCCACTGAACTCACCACAGCGAAGTTCTTGTATAAATGTGGTAAGAAGGAAGTACATCACTGGGATAATATTGCAGTATTCGATAAAGGCAACACCTATCGTTTTCAGTTTTAAACACAACCCCAAACTGCATGCTTTGAACCACATACTTATCAGCAACTAGCCGACTGTCGAGAGAAAAAACACACATACACGCGACATTTCCCTTGCCGAGGAGGCTCTACCTTTTTGTGGCTTGTACGTTTTGAGTTTTCTTTGCCCAAGAATGTTTTTTGCTCTTTCCCTGCCGAGCAAGAACGCACTTTCCCGGGACGATTAATGCCCCTGCATTTTTTTTTCTTTTATCAAAAGGCAGCATTTTTGGTGACATGGAAAGCTCTAAAGCAATCTTTCGTGAGAATCGGGTCTTTCTTGGCATAAAGAACAACTTCCTCCCCAATTGGCACCTTTTTGCCGAGAGAGTAATTTGCTCCTGCGAAACATTCAATGATGCGCTCCATAGTATACCACTCATTTGTTCACTCTAAGTTCTGCAGTCGCACACGTTCGTGGGCTGCCTCTACAAAAATGGGTGTCCAAACCTGCAGATATCCGCATCTGCATCCCCTGGCATCCACATCCGATCCGCAATCCCCCCAATCTGATTCATTTTTATCCACATCCACCAGTTGACTGCAGATATCTGTGGACAGACTGCAGGTAATCTGCATGTACGCAGGGCTCTACGCATCATCCATTCCTCCAGGCTATCAAACGACCGTAACATCCGGAGAGATGCCCACCCCCGAAAGATAGCCTGCCTCCTATTTTTGGCGTGATTCGCTATTTTCTTCAGAAACACCAAAAGAAATCACTTCCAGTGATTTCAGGGCCCTGGCCAATGGCGACCTCGGCAAAAACGGCGTTACTTAACCATGGCGCGAGATAAGCGGACATTGGTGACTGGACAGCGCAGTCCACAACCTTTGAGGGTTACCAGGGGGGATCGGTGGCCGAGTGGTCTAGCGCACACCAGCTCGGAGCACGTGGAGCGAAAGCTCGCGCTGCAGAACCCAGGATCCTAAGTTCAATCCCCGCCCCTGCCCGTTTCGATCTGGATGAGCATCGTACCGGCATGCGGTCGTGTATCACTACTGCGTGGTGCACGTTAAAGGGATACTTCAACGAAATTTGAAATATTCCCGTCGTGTTCAAAAATAGGTTGAATATGATCCACAATATCCGTAAATGACAATCGCACGTTTGTATTTTGATCCTGGTGGCTGTATTTTTCGTTATAAACGGCCCACTCTGGCAAGCGCTCGGAGAAGGCCCAGCTTAGAGCACGTGACATCCAACGCAATCGTGACGTAGGTCGTCTCGGGACGAGCAAAGCTACGGCGAGGCTGACGTCGAGAGGATGGCCTAGTCGTTCCAGCCACCGAAGCGGCTGCTTTTGTACAAATTTTGAGTGACGGGATAATCTTCTATAATCTTCTAGGGGGACAATAGCGACATCTGTGACAAACAAAAGGCATTCTCGGTAAGAGGGGAGAACCTCCTGCCCCTCTTCTCTCGTCGTGGCCGGAGGCGAGACAACCTCCGTCACTAACTGTCAAGGTTCCTAGACGGGCATTACAAGCGAGGCGTTAGCGACATCCACCAGGTGCTCTTTGCTAATCGTTTAATTCGTTTTAAAATTCCTTTTCGTGACTTTTTTAACAAGATATTGCTATGCTCGATGTGATGTTGCTTTTTTGAACACATATAGACCAAAAAATGAGCGCCGAAATTTCGTTGTACTATCCCTTTAAGGACCCCAGGCTAGCGGTTGTACCGCACTGGCTAAATTGCTCATCTACAGCTGAGACACCAGACGCCCACTGAGGCAGACCAACTTCCGGATGTATAGACATACACACAGCAATTTTTTTAGGGTTACCAGATCCAAAAACTAGCATTTCTTTACTTTTATTTTTATGTCACACCAAATGTTAGCTTATACCTCACATTTGCATCTGATTTGCTATTGATATTTTAAGTGGGCTATCTCTCGGGATATTACGGTAGGCACTAAGAGAAGCCATTTTATAGCCGCCATCGCACAGGACCGATCCTGGCCTGGCCATGTGCACAGTGGGCTCTTAACTTTTGACAAAGGCTATTCACACCACATAGTGTGATAACATTTTGTACAACACACGCAAGACATCAAAAAAGCTTTTTTCTTTCTTAAACGAGTTTTTTTTTTTTTTTGCATTGAATCCAATTTATTGGTTACATTGGAATGGATTAGACTGAATTATGATAGCTTACATAAATATATACATTTTCTTAGAACTCATTTTTTGGCAACCCCCTACAACAATATTACCCCAACTGCTAACAGCTCCTCAATGAGCCTACGCCAAAAAATGCTGTTCTGGACCTTGTTTGTACCTTCCAAATCGAAAACATGACTGTGTGTGTGATTGATGATCCTCAAGTCGTTTATTTCAACTATAAAGTCGTTAATACTCAAACTTCGGAGATAATCACAAAAAAATAAGAGATGGGTGCCTGCCCTGTCATCAATGTTACACATAAATGTATTGTGCATATTTTCTCAGATCTTGCAAATTTGGGAATGGGCGCTTAGTGTGGAATGGGCGGATGCGCGGTTTTCTACGGTAACTTGTATAAGTTCTCCCCGCTACTACAGCCTACGGCCAAATGGAATGGGCTGTCAAGCGTAATTGCTCTCACCAGAAAGCACAACGCTTTTGTAGCGTTACTGCGTGAATCATTGCCGTGACCATCGCTTTGTGTTTATTTTTGTGGTCTTAAGCAGCACCTGTACTTTTATTTTTGCGCGTGTGACCCAGCTGCTTGTGTACGTGACCATGAGCCATGCTATTCTTCGTTAAGTTCTGTTTAGCATGATTCTGCGTACCTTTTTATGTTTGTTTTTATTTTTTACAATATTTTGCGACTACGTAAGTGTTACATGTATCCCCACTGTATGTAATGCCCCTCTCGCGCCCTTAGGGGTATTTCGATAAATAAATAAATTAAAATATAAAGAAAACTACACTGCAACCAGCACCTGGAGTGGCGTCTGGAGGTGGTCCTCGAAGCCTTTTGCAAACTCGGCCAATGGATCGTCCGGCGGTTGAGTCTGAAAAACAACCACAACAGAAACATTCGACCCTCGCTTGTTCAAAAAGTGCAGTTTGTTACAGCAACTGATAGGATGAAAACAGCAGAATGAGAATGGCAGGATGTCTCTTTCGAATGCCCAACCTCTAGCATGCGCTCGCTGCCTTCCGCCGTGCACTGGCTGCGTGCACACCAAGGAAGTTACGGTGGGCAGGAGGTGGCATTCGTATTCTACATATCAGGAGCGAAGTGTAACGAAAGCAGGTGTAGCTACGAAATGCCCCTCGGTCTCGGCCAATGACAAACGCAGTTAATGGCCGCCGCCACGTAAACATGGGGCAAACAATCGCGTTGCCGTGGTATCGCCGTGGCAATGCATTTGATTGCCCCCCATTTACGTGACGACGTCCACCGGATCGGTGTCCAACACGAGAGATTCATGGCCCAACGCTTGCCTGGCCAGCGAGAAGTCGGCCTGCGGCGGACACTCTAGACCTGTGGTCTCAAACTCATTTGAGTGTGGGGGCCACATATCCCACAGTGGGAAAGGCCGAGGGCCAACGTTAGACCGGGGGGGGGGGTGAAACTATTTAAAAGGGAAGAGACCTCGTGCTCTACGCTTTTTGTAAACTCAGCTCTGACACTGGCATCTTTAGATCTAAGTTGTTTACATGACTACTTTGGGGCTCTGATCTGATGTGGTGAGAATTAAAAAGACATCGCCATTCCAACCTGCTGGCATTTTTATTGGGACAAGAGAGCAAGTACACTGTCGTTCCCCTTGCTCAATTCCCTCGGGAATTAACGAAGCTCAACGCGTATTTAAACAGGAATCAGTTAATTTGACAGTTCTTGCTTTCCTGATGATTTTTATCACAACACTGAAAACATACTTCTCTTTTAATAGTAATATTTTTTAATGGCGACATTTTTTTTTTCTTTTTTTAAGGCGAGAATTTTGAGGTTGTAGCTTTATCTATGGCAGTTGCTCCTGCTGAGCAAGATTCGCGCAGCCGAGATGCATCTTTCGACAAATAGTTCCCGCTTGCAGCCTAGTAGCGGAATTATTGTACATTAGAAAAACCTGGGAAACAAAAATAAAACTAAACAAAGGGAAAATGAACGCGGATATGTAAAAAAATATGTAAATACGTTAGAAGAGCAAAGCTACCTTTCGAGCAAAAATGAATCGTCGAGATTATATTACTATGACACATGCCATGTCGTCCGCTCGAGACATGGGAACCGGGACTCTTAGCCGGTTACCTGCGGGCCGCGCCCCAGCGAGTCGCAGGCTGCGTTTTTGAGACCCCTGCTCTAGACGGTGTGCCGGGAGCGGCGTCTAGAACGAGCCATTGTAGTGCGGCTTTGGAAATCGGGCATGTTGGGCGCCGTGCTCACAAACGCCAAGAGTGCCACCAGGTTGAGAATGCTGTAGAAGCTCTACTTCCGGCTCACGTTTATTGCCTTCCATCAGTGCACAGATCGTATCGAAAGCCAGCCGTGACGGTAGGCAGGCGAAGCAGACCACAAGCACAAAGCGACGGAGCCTAAGTTTAACGTAGGCGGCCAAGCGGCGAGCAAACGACGAGAGCGGTATTGTTGCACCAGGCAGTTTGGGATTTAAGTATTTTTCCGGCATCGCCGAGCGTGACGTTGTGCCTGGTCCTGGGGTATTTAAACTTCCTCGGTGTACATACTCAGAGCTAATGAGACAAGAAAGTGTTATCGTAGGTACAAAGATCGCCCAGGAGGCGGGACACCTGAAAAGCCTCCCTGCCATTCTCGTTCAGTCATCGACAACAGCCATTCAGTCAAAGCCTAGAGTTTGCAGCTTCACACACTTCGTTCCACTCTCAAGCTTTGCGGTCCGTTCAGAAGGTGGCACTGATGGTACCGCACGCAGCGCATCGCATTGTCCTCCGTGCATATACGGGATGACATGCCGAGATGGCTTTAGGTGCGTACAAACGTCTGCTAAGAAACTTTGTACAGTGCATCTCTGTCAATGCTACCCCAAATTTTACACCATCAGGATCTACCGCATTTAGATTACGACTCGGCCAAAAAGAAACTTGACACGTGGACACAAGATGCTGGTGCGCTCTACAGCGAAATTCTGTTTCGGCACTCCGAGCCCCTATCCAATGACTCTAGCCCGCCCACCGAGTAAAAAGTGCACTGCGTAACACAAGTAACACGACACTGATGCTTTTTCCTATTTCGCTCGTGCAAGTTTGTGCCAAACATCAATCTTTACTGACAATGTTGAGGGCTTGGGTAGGCCGATTCCACCGCAATATTAAAAGTTTTCCTGACAGCCTTACATTTCCAAGACAAAAAGCAGAAACGAGAAAAACCGGCAATCGCCTGTTTGTGCCAACTGCTCCATGCGTGCTTCAAGATCGAAAATGTACAACTGACAATTATACGGCATTTGAGACTCTTTATAGCGCAGACTGATATACTAAAGTTATTGATATAGTGTAGAGATCCTTATAATACTGGTACAGGCAATTGAAATATGGTTATAGTGAGGACACTGATGTGGAACCATTATTTCCTTCATCAGCAATTGGAAAGAAAAGCATCATGACAAAGCGACAGGCAAAACCAGCAGGCACCCAATGTGATCCAAAGACCCCAACTGTTGAACGGCTTCAAACTCACATTGTAAAGGTGGTCAATGTACTGGTAGTACAGTTTCATGTGTTCATGGTGACAGCTCCCTTCAACAAGGACTTGGCACTCCAGCTGCGGACAAAAAATAAACAAAAGATGCGACACATGCAACATAAAAAAAAAGGCAACAACAACCACTGCTGCAGCAAACAAATTGAAACCAAAGCCTCAATTCAGGTGAATTGAGGCTTTGGCCAATTTGTCTGAAATCCCACCAATCTTGTCCTTTACTATCTATAGTAAAGACTTCAATCCAATCTTGAAGGGATTTTGAGTAACGAAGTTGCTTTTAAATTTTGTTCGAAGTTTGGTAACTGTAAACAGATCTGTTTGTATCTTATGTTTGGGCACTTTAGAGCACCTTCAGCTACTTTAAAAGAAAGCCACTTTCTACAAGTAAGCCTGGGATAGACGCACCTTGAGATAGGTACTTCATACAAAGTTGTTAGTTTTCGAGTGACCTTGGGGTACAAGCATTTTGAAAAATGTTACTTTTTATGAAGTTGCTTTCCATGAGTAACCCTGGGGTACATGCACCTTGAGAAAGCTACTTAGAGAGATGCTTCTTAAGAGTGACTTCCTACAAAGTATGCTGTGGAAGACATAGCTTGAAAAAGCTATTTCTTAAAAAGCACCTTTCTACAATGAACTCTGGTGCAGACATACTTTGAGAAAGTAACCTTCTACTTATAACTCTGGCATAGACATACCTTTAAAAAAAAAACACTTCTGAGAAGTAACTTTCTATGGGTAAATCTGTGCTAGGCTTAGCTTGCTAAAGTTACTTCGTAGAAGTAACATTCTATGGCCAACTCTGGGCTAGACGCACCCTGAAAAACTGATGTTTTAAAAGCCAACTCCCAGTTTCTTTCCCTCCCCTCTCTCCCCCACTTTCCTCCTCTCTCCAGAGGGGCCGGTCACCAAGCTACTCCCAGCAGGATGGAGGAGGCTATTTCTCGAAGAAAAAGGAGGAATCGAGGGAGAGTTTCCTCCTTCCAGAGCAACCCAATGGGGGAGACAGACGCACCTTGAGGAAGCGCATGATGACCACCTGGTGTGGCTTGGGCAGCACGGGGTAGCCCTTCTTGTTGGTCATGAAGAGGGAAGTGGGCACCAGGAGGCAGCGCACGGGCTCCCCCAGCCAGCGCCGCAACCGCTGCTCGTTCGGGAGGTCCGCCGACAGCCGCAGAGCCACCCCGAGGCGCTTGTCCGTGCCGCAGATGCTCCGGAAGGTGTTCCACCTGCGGCACGGACCAGCCATCTCGACTAACCGTCGTCGACGTCACTCCCTCCGCCTCACGAGGGCAACTTAGGTCTGTCCCTCCCTTGCGAAAGCAACAATTTGTGAATAGTACTAGAATCGTACGAGCGTGAGTGAGTGAGTTTGAATTTGCGGGTGAGTGAATGCGAGTTAGTGAGCTAAATTTGCCTCAGTGAGTGAGTGAATTTAAGTGAATGAGCTAGTTTGGGTGAATGAACCAGGAAAAGTTTGCCGATGGCACCTTATCCCAAGCTCTGGTGCCACATTTGGGTGGAGTCTGACCTTTCGGTGATGCTTCAGTAACACCATTGCTTTTCCTCTCCCTTTCTCACTCATTTAGCCTCCCATTCAAATCAGTTGCTGCCTTGCCCACTCAATTTCCTAACTCACTCATCAATTTAAACTCCATTTACCCGCCTACTCAACTCAATTATTACTTCAAGGACTCAGCTCAGTCACTAATTCACCCTCTCAACTCAATCATCCACCCAATCAACTCAGTCAGTCACTAATTCACCTACTCAACTCACTCACCCACCCAACTCAACAACTACTTCCTCCACCCAATCCAAGTCACTAATTCACACCCTCAACTCATCCACCCACTTAACTAAAGTCACTAATTTATCCCCTCAACTCACAAACAAACTCAGTCACTGAATCACCCGCTGAACTCACTCATCCACCCAACTCAATCATAGCTTCACTCACTCAACTCAGTCCCTAATTCACCCCCACAACTGAATCACCAACCCACCCACTCAGGTAACCCGCTAACTCATCCGCTCAACTCACTAACCCAATCAAATTCTGTACACAAGTTTCTGTTTCAGTGGCTGCCACTGCCAAAGCATGAAACTTTAGCGCCAATCACACATTTGCAACCGAGTAAAGGCCCGCTCACACACTTGCAACTTCTTAATATTATGAAGACCGAGTGCCTTGGAACCTCTTAAAGGGAAGCTATGGAGCTTCTTGGAAAAAATGAGTTAGAAGTGAATTCTAGTGTATTTTTACCCCGTGAACCCGAATACCCAAACCATTTGCTGCGTAAGTATTGTGAAACGCGAGAAAAATGCCAAAGACAGTCGCTGTATGTGACGTCATCGACGGATTTTTTGGCTGCCCAAGGCTAGGGGGGCGGGGCTTCAGTCCTGTTTTGAAATTGCTCGTATGGCTCTCCGGCACGTCTCATTGAAATATAATTTTGATATCTGTTATTCTAAAGGCCAAATGAACGCAATTCAAGCGTTTTTTCTCAAATGCAGAAGTGCCCCATCTTCCCTTTAAAATCTCTTACGACGAGAGGACACACTGGTGCCATCTATTGGGTAGCAGTGCAAATTCGGCGGTACCGCATACCTTCTATTTCTCTCGCAAATCATCCTTTCTTTCTTGGCTTGAAAAACTTTTATAAATTGTTATAAACGAGCCTTTTTCATAGGTATTATTCACATTTGACTTCGGAAATCCTGCAAAACCTTCGCTCTTGTGAAATGCAGTCCCAGGGTCACCGCATAGATGGTGCCAGCGTGCCAGTGTGTTCTCTCATCCTAAGAAATTTTAAGAGGTTTCAAGGCACTCGGTTCTAAGGAGTTGCAAGTGTGTGAACGGGCCTTAAAGGGACACTGACACCCCCAAAAAAAAAAATTTTATTTTTTGCCAGGTGCTTCATTATGGTGTCGGAGGACTACCCAATTAATATTTTGCAACAGAGTAGCGTATTTTTTTAATAAAGCCAAAAGACGCAACTCCTCGAAACCGAAACCGAAACCCGACGGAGGTCGGAGAAGTGGAGAGAAGAGAGTGAGTGGCGGAAGTCACGTGGCTACACCCTACCGTGCGTTTTTTTTTTTTTTCTCCTCTTCGGTAGCAGACGACAGGACATGCGGCGTGCGATGGGGCGTGCGGGAACTGCTCGCCGTGCGATTTTTTTGCAGTTATGTTTGTTCCGCTCGTTGTTCTGTACTCCAAAATGAGTTGTTTTGTACATTGAGGAGTTGGACATGAGTAGTAAGTGCCCGTGGTGAATTCCCATGATCGGCTCCGAAAAGAATACACCCAAGATGTTGCGTGAAGAGCTGGCTCACATTTCCTGAATCCGAAAAAAAGTGGCATTGTGCGACAGAGTTTCCGAAAGATCAACGGGATCGGGACCAACGGGTGGCTGCAAGTCCTGTAGAACATATACGGGCACCTCGGAAAGCGGACGTTACCTGATTTATATGCTCCTTGCATTTTGTGGAAAGTGATTACAGTGAGCTCGCAGGTGTCAAAACGGAAATCCCATACCATTTAAATCAGCGAAGTATCGTCCACAACATTAGTTTGTTATTTTTTTGTTTGTTTCTTCAGTGATGATTGTAAAAATATATATATATATGTAAACATCGAAAAATGTTTGAAGAAAAAAAAATTAAGTTCCACGGAAGATCGAACCCGGTGCTACCGCGTGTAAACCGGACGTCTTTCCCACTGAGCTACTGGCGCATCGCTTTTCTGGAGGATCTCTTTCCCTAGTAAAAATTCAGCCGGTAAACTGTAAGTTGGAAAGTTTGCTGTCGATTTTTCTCTAGCAAAAGCACTCCTGGGTCAAAGTCGGGAAGCACCACGCTTTGGGGACATTCGCACCTGGTAAAGAAATCGTACGCGTGCATATTGAACTCGAAGTAGACACGTCGTGCTTGACGTTTGCGCGAGCGATGTCTTCAGCCACGAGAAGGGATCAACGGCTCGGCGACGTTTTCGTGCAAATCGGCTTGGTGGCCGGGCGTGTCGTACGGGATGAATACCAATTCTTTTGATCACTCCCAAATTTCTCTTTTAACGGTAGACAGAATTCGCCGGTACCGCGAACGACAGTTCTGAAATAGAGGTCCCACGCCCGTCGTCCGCTGCCATCGCCGTCCCAGCGAGTCCCACGATACGCGAAATGACGAACGCACAGAATGCTTCCGGTTGTCTGAGGAACTTTTTTTTTCAATCAACGTATTTACAGCTTTTTAGAAGCCACAAAAAATGGGTTTCATATTTTTTTCTATTTTTAATAATGAGTGTGTGCCTTCAGTGACCCACGACTTTGATTAAATTTGGTGGTCGCATCGATACCTTAGAAAACGGCCCGTGACCGCGAAAAAGAGAGTGAGCGAGACTCGAACCGGCCAGTTCTTGATCGGCGGTTTTCGGGCGGAAAGAAACCGAATTTCGAGCCGCAAATTCTGTTCTGGGTAGTTGAGCTCTCATATGTCACGTAAAACTAAAAACCTCAGCGAGCATAAATACCCTGTCAGTGTCCCTTTAAGACGAAGAGAGACAAGACCGGTTTTAGAAACTCTTGCAACATCTTAAGACCAGCTCCGCAGCAGCGCATCCAATCCTAAGACGTCGCAAGAGGCTTAAGAACCGGTCTTGTCTTTCCCCATCCTACTCGGCTGCAAGTGTGTGAACGGCGTTTTACTCTTAATATTATCATTATTTCACCTTAGTATTTACCTCTGCCATTTCTTATTTTGCCTTATTGTTATAATGACACCTTCAATGTCCTACCTGAAGACGAGTATGGTGTAGACTAAAACATAAAAACTTGGACAACTTCTCCAAGATCTCAATGAAACAGCCCTACTGTGTGTGAGTGTGTGTGCATTTTTTTATATCATTTATTGCATTACAATGTGGATATTGCATGGTGACCTTCATACTGTTTGTGTGTGGGGACACTGTGATTATGACCAGTAGGGTGCTGCCCCACAAACCTTAAAGGGGCCCTGCAAACCTATTGAAGCGTCTACCTTTTTTGCGGTTTCCACATCTCTTGGGGTTCGGGCAACCCAGCAGGCACGGAGAGAGTAACTAAATATCAGTGCGTCATTTTTTAATTGGACGATGCGGAAGCCTCCTCCACCAATGGGAGCGCCCTGTGGTACGGAACGAGCGCGGTATGTGACGACATCGTGACATTGTTGGTCCTGGCCAGCTCCCGCCTTACGACTGGTCACAGCCGCTAAAAGCTTTTTTTAGTCGAAATACAAAAAAAAAAAGTGGCATGAACCGTTTCAATTATGTATGAAAGTAGTTTTTGTTCGGTATTTTAGATCAGAAAAGAAACAAATGCAGTTTATAAAGTATGGAAACAAGAAAAGACCCGTCGACATACCCGACACCAAGAGGTGGAAGAGGCGGCGCAGGCACCCCACCTTTCATGATTCTAAAGCGTGCTTACTTTAAGATCTCAAAGGCCCCCGTGGATCCTAGCAGACAACGCACCGACGCCGGCGGCGCATTTTGAAAAAAGCGAAAGTACAAATTTGTCCCCTCGCGAGCACAGGAGACCTCCCCGGACTTGCCGGGAACTTGAGCGCTGTTGAGTTGGGGTTGAGAAACGTAGGCAAAGAAGTCCCGTGAGCGTCCCAAACTCAACTCATTTTTACACCAGAGCTGTTAAGGGTTCCCCAGGATCGTGTCCGGTATGTCGACACAAACTTACCTGGACAGCTACCGCCATCTATAAGCCACGGCGGCAAGCACACAACCAGTATGGTTTCCGCCGTCGCTCGTAGATGGCGGCAACCTTTCCAGCTATCATAGAAGAATTGATAGTTGGGAGCGTTGGTGGGAATTCATTGTAGGAAACAGCGCGAAAAACACGACGACGAAAAAGAAGCACATGTAACGAGCGCAGTGCTCGTCACGTTTGTTTCTTCGTTCTCGTCTCTTTTGCGCGCTGTTCCCTACACTCCTATGCTCTTATCAGTTTCGGTTTGGACTCACGATGGGTCGTTCGCGCGACCCTTCGGGGAAAGGAGACAGGCTGCGAAAGGAGCGGCGATGTACGCAGCAACGCGAATAGGTCCGCAACCGCTGCAAAGCTGCTGTCGCCCCGATTTCCACTGCATCCAGCGCTTCAGATTCCCTTGCCAAAGAGCATACCAGTAAAAAAGTTGCTTCAGGGCACTTTTAAAGATGCACTAAAGAAGTTTCTGACATTGTCTGTTCTTGGTGATAACTCATCCTACAGGATCTTAGCATCGCAGAAATTGAAAAATTGTGCTCGTGCGACGTCTATTTCCCTACTAAAAATGGGATTGAAGTTCGTGCCACGCGCATTTCTTAGCGGAAAAGTTTGGAGCACAAAATTCAGCAGAAGCGCCGGCGGCGTGACGACGGGCGCGCGTCAGCCAGTCGCAAGCCGCCTCTTTCGAAGAGGCGGCCTGCGATTGGCTGACGCGCTTTTAAATGGCTTTGACAGACCCATGCCTCGACCTGAAGAACTATTAACACAAGTAAATATATTATCATTATCATGTCACCATTCCCAGGGCTCCTCGTCTCCCGTCGGCTCCTCCGTGGCTGCTTGCTCATCCTCCTCGTCTGCATCTCCCGAGGCCCGGCAAACGTAGCGGGCACTTTGAATGCCTGGCCATTCCATCGGCAACGCTATCCACGCATGGAACATCAACTGGAGGGAGGAAACAACAATCTTACATACCATGTTTTTCAGTCTACAAGTTGCACTGCCGCATAAGACGCACACCCCTGTAAAAAGCAGTTTATTTTTTTTTTTTAAGTTGCTAGTTGTGTTTTGTTGATACAGACACATCCGTTTCCCCCAAAATTAATCCATAATAATGAGACAGAAGTCCACATATTCACCCAGTTTGTCCCTGAAAATTTTGTCCATAGTACAACGGGCCATCCATATCAGCGAGACATCACTGTACGTAGTGTGCACCTTGGTGGAAGTAAATTTTTTTTGTAGGTTTAGCATGGCAAGACTGCATAGATAAGCCCGCGGGTGTGCCGGCATAGGTGCGAAGAAGACCGGTCCTATTCCACCCCTCTCCAGATTATCTTAGGACTGCTGGAACAGCAGGCCATCAGCACGTGCTCCTTCGTCGTAAATGTCGAAGTGGTCTCGCGCAGTTAAGGCCAATATCGACAGGAAGAAATGCATACACGTTACACCGTCGTACGAGACGCACCAGAGGAAATTTGGGTAAGAAACGTTCAGCCTTTCCACTCTCGTGAAGAAGGAAGACCAGCGGAACTGTACTCGATACGCTGCCGCAACGCGCACGCGCTTGATTCCCGCTTCTTCTTGTCCAACACGCCGCCGATCGTGGGTATGTTTCCAACGAACCAGTCGGTTGCACACGGCGCACGAGACGCTAAGCGGGTTCTCCACGAACTCCCTCCGGAACCTCGCCGTCGCACCCGGGAGCTGTTCAGCCGTCGCCGGGCCTCTTTTTCGTCGTCGTCTGTTTTTCACGTAACGCGCCCAACTATCCATTCTTCTATTATAGCTGGAAAGGTTGCCGCCATCTACGGGCGACGGCGGAAACCATCCTGGTTGTGTGCCTGCCGCCGTCGCTTATAGATGGCGGTAGCTGTCCAGGTAGGTTTGCGTCGACATACACAGACACGATCCTGGGGAACCTAGCCCTTAACAGATCCGCTGTAGAAACCACGGTTTATACCCCGGAAAATGCGCCAGTCTGCTGAGACATGAGACTTCCAGTACATGCTCCGTCTCCAGCGTCAGCTTTCTATGGCCGCCGACAAGGTGAGAACCACAGAGAGCAGCTTTAGTCGGTCGACCCCCGGTGCACGGTGCAAGATCTTACTATATTCGCCTCGAGATCGAACCGTGTCGCCCCCGTGCGGCCGAAATTGGAAACGCGCGAAAACGGGGATACCGCCATGTGTCGTCTGCTACGGGCGCACGCTCAGAAGCATGGATCTCGACGATGCAAGCTTGTTTCAGGCTGAGCTTGACATTCCTTATTAAAGGTTTCATGCTTTTGTTGCCGTTTCTTCTTACTAAAGGTTGTGTTGTATCGTTTCCCATGCGTAGAAATTCGGCGATTATTATTAAGTCGAAAGCTTCCATAATCTTAGTGTGTTGATTTGTATACAATCGCTGGTCTCACATATTTTTGTTATCTCGCACAAACCGTAGCTTTCTTAAAGCATTGAATGTTGAGTGGGTTTCTGGTCATTAGAAAATTAACCCGACTGATCGCTATTGTTTAATAGACTAGTCAATCAATAAATCCGTATGTAGATTTTTCGCCGGTCATATAGCATGAAAGACGTTAAGACTACACATTTTTTACTGGTTTTAATGTCATAAATGGCATATTGCATTCCCATCCTTAACTTCACGTTGTGAGTCCTACATAAATATGAACACGGGAAGCCTTTTAGAGTTAAGTATTTTTTAAGTTATTATTTAAACAGTATAATCACCCTCGGTGAAATGACAAGCACGCTGAAATGGTTTACCGTGCAAGCCAGTGTCACAAAAGAAATAAAGACGTCAAAAATATTAAAGCAGGCACTTTTTACTCCTTGTTGACTTTCTCCAGCACAAGACTCCAATAGACTACTTCCATAAAGCCCTGCATGCAACACGGCGCGCGTTGCACTCTGGGAACTAGTTGGCCAGGGAGGAGGGTGGCATGGTTTCGGTTTCGATCGACACGTCGACAAGAGATGGTTTTCTGGTCCCGAGAGCGTCATTTGTGGTCTCTAAACTAACCTAAATGGCCAGGCCTCGAAGCTTTAGCACAAGCCTGAGACGTATAGCTTGTCTTAACACATGCTTGTTGTATTTTTGTACTTGAGCCTTCCTGTTAGTGTTCCAATCGAGGTATGTGGACGAGCCAGTGCTGGGAATCTCGACGCTGCGAAGCTCGGGGATCTTGCTTGTATACGAATCAACAAGCTGTAGCAACCAATAAGTATGCATACATCGAGCTCGCGCCTTTACATTAGTGTTGTTGATCAGGAAGTTTGTTTGTTTCGTGCGTCCATAGACGAAATGTTACTTTTTGCAATTACTGTATTTCTTAATATGCCTGAGTATGCGAGGTAAAACTCGGAGGCGCCATTGAAAAGCTCAATTTTGACACACTTCTTATCTCTTATCTGTACTGACCCGCAGCACTGCACGAAGTGAAGTCCCCACCCGCTTGCATTCCATTAATATTCAACATCGCGTATGCACATAAAGTTATCCTGCAATCATATAGGCAAATTCGCACATACAGACCGTTTTGAAAAAAGCAAAAGTCGAGCACTTGTGTGAAGAGAGTCGGACCGTTCCCCGGAAGTGCGACGGATGGGCATGAACCCCTATGCGCACAGCATAGGGGTTCATGCCCGTCCGGCGCACGGTGCGACATTCTTCACACAAGTGCTCGAACGAATTTAAAGCGCGTTTGACGGTTGCTAATGGCCATAATATTTGTTTTGTGTTTGTTTTTTCTCCTGCCTGAGTATGCCGAGATAATTTCAGACGCACCGTTCAGGCGCAGATCTTGGGCGTCAGTAAAAGCTCGTCCAAAAAGGCTTAGCGAGGAGTAGGGGACGCTTGTTAGGGCCTCTGTCGTAGCTAGCCGATCTCAGCGTTTGCGAGAAATTAATCTTCTACCAGCATAAAATTCGAGTGGGAGATATATGATGACACGAGGAAGACATCATAGTAACTTTTGTGCAGTAGTTAGGTCGAATTTATTGCGTTTCCTTAAAAGTTCATGCGTAAACGCTGGACTCAACTTTGATACCCTGTGAGGATGCGGCTTTCTTTTCGCCCAATGAAGTAACAAGAAACTGACGTTTGGCAAGCAAAATACGTATAAGGCTCCAGATTAACAAATTTCAGTTCTAGTTCAGTGGTACTAGACGGGATTATTGAAATTGAGCTCAAACATGCACTCGTAGGGTGAGGTGACTTAGCCACGTCTTACTACGTTCGCATACGGACGCACAATATCAGGTGTTTCGGGAAGCAAGGAAAGTGCCCCGGTCTTCGTTTTGTATCGCTCGAGAATGAGTCTATTGTACGTTCGTGAAAAGTCAGATAATCGAAAACGCAAGCAGCGCGTTCGGTCGCGGAGTGATAGCATGAGGTGAAGCTGCTCAGTCGAAACCGAAACTGAGTGGCCAACTAGTTCCCAGAGTGCACTGCGTGGAATTTCGCCGCGGTGGGGCGCGTCAGTTTTGGAAGTAGTCCATTAACCGGCAAAACAAAATTGCAATTAAAGCATTACTCGAATAATCTGAAAGTTAATCGATGAACTGCCCAGTCCCGATATACGTTAGTTGAGTGCGGAGGGTGATCGGAAAGTCTCGTGAAGGTGGCTAGCCCTCATCAGTAAAAGAGTATCACTGCGGCCGATGCTGTCTGTGTCGTGGTGCGCGTCGTTTGTTGGGGTCGCAGAGTCTACTGTGTTTGAATACAAGATTATTTATCCAGAAATTTATATTATTAGCCTCTTGACATCTGCGGCCCTCACCAAGAAAATTGAAGCAGGTGAACCCACACTCCTGAGAAAAGCATTTAATAACAGGAACATTGCCGCGTTGCTCGGTTACACCCGTTTATTACAGTCACGGCAGATATATTAGAACAGTTTGTTTCACTTGTTTCAGTTGTCCTGCCAACCGTTCAGTTTGCAGATCTTAACTAGAAGAGACACCCTGTCCTCATCGCAACGCAGTAGATTTGTTCAGACTCAGAAAACTTACCCACACTTTGGCACAGTAAAAGGGCAGAGGAACTCAATAGCATGGTAATTTCCAATACAGCACTAACTTATCTCCATTCTAAATATTAATATTACTGCAAAAGCTAGAAGTTAAGAAAAGCATAGAAGCTGCAATTTCACAGCCCACAGTACCAGTATTATGTTACCTGGGTTGAAATTTATTGTGTTTTTTTAATTGCATGTTGATGAACCGATACATTCATTTTAAAAGAAACAAATATTTAACATAAATATTCCAGTTCAGCCAGAGACAGGCATCAATCGTGGTGATCCATCCCTTCCAACGTCTGCCTAGAGCAGACGACGCACCCACAGAAGCTATTATATAAATTTAGGCCGCACGCTGGCAACACAATTCGATCTTCACTGAAGCACCAAACAATATCGCATCCTTTTCTGCAAGAATTGTTTTCCCACCGATAGTATGCGACAAAATAAACGCAAGAATCTATGCAGTCTCGCGCGCGAACGCGGAGAGCCTATGGGGCGGCCGTTCTCCTATCCCCGCTTTGGTGATGATGATAGCGCGACCGTAGCGCCACCTCTAGGTCGATCTCGAGGCCAATAGGTATAGACACCGTGTATGTCGTAGATGCCGTATAGAGTCCTCTCCTAGCCTGGTTACAAGTGGTGCCACCAGATGGCTCCTCAATATGCAGCCAATCACAGCCCTACATTGGGAGAGTTTGGCCAATGGTCAGAGCAAAGGCCGCCGCCAGCACCGAATATTCTTCCGCGGCTAGAGTGCAGACCCAAAGTGCGACGCAGCGTCAACCGATCAGCAGACCTCGACGTCGCGATATTGGAAACAACATTTAAAGCGTGAAATAGAAGCATTCAATCTCGCAGCAGCAATGATCGCAACTATGCAGTTCACTCTGGTTTGGAGAGCACGCTCATTTATTCT